GGGGGGGGGGGGGGGGAACCGCTCTAATTCCCATCCCTAGTATCCATAGCATAACCGCGTTTGACGGTCTCCCCGAGAAGCCTGTTAATAACAAGACGTGGGAGTAGACGCATGATATCACATGGTGACTCTCACGAGTGAAAGAAAAAGGAAGAGAAGAAAAAATGTCCCAGTACATTTCATCCCATTTAGGTAATACGAAGTTGTACGAGTGTTTCTTGACAACAAGCACATGACGGCCCGTGATCCGACGATCCTACCCGGTAATAATATGTCGTTCAGGGCAGATGAACCACGGAGATTGGATTCACTCCATCTCTATCTTACCAATCTCAGATTTGCTGGTTGTCATTTAAATCTTATTCTATAGTTTAAGCCCTTGTTTCTATCATGAAACATATCCCTAGTATTAGTATTTGCATATATTGGTATACTCAGGGCATCACGACGTAATATGTAGCAACGTGTGCCAAACAGCGTATAGCAACGAAACAATTATCGGAGAAACAAATATCTTGCCAACACACTGTCACCGTGAACACGAGTATATCCTACGCACGAGTTTGTATGATGCTGGTTCAAGTGGCTGATATGCTTTTTTTTTTTTATTTTTTTTTTTTTTTAGATACGGTAATTTACTTCCTCCCTCTTTCCCTTTTTAGTAGAAGAAACATAATACACAGATAGTCTACAGAGTTAGTTATATATGATACCGTTCGCCAGTCGATGCCAGGCCCCCTCCCTTACAGACGCCCCAGTATCCTCTCCCGAACGACTTGTGAGGCGACGGCCGATCCGTGCTGCAGGTTGATGGCGCCAATGATGGCCAGGATAGCTCCGTTCATGACTGTCTCAACACCGGAGGAGTCTAGCTTGTTGGGCTGTGAAGTGAAACCATGTTAGCAACAAAACTATAGTATAATAACAGAGGGGATAAAATATTTAGGTTAAAAAAAAGGGGGGGTAGAAACGTACCAGACGAGGCTTCCACCGCAGCACACGCAGCATACCCACCTCAGTCGCCAGGGCGTACAGCTTGTCCTTTCCCGCGACATCTTTGGTCGTTTCGACCGACAGGTTATCCACCTGCGTGAGCTGCTCATGGACAAACGGTTCCCTACGGTCGCTGAATTCATCCTCGACTTTGGCTCCCTGCAGCGGCTCCTTGCTGACAATGTGCTTGGTCGTCTCCATGACGAGAGTCATGCGGCCTATGATAGCAACCCCTCAAATTAGCAAAACTCCCAAAGGAAGTAGACTGCTCCAACCTCTCTCCGCTTCAGAAGGAGAAGAACGGGGGGGGAAGAGAAGAAGACGTACCCATCAAGGCTAGACGGTCATTGAACCCTCTCCTCCCCTGATCAAAGCTCTTGTGCGTGACAGCAAGCCACTTGAGCTCCTCGGGGAGCATCTTGCTCCCCCCAGGGCCCAGAAGACGGTTGTACATCTCGTCGAGAGTCTTTGGGTCGCTGTTGACCACCCACACCTTGTTCTCCGGCTTCTTGGCCACGTCCATCTGGATAGGGGCCCTCATGGCCGGAGGGGTCTGGCTCCATCGCGGAGCCGCTGCCGAACGGGATGACTCAGAGATCTTGAACGACTCGGGAGTAGGGGGTGTCGTCGTAGTCGTCGTGGTTGATGCCGTCACTGCGTCGGCGCTGTAGTAGGCGCGAAGTCCTGCTAGGCGCAGAGACTGCCGGCTGCGGGCCAGGGCTGTGCGACAGGGCTGCATCATTTTTTTTTCTCGTCTGTGATGGAAGAAAGAAGAGCCACCGGCAGCCTTGCTTTAGACAGGGTTATCGAGGATCGAGCGATCGGTTGTTGAGCAACGTCGTTCGTTGGGAATCACACGACTTGGATTGATGGCTAACGGGACCATCTCCATGCATTGACGCCTCGTCGCCAACTTTTCTCTAAATCACGTGCCACAGCTACGCGCTTTCCCTACCAGCCCCACTCTTCACCACGCGAGGCTCCGCGGTCTGGGAAGCTCTCAAGAGCCTCGACTTCCTTCTTGCCGCTCAATTCATTGTTTATGGCAATCCTCTCCCAAGATAATCCTACCGCCTAGATCTTCTGTATTTCCCTGCATCGTACCCAGCTGTATGTTCTCTCTGTGATGCGCCATTGACACCGAATCTGCCCAGACGCGCCCCCCCAGCTCGCGCATCATGACGACAACCCAGCCTGGGCCAGAGAGCCAGGCAAGCTCCTCTTCCTCCTCCCTCAAGTCACGCCTCGCCGCCGTCCTCCCCTCCGGCAAACCATTCCACATATACCACGTCTCCACTCCGCCGACGAGATGCGACGCGCTGTGTTCTCCACCACCAGGCCAGCGCCCCGACCGCACTTACTGCGAGAAGCACTTCCTAGCCGTGTCCATTGACCGACCTGCTACCGATTATGCCTCTGGGCCGACACAGAAAGTTCTCGTGCTAGGCGTGGAGATATTCATCTTCACCACCGCGCGCGCCACGACAATCTTCGTCGCCAAGGCCGACTCAACGGGATACCTGCATCTTCTCAACCTGCCCGCAGGCACACCGAGCCCCATCCGCCTGATATGCGCCACCTTTGTGGGCTTCCTCGTGGAGCACCGACGGCGGCGCGACGTTCAGTTTGTCATCAGCCTCTTCGCTCGCGCCCAGTCACAGTACCTGTTTCCCGGGAGCGCCGACAACAAAGGCAAGCATGTACTCGATGACCGCGGGCTGGTGAAATGGTGGTGTCGTGTGCTAGACCCTCTCCTCGGCGACACAGTGGGCGGTTATCTCGTCATCCCCGGGCTGGACGCCTACGAGACGCGCGCATTTACACCGTGCGGCCGTAGCAGCAAACGCAGCTGGACTACAGACCGTCACCCTCTGGAGAAGATATCGCCATACACGCGCGAATTCGACTGGGTGCCGCCCCGCTGCCTGATCCCGGCCTACCCCGATGACCCGAAATCCCGCTTCAGCAGGGAACTCGATGAGGAAGCCTCTAACACGCGCTCATTCCGCACGACGGGCTCCTGGAGGAGCGTAGGGAACCTTGCCACGTTCTGGGAAATGATGGCCTTCCGACAGGAGTGTTCCAGCGGGCGACTGACAGGCTTCATTTGGGTGGTATACGACGACAAGGAACCGAAGCCAGAGTCGGGCCAGCACAACCAGCCCCCCCAGACCCCCAAGAAGCAGCAGAAGCAGCTCACAGACATAACACCCTCCACCACACCGCGCAAGCTCTTCCCCACCGAAAGGGACAAGATTGGGACAGAAGACGAAAAGAAGGCGACTGCGGAGAAGGGAAAGAAGAACAAGAAAAAGAAGGGGCAGACAAAGAAGCTGAGTGGAATCGTCGTCGCCCGTCAGCCCCGCATCAAGATCGCCCAGAGGAACTACCTCCTCGACCGCCCCGCCCGCACAGCATATTACTCGTGGGGCCCTGCCGGCCGCGGTGACCGCATCGTCAGCGACACAGACTACAAACGCATGTCTGAGCTGCTTCTCCACCTGGACTTTAGCTCTATCGACAAAGCGGCCGGTAGTACGCGCCGCTGGGTCAGCGAGGTGGCACTCGGTTCGCCGTGGGGGTACGCGGTGATGGGAGAGGCTGACTATCCCCCCTTGCAACAACCGGCGCCACCTACTGCCGCCACCACTGCCGCCACGATTCAGCGCGGGCCACAGCAGGTCAATAACTTGACTGGCCTGGTCAAGAGAAAGAGATCGGAGTCCAATGCTCCTACGGTGTCGACTGAACCCAAAGTCCTGGCGGCTGGACTGGTTAGGAAGAAGCCCAAGGCTGATGACAAGTCGACTTGAATGACGCTAAAAGAAGGGGAAATGAAAAAGGGGGGAACACATGTATTTAATGTCTTTTGAACGCAGCGTTGATTTTTGGGCAGAATAGGAAACGGACACTCCGTAGGTACGGCATAACTGGAAACAAAAGAACGAACACAGTCTTTTCTCCACATGAATAGTACTACTACGTATGCATATACTATGGAACACCCGATGATGACAGCAAGCACCTCCACGATTATGAAAACATCTTTGCCATTTTTCACTGCAGCTCAAGACTCCCCTACCATCCGAGCCTATGCTAACCCCCTCGTATTGTTGAACAATGCACGATGCATTTCTCTTCATTGTTGAAAGTAATTCATGTTGATCGCGGTGTTGGGCCCCGTGCCAAATATGACAGACTTGATTTCGCGCATGGCCAGTTCCTCACAACCCTTCGCGGTTTCGACAGTACCCCTAGCATTATTACACGTGAGAATGGCCTTCCCGGAAGCGGCGTGATCCCTGAGACGCGCGTTGATGTGGCCTCCGAGGGAGTAGGCATCGAGCGCCACCGACGACAGGTAGCCGCTGTCGAGGGCGTCCGCTAAAGCCTCGTAGTCGACGAGCCCCTCTCCCCCCGCATTGACCAAGCGTGCCCCAGGGCGGAACCAGGAGAGCTCGCGAACGCCGATGATAGGCGGCGAGTCCTTGTCGAAGATGGGCTCGCTCAGAACCACGCAGTCGACAGAGCTGACCAGGCTCTCCAGAGAGTCATGAAAAACAACATCTACCTTGGCGCACAGAGCCTCGGGTGAGGGGATGTCTGTCGAGGGGGGACAATAGCAGTGTATCGTGACACCCAATCCAAGTCCACAGCGGTTAGCAATGCCCGCCCCGACATTCCCGAAGCCGATAAGGCCCACCGTTTGTCTGTCAAGGTTGTGAGACAAAGTCTCATGGCATGTGGTAGACTTTGCGGGATCGTTGGACGTTGCAGCTTCCATGCACTGCGGAAAGTTATGCAACACCGATATGATCATGTCCGTAGTGAAGTCGGCAACAGCGTCGACGGCTGCGAAACTAGCGTCACGAAAGATGATGCCTTGGTTTACTTATGAGCCAGTGTCCATACAAGTCCAGGGAGATGCACGCGTCAACTCACCATGTTGTGCCAATTGTCGTATATCAATGGCATTATAGTCAGTGCCAGCGCTGGCAAAAACCCTTACGCTCTTCGGTAGCAGGTTGATGAGCTCGGCATCCCATTCACCCATCTCGTAGCCGGAGTGCAAAGATGGCTGGAATATTGCGTGAAAGTCGCCCCATGTCCCCTGCTGAAGGGCCGTCTTGAACTGGTCGCGCCGTCTTTCGGCAGGCGAAATGTATATCACGTCAAACTCTTTTCTGAATTTGGAAACCTCTGCCGGATTATACGGCACGGCATCGCCAATTTGGAGGACGCGTGCCTTGGAGCTCACCAAGCCTTTGTTGTATTGGGCCAGAGATACTGGAATGGTAGGTGGATTCAGAGGCGCTGGCGATGTGGAGCGAGGTGTCGAGGCGGGCACTGGCGTGTTGACGGGCTCAGCCATGGTGTGAGCAATATGTACGAGGGAATGGAAACAGCAAAAGAGACGTATTGCACGTAAGGGCTGACAGATATGCTCGCCTTCTTAACGGATTCAGAGCCAAGGCAAATCTGTCAGTGGAAAATGATGCAGCGAAGGTAGAGGAAATGCTGCAGGTAAGTTGTGAGGTTCGGAATTCGGAGCATCATGACGGCATGCGAGGTGAGGAGCGCCGCGAGTAAGGAGCTTCCCCAGGGAATTGCAACATGTTGTCCCAAACCGCCCCTCTTCCCCATTCCTTGCATGCGAACGCCCGCCAATTGATCTCGCAAGAAAACACCGCCTGAAAGCTGCCTGATTAAGCGGTGCTATCCGTAAGTATGATACGTCCAAAACCCACTGGGAAACCTGCAAAGTGAGCCCCGCTATCAAGTTACTGTGGTTGTCTCTTGGTCGGCCTGATTAACATGCCGTATCCTGGGTGAAATGTTTTCATTCTAAAAGCATTGGCAATTGTATATTACACTTTTTGGGGCTGAATGTGGATGTTTGTGTCTGTGAGACCTGGTTCTGTGCTCGACCTTGATCCCACAAGGCTCACAACTACCAATGCTGTGGGCCGGATGCAGTGAGCCCGCGTTGTACATCTGGAGCCTCACGATGAATCGATGGTGTTTGTGGCTTGCTCATGGTAGTTCTCTTGCCTGCTTTCTCCAAAGCATCGTGGACTAGTTGGACAAGAGTCTTGTCACTGTCACGAGCTCCCAACACAGATGCACTGACTGGGAGATACTCCGTGGTCATGCTGACCTCGGACAAGTAAGGTGTCTCGCCAACTGTATGCTCAGTCAGAGAAAAAGAAGAAGAAAAAGAAATGATGTTGAGTCATCCCGCAGTTTCACTTACATGGAACAATAAGGTGTGGTGCACCAAGAACGGAAGCTAAAAGATCGGGCAACAAACTACCGGTCGTCCCCGAAGAGCTAAACAGAGAAAGGTAAGTGACAGGATTGCTTAGAAGGAGATTTCCATTTGAATGTACATACCCAGAACCACCACTCTGCCTGTACTTGGGTTGGGAAACACCATAAGGAAAGACGATGATAGTGTTGGGCCCTGCCGTCATGACCGTCTCTTCAAACCATGTCTGAAATGTATCGAGGCGGTTTATGCTGGATCTGTATTCATCTTGGGTCACATTCGCCCCCAAAGACCTTTGCTCAACATGTCAGCATCGTTGCTGCCAACCTAAGGTACTGCACACCTACCATAGATGTCTCACTGTGGCCTCTACATAAGGTTCTCTGTGGAAACGATCACGGTAGTCCTCGAGAAAGTCTTGATATGTTGCTGCATAATCGCAATAAAAGCATTGTAGAGGGGCCTTTTTAGAATGTTAGCTTATACCAGAGTCATTTGCGGAAGACGATGGCCCATACTTGGTTTAGAAATTGCTTGAGTGACTGGAGCCCAGCATTGTGCGGAGGCTCCTTGGCCCACAGAGCCTCGAGGGTTGTCTTCTCAGCTGTAATATCGAGGAAGCTCTCCAATACTCCCACAAACGTGCGAATCAGATGTAGCTGGTCATGTGGTAACTGGTGGTCTAGGTCTCCAAGGTAAACTATACTTTGGGGTGGGGTCTTTGCGGCCCCATCGTTACCGAGAACAGCTCTTGTGGCATTTCTTAACTGGCTGAGCGATGAAGCTGCCAGACCAATGGTGTCGTATCTCCTATATGAACATCAGCCAACCTGTGACAGTCACTAGGTATGATCATTCCTCTTCTTGGACATACGGGGAGCTGGTCTGTACTCCGTCGAGTGAAGCTTTCAAGAACGAAGGGCGCAGGGAGTAGACGCCAGCACGGGCTCCAGGGCTTCGTAGGCCACCAATGGCTAGGCGAATCGGTCAGTATCTGCACAAACATCCCTGGGCTGACTTACTTACAGTCTTCCCCAACAGCCGTTTCGAGCCAGCCGTAGGCTGCCGCCGCCATCGCAGCTCCAGCAGAGCTACCAGACGGATCCTGATACCCATCCCCAGCAGGGTTCCAGGGTGCTTTGACATCCACCCACTGCTGACCAGATGCAAACTGAGAGATCTTGGTCTTTCCGACAATAACCGCACCGAGATCGATGAGTTTTTGCGCATAGCTAGCTGTCTTACCAATCAGTGGTGGGTACAGAGCTGTCCAAGCTCGGCTGGACACGGTTGTCTGTACACCCTTGAGTATCATGACATCGGGTATGGAGAACCTCTGCCCTGATAGCGGTTTCTCCTTGCTCGGTGTTGGGGAGTAGAGGCGAGAGGGAACTGGGATAGACTTGAAGAGCCCATTGAGAGAGAGGGAGCTCAAGGGGATAAATCTAGCAGCATGCCATATTAGTCTTGTGCCCACTGGGCGTTGGCTGGTCATGAAGACACAATAAAAGGGGGGGAAGAGAAAAGGCCCAGGTACTGTTTGATGTTCATGGGATCTTCGGGTATGACGCCAAAGTTGAATGCCTCGTATTGGTCCTCATACAGACGCCAGGCCTGGTACAGGTTGGGGCCGTGCAGAATATAAGGGCCGGAGGGCAGATGACCGACGAAGTCGTCACCGCCATCATCGGCCGTTTGCTCTTCAAGAGAATACGTCTTCTGAGACACATGCTGACGGTTAACTGCAGTTGACGTCGTGGAATCATTACTGGTGAACTTTTCGATGAGCACGGAGCCGAACTCGGGGATAAAGACGTCGTCGACGCGACTGTACGCGTCGAGGATCTGCTCCAACTGTCCGCCGAATATCTCTTCGGTGCTGAGAAGAGTGACAGGAAGAATGGCATCCGGATGAATGTTTGCTGTTATTGAACCCTAGTTATGGCATAAGCTTAGGGGTCGGCAGATGATGAGCGAGGGGCAGAGAGGCTAAACCCGTACAAGCTTTCTGGGATGGATGAGATAGTGGATGCCGGCGATGAGGCACGTTGAGAGGGAAACCATATCGCCGGGTCAAATCAGTCTTGTATGTACCATTCGACAATCTGCTGGGAGGTGAACCAAGGTAATATGGGAAGAGGAAGTATAAGAGACGTAAGACGGTAATGTCATTAAGATTGAGGAAACAAGATAACAAGGCAGTTCATTGATGCTCCTAAAGGCAGGTACCAGTTTGTATGGATTTTTATTATTAGTACGTTCGATGTAAGCAGCTAGGGCAGGTATGACAGGGACGCAAGGCACCTGCTGAATCGGTAGAGAGATCTGCTCTCACTAAAGCGGCCAACGATAGCACTAAAAACTCACCATCTCTACTATGAGTATAAAAAACCACAGGGTCTCGGGACGCTTTAATAATGAGCTACATCGTCGATGCAAGTGAACTACAACAACCCACTGTATCCTCTCCGACAACTGGAACAACGGCACCTTTTAGGTTCGGAGGAGCTTAAGATATGCCAGTGCCATGACCTTCCGGATCATGTTTGCCTGACATCCGCGCCATAGCTATAACACACGCGTGTACCTACTTGTCAAGTATGCGGTGCAGTAATAGCTCTGCTTCCATAAATCACGGATTGCGAAGTTAACAGGCAGAATTACAAGATAGGCATTCACGGCTTAAAACATAATCAGACCTTGTGCGTAATGCCCAAAGCATGTGCGGCGACCCTGCCGGTCTTCCCACTGATCACCAAGGTATTCAAACCATTGGCGGGCTGGCCATGAAAGACCCAGGAGAGTGTGTCGTTGGAGAACCATAGATATCTTCGCAAGAGGCATTACTACCTACCACCTTAGTGGTGATAACACACTACACTATCTTTCGATGTGTTGAAACTTGACACTAACTACACTAACTATTGATTTGTTGAAGTTAACCCAAAGACGGGGTGGGGCCTTAGCCAGGTTGGTGCACGTGATAAGAATTTGGAAGAATCAGAAAGTGGGATGCAGGATCCTCGAGTACACCACACGGAATACACACGTTATTCCCATACAATCTGCACATTATGGCCAAAAATAAGTGTAAGTAACATCGTATTTCTACAGTAGGAAAAAAAAAACCGACAGCTTTTCTCTGTCCCTTCTGGTGCTGACTTCGATATAACAGCACCGACGAAAAATTCTAGGGCCGCCCGCTGGGCGTCGTCCCCCACCAACATGGACAAGTCTCTGAAGGATGTGTCGCTGCCGCAGAACACGTCGGGGCCCCAGCGCCCATCCGTGTTGGCCGCTCACCACTCTGCGGGCGTACAGAAGAAGGTGAAGCGCAAGAGCCAGATGACGTCTAAGGCGCGCAAGCGCCAGGAGCGCAGCATGCAGATGGCCGAGGCCGTCCTCGAGCGCACAAGCAAAAAGGTGGAGCGCAGCATCGACCGTGGGCGCAACGTCCAGCGCCGCAGCAAGGGATGGGACGAGATCAATAAGGAGGCTGAGGCGCACGGGGTCAAACTCGTCGACGTTGAGGATGCCGAGACGCAGGCCGACAAGGACTGGGAGACGGACGAAGAGCCGACTCCTGCTGCTGCCACCGTCCCGATTATCGATGCCCGAGAGTCTGTCGACGATGACGGATATATTGCTGTGGACGACGACGATATTATCTAGGCAGTGTTACTGCTATATTGCGGGTTGGGCGCAGGCGTTTTTGATTGATGTTTTTCCACCTCATGGGCTGGGATATGAGAAGGGCACATGACTACATGATTAATCCACAATGTTAAGACCTGGAATCTTTGACACGAAAAAATGGCGACGAATGACTCTTCCTCTTTTTTTTTTTTTTTTTTGCTTCATATGTTGACGCTATAATACCTTAGTAGTAGTAGATGCATAGTGTACGATGATATGTTGATAGTACAGGTAGCAGCGTCACCTGCCACATCAAGACGCTGAGCTATTGCGCTGTTGACTTTTTGCCCTCAAAGTACAGCCTAAGGGTGGCGCCGACAGCACCTTGGGCGGGCTTCGCTTCGAACCCTTCCGCCGCCTCAACCTCCTTTTTAACCTTGGTCACGAGGGCCTGACCATCCTTCTCCGAGACAGTACGGCTACCCTTCTTCTTGCCCACGACAAGCTCGACCTTGTAACCCTTTGCCAGGAAGCCGGAAACCTGCCTCATCTTGGTGAGGAGATCGTGCTCACTGATGCTCCACGACAGCTCGACCTCCTTGTTCTTGGGCTTGGCCGTCTTCTTCTTGCGCTCCTTGCGCTCTTTGTCGGCGCGGTACGCCTCCTCCGAGTCGACAATCTTGCACAGAGCGTAGCGGACCGGCGCGTCTCCCTTGGCCGGTACGTAGGGCTGCACCATGCGCAGCGACTCACCGTCGTTGAGCTTGGTCAGGACGAAGCGCGTGGCCAGAGGACCCTCAACAGATCCCCCGTCAAGCACCATGATCTTGGGGTCCGTGATCTCGTGGTCTCGTGGCAGACGGTCCCGCCCTGTCTTGTCCATGTAGTCGGACAGCGTGTACCGTCGATCAATCTTCTCCTCCTCCTCCAGAGCCTTTTGCCGCTCCTCCAACACATCTACTTGCCGGCGGGCTAGCCCTGCACCGCTCTGATTAAACGATCGCCATAGTAATGTCGTTGACGCAGTCAGATTAACGAGGCCGTAGGACTGTCGAGTCCATAGCGGTAGAGGCCCTGTTGTAGTCTTCTGGAAAAGGAGGCGCCGGGGGGCGCAACGGGCACCGGCGGCAAGGCTGCGCATGGTTCGGGTTCGGGAGGGCTGATGGAAAGTTGGAGAGAGGGCAACGTGTTCAATGGGTAAAATCAAAAGGCAACGGAACTTTTCATTCGCCTTGGGGGGTGTGATGTCTCCAGAGAACTTGACGTTGATGTGCTGTGAGTAGATAGAGCTGTCGTGTTTTGAGGTTCCGTACCTCGGACTTGCTTGGTGGAGAGTTAATACGTATTACTGACTGATTTGTACAGTATAATGTCAGTCGATTTCGGTGTACTATATACGGTGCGAATTTACTCGCATGGCAGTACAGATTACAGAGCACGAGTACATGCAGAGGAAGCCCGCATCCGTCGTATCCTACCAATTCGATACTTGCATGTCATATCAAGTTTGCCATTTGCAAATTAGGATTCAAAGCTTTTGTATTAGTTGATACAGAACATAACAAAGAGATCCTCTGGAAGGCTTGACCATATTATGACCGGGCGTAAGAGCTTATATGAGTGTTGAACCAAAAACACTGAGATACGCAAGGGTCATCAACTTCATCCATATTATTTAGAGCATGTAATACTAATGATCTTTATCAATACTCAAGAAGAAAAAAATACCACATTGAAAACACTCGCGCTCAGCTTATCAGGACAATCTTCAACTCCACGGGCCACGAAGTGGGGTTAGCTGACCCTGGGGTACTCCGAACTCGTAATACTTCGTAGAGGGAGGGGTCTCGAGTTCTAACACGTGATCAAAATTTAGACAATTAGGCAACGCCACCCATAATAGCAGACAGCATCCGCGGGGCAAAGAACAGCAGGACAAACGACTTCCAACAACTCCTCTTTTTTCTATCCCGACAGTGCCCTTCTTCAGAGGAGGCCCCGAAATATAGCACCATGGTGCTTCAAGATCTCGGGCGCCGAATCAACACGGCCGTCTCGAACCTAACCAGGGAACAGAACCTCGATGAAAAGGCACGTTTACAAGACGACACCCGCACCAGCGTCCGCACCAGCGTCCCCAGCACCACCTTTCATCGACCAAGAAGACGGGCGCCCATTGCTTACTAGTGTTCACAATATAGGCTTTTGATGCTATGATCAAGGAGATTTGCGCCGCCCTCCTCGAATCCGATGTCAACGTCAAGCTAGTGGGCCAGCTTCGCAAGTCCATCAAGTCGGCAGTCAACTTCAAGGACCTGCCACCAGCTGTCAACAAGAAGCGACTTATCCAAAAAGCCGTGTTCGATGAGCTGGTCAAGCTCGTGGATCCGCACGCGGAGCCGTTCAAGCCCAAGAAGGGAAAGACCAACATCATCATGTTTGTCGGTCTCCAGGGAGCCGGAAAGACAACGACGTGTACTAAGCTGGCGAAACACTACCAGTCGCGCGGGTTCAAGTCGTGCCTAGTGTGCGCCGACACCTTCCGAGCTGGAGCCTTCGACCAGTTGAAGCAGAACGCTACCAAAGCCAAGATTCCGTACTACGGCTCGCTGACCGAGACGGACCCGGCAGCCGTGGCGCGGGCGGGCGTGGAGCAGTTCAGGAAGGAGAAGTTTGACGTCATAATTGTCGATACGTCTGGTCGCCACAGGCAGGAGTCGGCGCTGTTCCAGGAAATGGTGGACATCCAAGAGGCCGTCAAGCCCAACGAGACTATCATGGTGCTGGATGCGTCCATCGGTCAACAGGCCGAGTCGCAGGCCAAGGCGTTCAAGGAGGCGGCCGACTTTGGAGCTATCATCATCACCAAGACTGACGGCCATGCCCACGGCGGTGGTGCCATCTCGGCCGTCGCTGCCACCCACACGCCCATTGTCTTTATCGGAACGGGCGAGCACCTGATGGACCTGGAGCGTTTCGCACCACAGCAGTTTGTCCAGAAGCTCCTGGGCATGGGCGACATGGCCGGTCTGGTGGAGCATGTGCAGAGTCTCAACCTCAACAACAAGGACGCCATGAAGCATATCCAGGAGGGTATTTTTACGGTGCGCGACCTGCGCGACCAGCTGTCCAACATTATGAAAATGGGTCCCCTGTCCAAGATGGCGGGCATGATCCCCGGAATGGGCAACATGATGCAGGGTATGGACGACGAGGAGGGAAGCAACAAGCTCAAACGCATGATTTACATCTGTGACTCCATGACGGATAAGGAGCTCGACTCGGACGGCAAGATCTTGGTCGATCAGCCGGAACGCATGACGCGCATCGCCCACGGCTCAGGAACTTCGGTCCGCGAGGTCGAGGACCTTCTCACCCAGCAGCGCATGATGGCTGGCATGGCCAAGAAGATGGGAGGCAACATGAAGAATCTTCAAAAGGCCCAGCAGGCCATGGGTGGTGGTAACAAGGCCCAGCAGCTCGCTGCTATGCAGAAGAGGCTGCAGAGCATGGGAGGTGCCGGGGGTGGTGCCGGCGGTATGCCCGACATGGGCAGCCTGATGAAGATGCTTGGAGGTGGAGGTGGTGCCGGCGGTGGCATGCCCGACATGCAGGCCATGATGCAGCAGATGGGCATGGGGGGCATGGGAGGCATGCCTGGTATGGGAGGTATGCCGCCTGGAAGTGGCAGGGGTAGGAGGTAATGTATCTAACTGAAGGGAATCACAACAACCAAAGAAAGGAAAAATCAAGAAAGATAAAATGACAAACATATCTGGGATCGGCGTTTATTTGGAACTTTGTCACTGACGGCGGCCGGGCTGGCTTAGTTGTACGGGTGGACTGAGCCAGCATTACGAGCACTTCTTACTATCTAGTACGTGGTTGATGAACTCACGGCAAAAAAATGAATGGAACGACGAGTATAGACGCTGATTCTCTCTCTTGACTGCCACCTAGTTACTGAAATGGAGTGTCTTTTTGTTTCTGACTGTCATTATCTGCCTGGCTGACAGTGAGCAAGACTCGGGAGACGTCAACTCTTAAATTGAAACCTGTGAGAGTCAAACCATATACACTGGTCTCGACTATATAATGCGCACCCTCGACGGTGTGGAGTATATCGCACATACGACCTCTTTCCTCCACCCTCGATCATCTCGTTCTCTCTTTGTCAAAGCAGCCATGACCTACCTTCTATCATATCTCTTTCTGAACGAAGGCCTCCTCGGTCTCATCAATACCCCCGAGGAGGCATATGCGTACCGTCGTTGGCTTAGGCAAACCAACCGGGGCTCGTATGCGCTGCCCAGTACACACGTTGGATACGGTTTCCAGTTTCCATTCTTACTATCGAAATGTTCCAGACGAAGATAGGAGAAGCCAGAGTCGCAGTTCGCGTGAGATCACGGTGAGTGTGCGCGGTCAATGGTGATGGCCATTTTCGTTATAACGCATAAGCAAGACATTCAGAGGGACATGAGAATCCCTAGAGCCAGAGGAAAAGATAGGAGAAGAGAGGAAGAACGATGTGTGCAGAGAAAACATTCAACAAAGCCGACAAGAACGTGGATAAAGGAGATCAGAAGGATTGACAAATGCCGAGGACCCCCGAGAACCCGGGGAAGGAGCAACTTGATCATTACTAACGCGGTTGCCTCACTTACACGCCACACACCGAAAAAAGGAGGGGAAATCCTCCCTCAAAGTTCTCATTCATTTATCCTCCTTCTTCTGGTATTGAATCCTTACCGCATCCATGAAAAAACGATACATGCGAGAGGAAACCTCGTACACTACAGACGAAACACGCCGAACCACCGAGAATGGCACGCGACAAACAAAGGCCGGACCACATAGCCTGATATGGGTTTTTCATAAGCGTAGACAGGGCTAGTCTGCCCGGTCCAGGGCACCAGGCTTTGTACGGTGGAGCCATAAGAACCACGCCGCCGAGCCGGAGAACACACTTTGCCTCGCACCCCTCTGACTCACGCATTTTTACGCCTCATCTCTATATATTTTTCAAGTGGGACGTTCAGTGAAGAGACGCAAACGATCATTCAAGTCGGCCCAATTGCTTCAACAGCACCTCCCCTCCGTTCCCCTCAGCAAAATCACACAATGTCGTCGTCTCAAGACTCCATCCTCACTCTGTCGTGCCCAGACCGTCCGGGTATCGTCCACGCCGTGACGGGCATCTTTGCCTCCCACGGGCACAACATTGCCGACCTGCAGCAGTTCAGTGACACCTCGTCGGACCGCTTCTTCATGAGGGTGCATTTCAAGCCAGCCCCGGCCAAGGAAAGCGCGTCGCAGGAGTCCAGTGGCAGCACTGAGCACCTTGTCGCTCCCTTTGACGCCCTGGCAGCTGAGTACAAAATGGACTACAAGATTCACCCCGTAGCGCGTAAGACGCGGGTCCTTATCATGGTGTCTAAGATTGGCCACTGCATCCACCACCTCCTCTACCGCATGCGCGCCGGCCAGCTGCCCATTGATGTGGCCCTGATCGTCTCCAACCACCCCGAGTTTGCCGACCTGGCTGCCAGCTACGGAATTCCCTTCCACCACTTGCCCGTGACGACGGCCACCAAGCAGGCCCAGGAGGAGGCCGTGCTGGACCTGGTACGTAAGAACGATATCGAGCTTGTCGTCCTGGCCCGCTACATGCAGATCCTCTCGCCTTTCCTGTGCGACGCCCTGCCCGGCCGCATCATCAACATCCACCACTCCTTCCTGCCTTCCTTTAAGGGTGCCCGGCCCTACCACCAGGCTTACGAGCGCGGCGTCAAGATCATGGGTGCCACAGCGCACTTTGTCACGGCCAACCTCGACGAGGGCCCCATCATCGAGCAGCAGGTCGCTCGTGTCAACCACGGGCTCGAGCCTAAGCAGCTAACTGCCGAGGGTTCAAACGTTGAGAGTTTGACTCTGGCCACGGCTGTACGCTGGTATGCCGAGAGGAGGGTGTTTCTTAATGGCATCAAGACTGTTGTTTTCTCCTAGTTCGATAACGAATATAACGCAAGATATTCACACTTGTTCTCAGTCATAATGGACACTTCTCTAAAAAGCATATATGTAAAAGCACGTGTATATATATCTTGTAAGGTGATGGTGATGCGGATACATGAATACATACATCTACTCAATCATCCTCGGCTCCCCACTCACCCCATCGATGACCCCCTCAACAACCTGCCAGATATTCTCTGCAACGGTATCGATGGCCCCTGCTGCACTGACAACAACCACATCCTCATCCCTCTTCGCCTCCGCCTCTCCCTCCCCCGCCAGCCCACGAAATAGTCGCCTGACACGGTTCTGCATCTCAGCCTTCTCGTATAGCTCGTCCCCCCACCCCCCACGTCTACTGGTCTCCTCGGGCGTGAGATCAAGAAACACGACCCTGTCGGGACGGGGGAGCCCCCTCTCTGGGGCGCTGGCCCAGCCCACATCGAGGGACGGGTTGCCCTTTGCTGCTGAGTAGACTATGCCCGAGTGGACGTAGCGGTCGCAGATGATGGATGTGCCCTGTTCGAGGGTACTGATGATGGTTCTCCTTTCATTCGGTGTCAGTTTCCGGTGAGAGGGAAGGAAGAAGGAAGAAAGAAAATATACGCTGTTTCCCATCGATTCGCACTGAATAAGAGATGAATGACGTGGTCTTCCAATTCTACATCACTCTTTAGATAACCGTCAATCATACCACCGATTGTCGTTGATCGATCTGTAACGATTAAGAAGCATCATAGGTAGTTAGAGATGGCAGAACAGGGAGGGAGGGAGGAAGGTCAGAAGAGAGAAAAAAAAAAGGAAACAGAGTATCAGACAGACAACATACCAGGGAACCTCATTGTCTTGACTGGTCGTCCTGCAGCCCTGAGACGCTCCTCAAGTAACTTGACCTGCGTGGTCTTACCGGACCGGTCGAGCCCCTCGAGGACTATGAAAGCTCCACGAGGGGGCATATCTTCAATACAAAAGGCTAGGGAGGCTTTGCTTTCCCTGCCTTATCGGTTCCCAGTAGAAATTCGAAAGGGGCGGGCGGGACGAGGGACTATGAGGTGAAAATTGGAGGGGTAGGTCAAAGACGTGTTGAGGGGTGGAGGGGCGGACAAGAGATGTTCTGTAGAATGGGATAGCTCGCACTGTAGGGGTTAGTACATCACCGGTACAGTCGTACAGTGCGCCATGACAGCTCCTTGAACCTCCAGACATGCGCTTCTTACGTCTTTGCCTGGTAACGAGGTGATGTGGAAAGTGGTATGTAGACGGAACCGTAATACAGTATCATTGATTCATGGTACAAATGGGAGATAGATGCATCATGAATGAAGAAAACAGTTGTTCAAGCATATATATGTAAAGTAGTACCAAAGCTAAAGGTATCCAAAACGCCGCAGTTCAAAAAGACTCGAAAAACAATCCACAACTCCTTTTACTCCTTTTCCAACCTGGATATATCACCATCAAGCGCCAAATCCTAACGAAAAAGACCAGAACACAAAGACAGTGAATCCGCTCCTCATGAACCCACATTAAACCATTACACATCAAATATTATTAACAGCTGCAGGGTTCACGACGACAGCTGGAGAACAGGCTCCTGCTCACCCTTAGCACTGCTGCTCTCCCACAGCTCAAAACTCTCGCCCGTCCCCTCCATGGGTACCAGGACTGCTGCCGTACTGCTGTTGGGGAACGGTCCAGCCTGCGAGGGGGCCATGATGGCACTGACAGACTGCTCGACAGACTGCTCTTCCGTCAACATCACCTCAGCGGTGGGCTCAAGGCCCTCGTCCGATGGGGCCTGGGGACCGGGAGAGGGCTGATAATCTTGAGCGGCGGTGGGCTCGTCGTTCTTCTGAAGCTCCTGCTCGGTTTGGGGCGTCTCCTGCTGGTTTGTGGTCTGGGGGAGGTTATTATCGTTGCCCTCCTCGTCGCCGGGGACGATGATGACCGACGTCTCATCGCAGCCATCGGCGTAAAAGTCTGCAGCCTTCATCTCGCCCAGAGCGACGCGCTCCTTGTCAACAACCATGTCACCCTCCTGGGGTTGTTGGCGCAGCCTAGCCTGGGCGCGAGCCGACGTCTGCGAGACGTCATCGACGGGTGGGACGTTCTCCTTGTCCTCACAGTCCTCGCGGCGGGCACGCTTGGCAGACTCCTCGTCCGACGAGATGTCGAGGACGCAGGTGCTGTGCTGGAGAAGGTTGGTCATCTCCTGCTCGACAGTGTCTTCGTGGATGTCGAAGAACCAGTTCGACTTCATCATCTCGGAATCGTACTTGATGCTGCTGGAGGAGGAAGCGGCCTTGGGCTTAGGCTTGGTCGACTGCAACGGGCGTGAGACGTAGCTGGGGATGGTGCCCTTGAGGGCAGCGTCGAGTGAGAATGGGGCGCCTCCTGCCGTGTTGAACGAGGGAGGATCGACGCGGGAGAAGGGACCGGCGGTACGCCTACGGCTCGAGAGAATGCCAGGGCGCTTGCCGCGGGGTGGCGAGCGGCCCGCGGGGGCGGACAAGGGAGAAGACTTGGAGATGGAGGCAGTATTGAGCCTGGCGGTAGGGGACTTGGGCTGGAGAGTACGGCGAGGGGCGGAAGTAGCAGTGAGGCCAGCTGAGGAAGTCAGGGACGAAGACAGCAGCGGCTTGGGAGTGACCACGGTCTTGAGAACATAGTTGGACGAGGGCTTGAGAATGTCATCTTTGGAAGAGAACTTGGATGACGTCTTGGCGGCTTTGGGGCGCTTGATGAAGATGGGGTCAACATTCTCGGAATCGCCAGTGGTATCAATCAATTCAGCCTTGCGCTTGGAGACGGCGGGCGAGTTGGGTATGGCTACTGCATGTGAGCTAAAAGAAGAGGGAAGGAAGAGTCATCGGATAGTAGACCTACCATTCTGACGGTTCTTGATGCTCGTCAAGTTCTGTAGACGAGCACCATCGAGGGGAGCAAACGGTTGGCGGGACACGGAAGCCATTGTGTGTATATACGTTGTAATCTGACGCGTGCCGCAGATGGAGGGAAGATGCCGGGCTTAACACGTTGATTGCCCTCTGACAAGGTGAGATGACAATGAGGAAGACGAGATGGCCGAGCTTTAAGAAGCAATGTGGTTCTTTGGCGTGTTCCCCTTCTTTGTTATTGTCACCGTGACCCTTTCCAAGAGGCGAAAGTCTAAAAATGATCACGGTCCACAATAACACACAATAAGGAGGGAGAAATATGAAAGGAGGACAGTTGATTGAATGTTTACGGAGTAATGATTTCGAATGAGAGAAAGAGGGAGACAGTGTTTGTGAATGAGAGCGAGGAAACAATAAGAACAGAATGAGGAGGGAGGAGGAAGAAGAAGAGGGGGAGAGCAGACGGAGGGGGTAAGTGGCAATGGCAGCGCTATTAGGGAATGCAGGAGCTGAGACAGGTCGGAGGGAAGGAGCGAGGCCATGCGCGTCGTTCGTACCTTGCGGGATCAAGAGTAGTAATAATCTACTCGTACATGTCACGGAGGCGTATAGCCTGTAGCATGTGGGCCTGGCCACCCATGAAGGCCTGTAGGTAGCCTGTAGATGGCTGAGCCGATCACCAAAGACTGCTGTAAATAGCTCCCCGTGTAGTGGCTTGCAGAGGAGGACGCGCCCCGTAGCACGCGAGTCGGATCGGTCTGATTGGTAGATGTAGGCACTGCTGGGCGCGCGATGGTCTTAAAGGGCGCAAGGGCAAATCTCATAGAGTTCGCGACGAGAGCCAATGGCAGCGCGTCAGCTTAGCTATATTACGCGCTTGCCGGTCTTAGGGGAGGGGTCACTCTGCCTGACTACGAGTACAGATTATATGAAGGACACTATGGAGGACACTATAGAAGACACTATGGAGGACTTATGGAGGACTAGTCATGGTATTGATGCCCCGCACTCTCTCCTCCTAGAAGGTGCTCGGCAGTAATACTCCATAATCATAACTTAGACGTAAAACCTGGTCCCGACTCGCATTACAAGATTCTCTTGCACTCTTACTTTCCGTCTGGAAATACTGGATCTCGTAGCTTCAAATGTGCCTCTTTACACATGTACCTTTGTGTGCCCAACCAGACTTTCCATACCCTGACTCTTGCTACACGTACAATACGCTACTTACTTCAATGCATGCAAGCACTCTGTGATACCATCACCCACTACTACCACATGAGTACTCGTATACATGTAGTATCCGTACTCACCGCTCCGTGTCGCACTTTTGGCACTGGCTGTCCCTTCTATCTCGTCAGCGGCCACATGCAAGGGCGAATGTTGAATCCAACGGCACAGACTTGCATATGCGATCAAACACTCCCTTCGTAGAGTATCGCCATGACATGATATGCTTCCTTCACTCTTTCCATTCCTTACTCACGCATATCTCAATATATGCAGTAATTGCGGTAATACTTTCCTTGTCTATACTGTAGTTCAGCCGTACAGGCAATATGCCCCCATACAAATCACCGTTGGTATCACTTTACGCGTCTACCCCCCCGTCATGGATATACCCTCGCGTCTTCCCTAACCGTATATGTACCCGTATTCTACCCGTACTATCGTATCGTATCATCTGACGTCTTGTGACCTTTTCCTGACCCAGAAAAAGGCCGTATCTCATGCGACCAGCCCCCCCACCCCCACCCTCCTTCAATCAAGTATTAACGACCTCCCATTTTCTCACCACGGCCACGGCCACGGCCACCTCGCTTTGACCTCGACTTTCGCCCATCTATTGGTCCCCCCCCACTTGTCCTTCTTACCATTCACTGTACGATATGTACTCACTCTACTAGTCTCCATACATGGGTCTGCCTTAGTATTGCTACTACCGACTACGACGTATGGATGCTATTGCTAGCATTGGTATCCTAATAGCGTCAACCATTGATATCGCCCCTTACCCAACCCAGTCTACTCCGTACGGTCGTCTAATCTGTAGATATTAGTTATTACTCATTGTACGGGCCGCACGTATTCATACGGTTGGTACTGCACCATCACTTGCCTTGTTAGTTTGCAATTATCTCACCTCGACTGTAGTCTGCAGACGTGGTATCCTACATGTAGTGCTCACTCTGCATCAGCACTGGTCTGTACTGACAGGGCCATGCGCGTTCCAAGCAGTCAGTCGTATCTAGTCGCAGTGTAATACTGTACGGTACACAGCAGTGCAGACGGTGAAACGCCGAGGTGCAGCTTGCGTCTATGCCCCCCGAGCTCCCTCTCCAGATCAATACTTGGCACCCCGGGCAGAATCAGTAGTAGACTATTCATTAATCTATGCTTCTCACCAGGAGCCATTGGATACCCTTCCTCCTTTTTCGTCCCCTCTTCCCTCTCCAACCTCTCCTCACTACGCGCAGTCGTACTCGGACCAGTACTCTTGCACATCTACCCCCGTTCTGCGACCGCAACCCCCGACTACCATGTACGCCGTCGCCTCATCCATATGCCCTATGATAGGTCCTCGCCGCACCATTGCCAGTGCGAGCCTGTCTCGGTCAGAAGCGACCCTGCTCTGCCAGCTCTAGTCGTCTTCATACCTACGGCGTCTGGTCTGACGTTGACTAGTCTGCTGTCTATGGTGACTCTAGCACTGCCGCCCATTCTGCCCCAAGACTAGCAGCTCCGTCTGCATCTGCCTCTGCATGCCTGTTGGCTTCATGGCCTACTTGAACGTCAATAGCGCTGCCCCAGTCTGGGCTCGACGGTATCGTCAACGCAGAGCTAACCTCGTCGCAGCTGTCTGTGGTCATTGTGTCATCTGCGCCGCCGCCGCCGCCGCCGTCCACTAGACATGATCTGATCGATCCGGGCTTGGCATGCTCAAGTAGGCGCTCTCTCAGAGTCCCTTTGCCGCCAACCTTGGAGGTTCCGTCGAGTGACAAGCCTGAATGTTCCTGGGCGTGTCCACCGGCGTATTGCTGGTTCGTGTCCACCGAAAATACGGGCCATGCTTTGAGCGCCAGGCCGCTGCTGTCATCCGCCGGGTTGTGTTCCGTCGGTGCTTCGCCATACAAGGATCGATTGCTGCTCTGTGAAATGCAGTCGGCGCTCAGTTGTTTTCTCAATGGGTGTATCGCGTACTACTTCTGACCCATGCACAGGAGAGGCTTTGGCTGCCTGATACTCTCGGTCATCGACTCGCTGTCGTCCTTGTCCAAGTTCTTCGCCTGAGACTGCTCCACGCCAGGTTTCACTGGACTTTCATCGTAACGCTTCGCTTCGGGGTCGTCCTTCTCCGACGGTTTAGCCTGCGACTTATCTTGCGGCCTCTCCACGTCGTGTTTCTCTGAGCTGCCTGGGGCTCCTTTCGAGGAGTTGACTGTGTGTGCAGCAGCGATGTCGAGTGAGGGCCCTGGCAGGGCCAGTGTAACAGTGGACGACTCGCGACTCATCTCCGGGATTGTAGGCAAGGCAGGCCGAACAGGTATTTTCCACTCCCCGATTCCGTGCTCTTGTTCAGTTGTGGTGCTGGTCGGCGTCTGGTGACTCCCTGAACCAGAGCGCCCTTTGGCAACGGCAGATAGGGGACTCTTTTCCGACAAACTAGCATCGATGATCCCCCTGGGCAGGCTCATGGCCGAGTGACTCTTGTAGCCTTGAAGATTCTGGCGTGTGTTACTGTTCGTGTCGAACTCGTTGTATTCGTGCTCGTGGTCTTGCCAGTGTGTCGTCTGGCTGCTTCGCGGGTCCCGGCGTCGACTAGCCTCAATCTCCATGCGTGTGACCACGAGGCCCGGACAGCAGCACCCTTCGCTGTAGTCAATGTAGATCGTGCCGTCGATATGGTACATGCGGCGGAATCTCCGCTGTAAGCTAGCGAGGAGGCAACCGTAGCCTGGATACCAGCGGTTAGTTGCCGTCGGGTATACCACCGTCATATGCGTAGAGGGGTGCAATATTACACGGGAGGCAGAGAATGAATTTCCAGCATCCACCGACAAATGAGCCTTCGTCTCCGGGTGCAGTTCCAGCTACCGCGAGATCGCCAGCTCTAGCAGTGGCGCTCATATCGAGATGGCGAACATGGTTTAGCATGCGAGCGTAACCCGCACATGGGCAGCACGACAGGCTGGACCTTGCATCACGAGTTGCGGCCGGGCTCTACTGGCTCGTCTGCCCAGGGTCGTCTGTCGTTGCATTCGTATAGGTCTGCATGGTGATGGTACAGGGGCGGCGTATTCAGCAATGTGTATAAATATATATATTATATGTATGTGTGTGTGTGTGTGGTCGATGAAGGATAATGTTTACATTATGGCTAATAGGGTATCATGAGTTTCATAGATGGCTGTGTTCAATTCTGTCATGGTTGCAAGCAGGTCGCAAGCCATGTGCTGGGACAGCGGTGCTGATTATGCCGAGTGGGAGGATATGCTGTTCCCTAGGGGTTAGTTGGGTAGATGCCAGAGATTTGACAGGTGCCCAGAGGTGGATGGCTCCTTCTCCACGGGGAAGAGAGGCGAGTGGATTGGTATTATTCGAGGCAGGTGCGGCAGATGGGAGATAATGATCATTTTATTATTTTCTCCCATCAGCTCCAGAAGTAAGATAGTGATGGTCATCATATTCGATAGCAAGGCATATTCGAGTACGAGTAATAGGGGCAGAAGTACTTCGTAAAACGGAGCAGAGATATTTCAAGACCATTACTTGTAGAGTCAGATGAGACAGGGAGAGTCATAGTTCCCATATCGTGTTCACTCGTATTTAATCTCAACATAGTATTATACGAGTACCTGAGTACCTGTAAAGTCATAAGCCATTGTGGATGGTGGCCGGTTTTTTGTGTTGGGGGCGCACGTAAGTGAGCTCTCTACAGATTATACAGGACTGTAATAATAATACCATGTACGAGTATGCGTCGTGTCAAGTGTCTGTGCATTCTTTGACCTCAAAGGCTCGTCATCAATGTGACGATGACGGGATACACGTCGATATTACGACTTGTTTCTAAGTCGTGGTGCTTTGTCGACGTTGGCGCCGCCCGTGTACATTACGGAGTAACGGACCCGTCTCCGTGGGCGATACTCCTCCATAGACGGCGCTCGTGCAAGAGAAGACTCGGAATGTTATTAGAACACAGCTGCGTATGAGTGCCTGTACTTGTGCAATCTTTTAGTATTCAGCCGCCAACATTGGAGGTTGGTTATACCATAGTCTATGATATAGTCTATGATAGTACTATTAGTATATCACCCATGTAAGACTAGAGCTGGAAAAAAAAAACGACAGCGTAGAACGGGAGCAGCATAGCAAGGGCTCAACTAAAAAGGTTCCTGCCGTTCGAGGTGTCCAGCTGCGCTATCTACTTTCGTCTCCCTGTTTGTGGACGATGGATCTCGAGATGTAGTGTTCGAGAACGGTGCTAGTGCATGTGTATGTGCGTGCAGTGTGCACACATACAATATTATGCTGCAGTCCACGGTACTCAGCACAGGTATAGTAGTAGTACTAGTAGTAGTAGTACTGCTACTAGTAATGCATTGCCTTGGTATTAGGATCACTCGTTAGTAGTAGTAATACTAATAGTGATGGTAGAGAACGAGCATCACCTGCCCACAATTACGATGATACTATCGAACTGCCAAGTTGGATGAATGAGACGAGCTACGCGAATCATGTGCAAAAGGGGTAAAGTGGTCAGTAGAGGGAGAGGAAAAGGGAGAAGATGGGTGAGTGCGACGGGGGGGAAGGGGAAGGAACGCTGCTGCTCAGAAGGAAAGAGCTACAGGGTTAAAACCGTGCCGCGGCAATAACCTGTTCAGTATTGCTGCACCGGTTCTATTGTATATGTACGAGTAGTAAGTAATAAACACTTCTTGGAAACGCTTTATAACAATATATATCAATAGGTATTAATAGCCTTAAGTGACAAGATGCGAATAAGACGGCAGCCAGGACTCGAATTCGGATATTTTGTACGAGTGCAATAAATGACATATTATCTCCTTTATCTCCTCAATTGCCTTCTGATCCTCACCCCTTTGGAGGCCTGCGAGTACACAGACACAAAGTCTAAATTACGCTGTAATACCTGTCAAAAAGAGGCACCTTCGCATCGCTGCCCCGCTATAAGGTCTACCAGTATATCGTTATTCATATAATCCCATAGGTGCGGAGCAGAGCTTACTTGTTTAGTATTATTCGTAGTCTACGAGTATATGTATGTACTCGTATATTACTCGTACGGAGTAGGATCATTCTAATCTGTACTCCATACGAGTATTATTAATACTCGTTAGAGTCGTAGTATTAATAGCGGGCAATACGGTAAGACATGCGAGTATGTTGTAATCCTCCCCACTTTCACTATTCGCTCCCCCCCCCCTAATGCATAGCGTCAGGAACAGACGGAGACCTTCGTCTGCATTGATGCCCCTGGTTAATGTCGGCCATCTTGTCATCCAGTATTTTCTCAGTATCTTCTCAGTGTTTTCTCGTACTCATATTACTACTTAGTATTGTAATATGGTATTCCAGTATTATAGTAGCATTTCTCTCTGGATGAACCACTCCTCTTCATTATCACTATATCATACGACTTTTTCAATCGCTCTGGCACCCATCCGGTACTACATTGCACCTTCCTGGCCTCCTCTCTCTTGCCTGTACAGTACAGCTACTGCAACTCCCCGTATTATTACTCCTTCAACACCGCCCTCCCCTCCCCTGCTCCGCCTCCACATCCACTCCCTCCTCCATCTTGCAAACCCTCCTTTTCTTGGCTTTTTGTTGTGCCTGCGACTTTACCAGCTTACTTGCCCTCTTTTACTCTTCTCGTCGATCCTTTTTTCTCTGCCTTTCTTACGCTCCTTTACTCAACACGCCACTTTCCGAACGAGATATCACGACAGACGCGTAGAAGAAGGGGGGGAAGACATCGAAGCACACGCCAACCGAAAGAAACAGACACATGAAAGCGACACCCGTCCTTCTCCTCTACTTCTGTTTCGGCACTTGCCCTCTCTCGCTCCGTTCCGTTGTCCGAAATCCTCTTTACTTTTCGTCATCCCGAAACGTTACCCTGGGAGTTCTGTCACCCCGTGACAAGGTGACGAGGATTCAAATCCCTTCCCTTTCTCCCTCTTGAATCGCCGACAAGACTTTTCTCGCCAACTCTTGCGAGACCTGATTCGACCTTGCAAGACACACAAAAGAAAGAAAGAAGCATAATCGAATCGTTCAATCATTAGTCTTGCGCCGCCTGGTAGCCACTAGGTATGCTGGTCCCCCCGTTGCAGCGTCGATTGCATTCCTGTCTCCCTCACTGTCACCATGACAAACTGCCAATCGATGACGGACATAACAAGGCTGACTTTTGTTCTTCTCCCGAGAAGAATATACCATCTATACTATAGTATAGACCTAGGTGGTGCCCAAAGGACCCCTGCAAAAGGTCGTCCCCCCTAGGCCCTCTTTTCAACACGACGCACCCACACATCTACCAACCCGACAGAATCAAACAAATCGGAAAACGTCCTCGACCGGCAATATGGCAACGCATCATTCCCCCATCACGGGCCTCGGTGTGACCCTTCAACCGGTAGACTCTAGCGTCTCACAGCCCGAGCGCGCAGGTCTTTCGCGGACGACGACGGCCTATGACCCCCTGGACAAGAGCCCCCGGCCGAGCGGCGAGTCAACACCCAAAGTGAACCCCTTTGAGACGGACATTGAGGCCATGGATGTGGACGAGACGTACCCCTACTCCAAGACGAAGCAGCAGCGCGCCCTCGACCGGACCGACAAGCAGGTCTGGCCTGGCAAGGACCACTGGAAGCAAGTGGCCAAGTCGGCCAAGATGAAGCGCAGCTGTACCTGTATGGCGCGCCTGAGCCATCGTAACCGCATCATCGCCAAGATACTCATCGTCATCCTCGTCGTCGGGGCCGCCGTCGGTATCGGCTTCGGTGTGAGTAAACCGCTCGGTGCCGCCATTTGGACAGACAATCATTGAAAATAAACGCTGCACTGAATCACTCGCTACACGCGCGCAACCCGACATCACATCACCCACCCACCCAATTACACACACACACACACACATATATATATATATATACGACAACTCCATGACCACGACGGTTCCGCCCCGTCGATGACGTTTCTTTTCTCTTTCTGGGTTTTTCAGTCATGCTTAGCCAGACGCAAATAACCTGCGCTTTGTACAATTGCATCAGTCAACATCTTTAGGGAAGGAGAAAGGCCTGCATTGTCTTTCTTTTCCTAAGAATTTAAGAAGATTCCTGTATTGTCGGGATCAACTTTGTTCTCTTTCATTTCCCAGGTCTCATCTTGTATGGCGTTTGCTTTTTGATTCTTTCTCTCGCGCCTAAGAGAGGGAACTATGGTGTTTAGGATGAGCGATTGGCGTTTTTTGTTCTTGAAGTTTCCTTCATTTTCTTATCTTTTCCTCATTTTTTTCTTCCTATTCCCTCGTTTTCGCTTTATTTTGGTTTGTCTATTTTGGGCGGTTCATCAACTATAGAACAAGAAGAGAAAAAAAAAACATGATGAAACTCTACGATTGCTTCTGCTTTATTCATGTGCAATGCTGTGCTGTGCTATGTGGTTATTTGAAGCTGTGGATAATACTCCCTACTCTCACGCGTTAATTACTAATTTCTTCTCTCGTTCTAGTGTCATTGGCCAATGTCGTCAGAATACAAAAGTACAGTATTAGTACTCGTACAGGCCATAGGCTTCAACTGACCCGGCCCGTGGTTCCTGCGTTGAGAATGGCAAAGAGTGGAACTAGAGATCTGCATGGCCCACATTCGAAAAGTGCTATTACACCCCGAGAGTACGAGTTATCAATACACTTGAGTAGCAGGCTTGACGCAATGATGAACAAGTACAGCCATCTTACCTGTAGCAGTACTTGTATACAAAAAAAGGAACGAGGAGGGAGGGGTAAACAGGAGCAAGATGGGCAAGAGCAGATAATGGGAATGGAGAGAGAAGAGAATGAAGAGATGATCCAGACTGAAACATGCTACGTATTGACAGAGCTTGCAGCATAAACTGCATGACTTGGACGACCTAGGGAACGCTGTTTCATAAGGTCACGGCAATGCTCTGATCTCTCACATTGACATTACACAACAACGTCCAGTAGAATGGTGCTATTGGCTTGTTGTCAATGCCGTACGTGTACGTAATATACATAACATTGAGCCGTACTACTACTATTTTACCCCGTAGACAGCTACTATCGTGCTCGCATCCAAACACTCATTCTCCTATCCAAACATAAGTCAGGCAGGCCAGGAAAAATGTGTTAGATTACGTACAGAATCCTTCCACCTCCTTTTCGGCTCCCCATCTCTCCTTCTCTGTAACGTACTCAGTATCAAGCCTAGCTATCTCGTTGTGTTGTTGTGTACTGGGTACAGGATATGAATCAAAGCAGCGCGCCTAAAACGTCTGCGGGGGAGGTCGAGACTGCATATATCCTCGTTTCCTTGACCTTCTCGTGGGTCCTTCCTGGTAATGAAGAACAACAGTATGAGAAGAGGGCGGGGACGTGAAGAAAGGGGGGTAGAAGAGAAAAAAAAAATGCACGGTTCGTCTGGAGTACAAAAGAAAAGGAATCTCCCCGCTCCCCGTGCCCAGTATAGTGCAATATTCTATTTCCGTCCTTTGTTGCAGCTGAGGCATGATGAGGGTCATCTGTGTGTGAATAATAGTGATAGTAGTGGTGGTGATTAGCTGTCACGGACAGCCGGTCGTATTAAGGAGCAAAGCAAGAAAATCCATCCCTTCCCTCATCACGAGGACTGGTATAGGAGCAGCGGCTCGCCCACCTTTTCAATCTCGGGAATGGTGCACTTGAGGTCGAATGCTTTTGCTAAAACAATTTTGAAGATCTGTACTTTGTCAGAACGTAGTCATACGGAGTAGAGTCTTCTGCTCCCCTCGATGGATGAAAATATACCTTTTGCACATTGATACTGTGGCTAGTGCTGGAGAATATCAGGGCTGCCCTCATGGCCTTGGCAAATCGACGAGCCTGAGATGGATGCACTGTTAGGACGAAGCGAGAATGAGGGGGAATGTCTGGTAAAGAACAAAGCACACCTGAGTTGAGATCTCTTCCTGATCCTGCGGGGGAAAGTTGACAAAGTGATCATACTTTGTGCCAACAAGGATGGGAATGGCCGTTTTGTTGAACCCCCTACCCTGGCGGTACCACTCCTTGATGCTGTTGAGGGTGCTCTTGCGGGTGAGGTCAAACATGAACAGGATGGCGACGGCGTCATTGCAGACGAGGGGCAGCATGTTGACAAACTCCCGCTGGCCACCGAGATCCCAGATGGAAAAGGTGATTTCCGTGTTGCGGATGGAAATGGTCTTCTCCATGAAGTTGACGCCCAGCGTCTGGATGTAGTCCTCGTCCCAGCTCCCTTCGACGTACTTGACCATGAGCGACGTCTTGCCGATCTGGGCGTCACCCACCATTCCAACCTTGATGACCACGTGGTTGCGACCGTTGGTCATAGTCTCACCGCCACTGGCGCCGCTACCCGACTGTCGTTGTTGGTGCTGCTGCTGCTGATGTTGCTGCTGGTGCTCGTATGATGACTGCACTGGGTTCGACATGCTGCTCGTCGGTCGGGAGAGGGACGGGGCACTCGACGCCGGGGGAGGAGTCACGTAGTAGGATGACCCGGGGCGGGGGCTGCCCTCGTGGGAGAGCATATTGTAACTGGGGCTGTTGGTGTAGGCTACTTCCTGGTCTAGGGATTGACTGTAACCGTGGTGGAGGGCAGCAGCACCGCCGCCGGTCTGTGCCATGTGCGATGTGCCGTCGAGACCACCGAGGGTATCGTCGTGGCTATCTTGCGGCAGCATCGGAGGCTGTGGTTCGGGCGGTCCGTTCATATCCATATCGGCTTCTTGTTGAAAGGCCCTTTTTTGTCCTGGGGCCTTACGCAGGATCGGAGGTGCAGCTGGATGAAGGTGTCTCGTTTTTTCCCCCCCCAATATTTTCTATTATCGGCTTGTTTGTTGGCGATACCACACGTTTCGACGAGTTTCGGTCTCGGTCGGGTCGGAATTCAATAGGCGGTGCTCGTAGCGTCGAGCCTTCTAGATTCGAAGCGAGAGACGAGGAGCTGGACAAGATGGATGAGCCCAGATCAGGTCAGACAATGCATAAGGTTGGCCGACGGGAGAGCCGCAATGCAGGGCCTGGCTGCACAAAGGCAACGGGTTGATTTAGAGGCGCGGTCGAGTGCGGATATAGAACAAATGGAATCCAACCAAGGTGTATGTGTGTGTAATGGAGAGAGGGTGCGTGCCTCTGTGTATGTGTTACGTCGGTTACCACGTGATGTCTTTTTAACGGACTGGAAAAAGGAAACGGATCCAGAGAGGAATTGAGAGCAGCTCAGAAGGTTGCAAGGCAGGGAGGAGGGGCGTGATGACGGGATGGATAGACAAGATGTAGAGTGGAGCAGAAACGACAGGGGGGTACCGAGCAGAGAGAAGTGTGTGTGGGCGTGGGTGCTGTTTTGTGGGACAATACAGGTAAAGGTCGAGCGAGGAGGTATGGTCGAGGGCCATCTAGAGATTAGGCTAGTCGTATAGACTATCAACTCTCAGGATGCGTGGGCTTCTTCTCGAGTAGAGCACAAGTAGAGATGCTGATCGTAGCGACAGTATTTGTGTGGTCATACGGACAGCCCATACGAGTTCCGTATTGACAAATACGATATCACAGCTGGCGGGGGGGGAGCAGCAGTCTGCAGTCCATGCCCGGACCTGTATCTGCCCTGTGGTCCTCTCGTAATACTGTGGTACAGTCTGTAGGCTACAGCGGTGTATTGGCCCTGTATGGCGCTTACTGCAGCGCTCTTGGGCACTCTCGGCCGTCCATCCAGCCGCTCCATCGTATTGATGGAGTCCCCAGAACCCTATAGCACTCCCTTCCCCCCCGCCGTATCACGTCGGCATTGGTGCCTGCGTCCGCTGGGCAGCTGGATCGTACCTTAGTAAGCCCCAAATGGAGGTATGACTCGCCCGCAGGCCACAGCTGAATGGGTGGATCTTGTTTGCCTATGATTTTCCTCCCCACCCCACTCCTCCATCACACATACTGTCTCCCTCAACTCTCCCTCGCCCACACACAATCAACAGAAAAGAGCCGGTTCAATACATGAGAGTAACCCGTATGATATGTACATGCGCCTCTCGAAAGAAGGGGCGGGGGTTTTGAGAGCTACGTTTCTATGCAACGGCCACTGATCTTCGACCGTTGACTTGTCTCGCACTCGCGGGCATACCAGCCCATCAATTGCGGCGACTGTAATGCTGGGTATTCGTACTCGTAACTGTTCAATGTCGGGATATAATTCTACTATAGTGAGCACTCAAGGTATGGGGTATCGACAGCTTTCAAGTCGAATATGCTGCGAGGTTGGAACCATTCTCAATGTCGTCGAACGGCTCTCCCACAACCTACCCACTACGACTGATACCTACGACTGGCAACGATAGCATCAGCAATACTAAGAAATACCAGCACTGCAGCCAGCATCGTACCAGTAGCTACCATCATACCCTGTAGAACATGTGCCGTGGATGTACGGGGACGGAATAAGGGACCGAAATCCCGTGCAGTATTACGGTGTAGCCCATACGCCCATACGCCTAGATACGGAACCTCGTCGGCTCACATCCGAGCTTTCGGTATCTGTCCGATGACTAAGCGCTCTTATCAGCCCATAGTTTGGCCCATGGCGATCAACGACAACTTCCGACCTGCACACCTCAATTCCCCTCGCAGACCTTCACCCGCAAGTTGCTGTCGCTGTCGCCGCTGCCGCCGTTCAGACTCTCTCTCCCGCCGTAACACACCGCAGAAATGGCCTCCATCGCCCGCACCCTCAACATCGCCAGGCCCGCGGCTCTGCGCCTCACTGCCCGTGCCACCGCCCCGGCTGCCACCCGCATGTCCCTCCGGTCCTTTTCCACCACCAAGAATGGTAATGTCCTTTCTGCTGTTTCCTCCCGTCCGCCCCCGCCCAATTGGCTGAAGGAAGGGGATATAGGGAGAAGGGGATCAATTGAGTTGAATTGAACTGAACATCTGGCTAACTGATCACACACAGTCTTTGTCAAGATGTACACCAAGGAGCACGAGTGGGTCGACCTCTCTGCTGACCACAAGACGGCCGTCGTGGGCATCTCCGAGTACGCGGCCGAGCAGCTCGGCGACGTCGTCTACGTCGATCTTCCCGAGATTACTGGCGACTGGATCGACCAGGGCGACACCATCGGCGCCGTCGAGTCGGTCAAGTCGGCCAGCGACATCAACTCGCCCATCAGGTGCAAGGTGACGGCCGTCAACTCCAACCTGGAGGAGAAGCCGTCCATCATCAACCAGGTGCCCGAGGATGACAGCAACGGCGGTGGTTGGATTGCCAAGGTCGAGGTCGACGAGGAGGCTGTGAAGCAGATCGAAACCCTCATGGACGCTGACGCCTACAAGGCGTACGCTACCCACGACGACTAAACCACTTTCCCTCCCTCCAACCACGAAGCGTTTATTCCTTTTCACACGAGATCATAATTTGGGGATGCGGGCATATGAGATATAGAGAAAAAAAAAGAGAGTGCGAGTCGCATCCCCTGCTCGCAAGATTTAGATGTTTGGCAATGTGACAGTTCAACCTGAAGGCTGGTTTTGTTCCGGTGTATTATTGACAAATCTACCACGATTGGTGCTGTAGTGGTCTGATATAACCCAGAACGGCGTATCATTTGGAGCTTTTTAGCAATCGCGGGTTTCATCAGCTGCATGCATATCATTTCATTTCTCATAAGACTGCCTCCCTCCCTCTGTGTGATTATCTACATCATGTCCCCTTTTGTATTCTCGATGAGCAAAAGTAAAAGTACTAGCCAGATTCGTCGCCTTCCGAGTAACAGACAAGCATCTTGGCAATGAAGAGGGGAAAGAAAGAGGAAAAGACGAGACCCCGATTCGACATCTAAGGCTTGTTCGAAGTAATAGACGCGAGAATCTTGTCAGCGCCACGGGTGACGAGATCCGTGGCAACGCGCTTTCCGTACTGGTCGGCCTCCTCGGTCGTAGTGATCGCCTCGGTGTCGTCTGCATCGACAGCCTCTGTGCCATCAACATTGACAACGGTAGCCCTCAGACGCAGCTTGCCGTCGACCCAGCTCGTCTCGACGCCGATGGGCACACTGCACCCACCCTCGAGGAACCTCATGACGCTGCGCTCAGCAATGCAGGCCAACGCCGTTTGGGGGTCCTGCAACTTGCTCAGCATCTCCAGAACAGGGGCGTCGCCAGCCCTGCATTCGACGCCCAGGGCTCCCTGTCCCACGGCATGCAGGATACCTCCGTTGTCGAAGTGAAGGAATTGGGAGATGTGCTCGTCGAGCTGCATGCGCTGCAGGCCAGCGGCGGCGAGGATGGTGCCCGTCAACTCCGGGTCCTCCTCCAGCTTGCGCAGGCGCGTCTGGATGTTTCCACGGTGGTCCTTGAATTTGAGCCCGGGGTAGCGGCGGCGCAGCTGGGCCATGCGGCGGATGCTGCTCGTGCCAATGACGCTGCCTTCCGGGAGGTCGGAAAGGCTCCTGTACCCCTTGCCGTCGATGAGCGCCTTTTTTATTACGAGGACGTCGCGCGGATCCTCCCTGTCCGTTATGGCACCCAGAACGCATCCGTCGGGGAGGGTGGTGGGCATGTCCTTGAGAGAGTGCACCACAATGTCCAGCTCCTTACTCGCCAACTTCTCCTCCAGCTGAGACGTCCACAGGCCCTTGCCACCAAAGTTGTACAGGGCCGTCTTCTGGTCCCTATCTCCAGTCGTCGTCATGCCGTGGATGGTGAAGGTCGTGTCGGGCTGCGCCTCCTTGAGCAGCTTGACCACGATCTCCGTCTGCGCCATGGCCAGCGGCGACTCCCGCGAGCCCACCTTGATGACCTTGTACTCCGTCGAGGTCATGGTGTCTGGTGCGAGATGGGTGAGACGGGGGGAGAAGGGGAAGGGCAAAAGATTTGTCGTATGTCTGATAGCCCGATGACACCGGGAATAGATGGGAAGGTGTGAAATTAGGGTGAGATGAAACTCCGCAGACAGGTTTGCGGCATCGGCCGAGGGGCAATGTGGGATTCAGACGTCAAATGGAGGGGCAGCTTTTTCAGTGGGGCTGTCTCTATCTACGCTGTTGCTGTATCATATTCGTACAAGCGATACATACGCCTCCCGCGCCGGGGAGTCTAGGGACGTACGAATATGTGATGATAGGTGGTTCTAGATTTAACGGGTGCCTCTGAATTTTACGATTCTCAGTGTCTTGGGGTCTATTCGAAAACAGTCTTCTTGGCTACTGCTTACTCACTATTGAATCAATAGTGACACGGCTGTATCCAGTCCAAGCCATTGTCGAACAAAGGCCTCGATTCATATCAATCTTCTGAATTACCAAAGGCAGTTTCAAGAAACGATATTGTCCATCAAGTACATCTTGCTATCTTTCTCTCATAATATTACGCATATAACAAGAAGCGCAATAAAACACCTCAAACAATTTGTCTAGCCGTTTCGACCAGTTCCTACTTCCTAGTTCTCAAGACTCCCTTCAGGGTAAGCCAGGCGGGCGGGGGGAGTGTGGGGTGGTACATATAATAATATTTATCAGTGACGGTTAACTATACTCCGTACTAAAACAGCTCCAAGAAGCAGGACCGATGACCCAGATGTTACGCATATAACGACGTATATAACATTTAGATCACCCTGCTTGCCATTTATCTCGTGGTAGTTTGGGGATATATGAGAAATCCTATTTTATCCATTTGGTAGCCTGAAAAGGTATCATACGAACGACAAAGTATATCCAGCTCAGCAACCCTCATCAATCTTTGATAAGAGCGGCCTTGGCACACGCCCAAGGCCTTTGGACGCTTTGCGCCGTATGGTTGTTCGAGTGCGAATACGAAGTAATATGGACAAGATACTTCCCCGTTGCAACATAGTACATGTACTGCTTCATATTTCCTATTTCATCTACTACCCCAGCTTTTTCCACGCAAGTCGGTGCTTCCCCGCAGCTCCATTATTCCTCAGGTGTACGGATACTTGTGTACTCCATCCCTACTACTACTCTCCGCCGGACGTATCCCTCCCTTCCTGTCTGTTCTGTTGGTAGGCACACTGAGCTGCCATTATTGATACCCGAGGCGATCAAGCGACGTCGGCATAAACAAGGCGCACTGAACTCCTCCCCCCCCCCCCCCNCACTCTCCCATCCGAGCCTCCCACACTCCTTTCTTCTCACCCTCCTTTCTTCTCACCCTCCTTTCTTCTCACCCTCCTTTCTTCTCACCCTCCTTTCTTCTCACCCTCCCGTCCCTCCATTCTCTTAAACACCAATACTCCATCCTCTCACGGGCTCGCTTACCGCTTGAATCTCGTTGGAGTCAACCTGGATATGTTGGGAATTGTCGTCATCCTGTGTGCCGCGTCCCTGGTCTCTAGTTCTAGACTGTCCACTATATTTCACTCCGAACATCACTGTTACTTTTCCTCTGCATTAACGACAACTGTATTCTCCCACCTTTGTTATACACACCCACTTGGTCCTGAATACCTGCAGTAGTGGGATTTCTGCTGCCCCCAGTCCTCCATTCCTGGCAAACCGGTGGGCTACTGTCCATGACGCCGTCTGTCAAACATGGTACCGACATTCCCCAGGCCCTTGGCCATTGAGCTCTCTTGGGCCCAGTACGTAGGACGTGCAGCTAGCAGTGAGTTCATACCGTCCGACTAGCATACGCAGCCGGATATTCACTAACACACCTGCTTTCTTAGATGCCCGAAAGCCATTTCTTAATATCAGCGGTTGTCGACGGCATAGCGCACGACAGATATCGATCCCTGCGGCCACCACACCCATCGCTTCCACACGTCAGACTTTGGTCACCGCCCGCTCCCCTTCGGTACTTAGGCCATATTCCACTGAGTCGACTGCACCGGTGCCACCGACCAAGCCCTACCGGGACCTCACTATCGGCGTGCCTACCGAGGTCTTTCCCGGCGAACGACGCGTGTCTCTGACCCCTGCCAACGTCACCCTTCTCTACAAGAAAGGGTTCGCCAAGGTTCTCGTCCAGCGGGGAGCCGGGCGTCTCGCAGACTTCGCAGATGAGTCTTATACGGCTGCTGGTGCTACGCTCGTAGACAGCGCCGAAAATATCTGGTCCGATTCCAACATCGTGCTCAAGGTGCGCAGCCCGGCTCAAAAAGAGATCGAGTCCATTCGTTCCGGTCAGACAATCATCTCGTTTTTGCAGCCGGTGCAGAACAAGGAGCTGGTTGATGCCATTGCTGCCAGGGGGGCCACGATTTTTTCCATGGACATGATCCCACGCATCTCCCGTGCTCAGGTATTCGACGCTCTCAGCTCCATGGCCAACATCACCGGTTACAAGGCCGTCCTCGAGGCGTCCAATATCTATGGCCGATTCCTCACAGGCCAGGTCACCGCTGCAGGAGCGATCCCGCCCAGCAAAGTTCTGGTTATCGGTGCTGGTGTTGCTGGTCTCAGTGCCATTGCTACGGCCCGTCGACTCGGTGCAGTCGTGCGTGGCTTTGACACCCGTCCAGCTACGCGTGAGCAGGTTCAGTCTCTCGGAGCCGAGTTTGTCGAGGTCGATCTGAAGGAAGACGGCTCCGGAATCGGAGGATACGCCAAGGAGATGAGCAAGGAATTCATCGATGCCGAGATGAAGCTCTTCAAGGACCAGGCAAAGGATGTAGACATCATAATAACTACGGCCCTCATCCCTGGAAAGCCTGCACCAAAACTCATCAAGAAGGAGGCCCTCGACGTCATGAAACCCGGAAGCGTTGTTGTTGATTTGGCTGCCGAGGCTGGTGGCAACTGCGAGGCCACGGTCAAGGATGAGCTCATAACATACAACGACGTCAAGATTATCGGTATGTCGGTTGATAGACTGCACAAAAAAGCAGACTCTTTTCTGACAGCCTCTCAGGTTATACTGACTACCCATCCCGACTCCCTACCCAGTCCTCAACACTCTACTCCAACAATATCACCAAATTTCTACTGTCCATGGCTCCCAAGGAAAATGAGTTTGGAATCGACCTGAGTGATGAAGTTGTGCGCGGGGCCATTGTCACACAGGACGGGAATATTCTCCCACTTGCTCCTCGACCAGCACCTCCTCCGGCTCCTGCGAAACCCGTAGCAGCAGAGACCAAGGTCGAAGTCAAGGAGCTCACCCCGTGGCAGAAGAAGACCCGGGAAGTTGCTGCCGTCACAGGTGGAATGGTCTCTGCATTGAGTCTGGGTAAGCTGACGAGCCCCCTGTTCATGGGGAATGCCTTTACCTTTGCTCTCGCCAGTCTCATCGGCTACCGTGTGGTATGGGGAGTCGCACCGGCACTCCATTCCCCTCTCATGAGCGTGACGAATGCCATCTCGGGAATGGTGGGTATCGGTGGCCTCTTCATCCTTGGTGGGGGGTATTTACCTGAGACGATCCCTCAAATGTTTGGTGCTCTCAGTGTGCTACTGGCTTTCGTCAATGTTGGAGGAGGCTTTGTCGTCACTAAGCGTATGCTCGACATGTTTAAGCGTGAGTACTGCCCTGGAAAAAAAAAAGACGCGTCACATGCTGATGATCAAATTCTTCTAGGTGCGACTGACCCTCCCGAGTATCAGTGGCTGTATGCAATCCCCGCTACTCTTTTTGGAGGCGGCTTTCTCGCTGCCGCAAGCACCGGAGCTGCTGGTTTGGTCCAGGCTGGGTATCTGGCTAGCTCTCTGCTCTGTATTGGATCCTTGAGTGGCCTCGCATCCCAAGCCACGGCTCGCATGGGCAACATGCTGGGCATGCTCGGTGTCGGATCTGGTGTTCTAGCCAGTCTTCTAGCTGCCGGCTTCACACCCGAGGTCCTGACTCAATTTGGCGCCCTGGCTTCCGTCGGAACCTTGGCCGGTAAGATTTGACTGGGAGAAACTCGAATAGGCATCAGGACTGATCACTCGATATACCAGGATTCCTCATTGGTAGACGCATCACGCCTACCGATCTCCCACAGACAGTTGCGGCCTTGCACTCCGTCGTTGGACTTGCCGCGGTCATGACTAGTATCGGGAGTGTCATGGGGCACGTCTCTGACCTCTCGACTCTTCACATGGTGACGGCTTATATGGGAGTCCTCATTGGTGAGTGATACCGCTTTCTCCTGTGACCGCTACACATGGCTGGTTCCAATTATTGAACTACTGTAGGTGGCATCACCTTTACCGGCTCGATCGTCGCCTTTTTGAAACTTGCAGGGAGAATGAAGTCTCGTCCGGCGGTTATACCGGGCAAGCACTACATTAATGGTGGTCTGCTCACGGCAAACGCAGCGACAATGGGCGCCTTCATCACCATGGCTCCCGGCAGCCCCATGATTGCGGCAGGTGCGCTTGCGGCGAATACCTTTATGAGTTTCATCAAGGGCTATACCACAACGGCCGCTATTGGAGGCGCAGACATGCGTAAGTCACAATGTCAGGACGAGCCAGCATGTCGTATACTAACCGACCATGGACAGCCGTCGTCATCACCGTGCTCAATGCCTACAGCGGATTTGCCCTCGTGGCAGAAGGCTTCATGTTGGACAACCCCCTCCTAACGTCTGTGGGCGCCTTGATTGGCGTCTCGGGATCCATCCTGTCATACATCATGTGTGTCGCTATGAATCGGTCATTGACAAACGTGCTCTTTGGCGGGGCGACGGCGGCAACACAAGTGCAGGAATATAAGCCACAGGGAGAGGTGACGCAGATATCTGTTGACGAACTGGCCGTCTCGCTTCTCGGCTCGGAGTCGGTCATCTTCATTGTCGGATACGGAATGGCTGTGGCCAAAGCGCAGTACGCCATCTCCAACATTGTCGAGATGCTCCGATCCAAGGGTATCAAGGTTCGCTTCGCCATCCATCCCGTCGCAGGCCGGATGCCCGGTCAATGCAACGTCCTCCTCGCCGAGGCCAGTGTGCCTTACGACATTGTGTTCGAGATGGACGAGATCAACGACGATTTCCCCGATACAGACCTTGCCGTCGTCATTGGCGCCAACGACACGGTCAACCCCATCGCACTAGAAAAGGGCAGTTCGATCGAGGGTATGCCTGTTTTGCACGCCTGGAAGGCCAAGCAGGTCGTTGTCATGAAGCGGAGTCTTGGTAGTGGATATGGTGAGTGATGTTAAAATTACCAACCCCAACATCCCCCTCTTTTTCCCCCCTGGGGAAGAAGCAAAATGTGGACCGAAAACTAACCCGTGGGCACCATCCCTAGCCGACGTACCCAATCCCATGTTTTACATGCCAAATGCACGCATGTTATTCGGCGACGCTAAGATTTCGTGTGAAGGTTCGTCCTCCCCCAGATTTCGATGGTACAATCATCACTGACGTTTTCCACAGCGATCAAGAGGGCGGTAGAGAAAAAGATGTAGTTGTCCGTTATGATTTTGCGGATTATACATGTATTTTTTTTCTGTCTATGTGTGTGTGCATAGGTTCTGATCGTTTATCGCAATGTCATCTCGGATTGACTCGGTTGAAGAGGGATAAACATTGTCACGCCATTTTTGGCATATCGCTCAACGTATGGGATGATCCAAAGAAAAATTTGGTTCTCGATTGTATCGCATATATACACACAAGAGCACTGCACCAGTAGATTCCTCTTCTAAGCTCTGCTTCTCTTTCACTACTCTAGGCTCGCTGCGCAGCCACGGGCTCCCAAGTGGTAAACTTGGGCTTGGTCCTGCAATCAACGTCCTGTTTAGCAGATACTCCTCTACTACGATTATATCTGGGAAGAGGATAGACTCACGTGCTGTACGTCTTGAAAGCACCACGCGTCTGGGTATAGTTGGGCTTGGGGAAGGATGGTTCGAAGTGGCGAGTGCCGGGCGTCATGAGGGCGTCCTGGCCCGGCGGCTTGTCAACCATGTAGCTGATCCACGAGTGCCAACCGGGCTCGATCTGGGCGGCATCGTAGTCATGCTTGGCGTACTCGACCCAGCGGGTGCGGAGGGGGAGTTCCTCGTTATTTTCATAGAACTTGTTTCCGGCGCGATCGGTGCCAATCAGAGTCCCGGCCTTGGTGTCGCCTGTGCGCGTCAGTTAGCTAAATGACCAACCTCTGACAAGAGGAGGGGGACATGCGTACCGATGTACTGTTGGGTAACGGCGAAAGAAGGCGTGGATTAGTATCTGAATTCTGGGGAAGGAATAGAGAAGGCTGCCTAGACATACCACCATCTGCATTATGTAGTCCTGTATTCCGGGTTAGCATCTCCATGCAAGTTGAAGGGGGGGGGGGGGGGGGTAATACCTTGAATCCGACCTGACGCAGGTTTCGAAGAGTTCGTGTAATCGTCGACATGGTGGCGGAAGATCTGATAGATTGACCGTCTGCAACTCTGAACAATTGACGGGATGCAGGAAGTTGTAGGAGGCGGCAGTCAGTTGGGTGGTGTCGAGCATCATGCTGGGGTGACGGTAGAAATCCGGGTAAATACATCAACCTCGGGTCACTGGGGGTACCGACAGCTTTCTTAGCTCCTAACAATATGCGTTTTATCATTTTGATGCATCATTTCAAGCTGTAATCTAAACGCAAGATCCAGCACCTATACACCCCTCGGAAGCACGGGCGCAATGTTGGCGAGGGTATGTCCCCGTTCTGTCGCCACAGGAGGCTCTCGTTCCAGCACAAGGAGTCCAATTCCACCACCCTCGATACGACGGCAGTGCTGCCGCCGGCGTCAGTACAGCGGACAAGCAGGAGCTTCGACATCGCCAGCTGCGAGCTCGGGGCCCGGTAGCGGCGCGGCGGGAGCTCTGGCCCCCTTTGTTAATGAGCTGGATCGTATCGCTCCCCGATTCGATATTCGAGGCGAACAGATCCAAATCATCAAGACGCCCGCCGACTTTTACGAGACGCTCAAGGTATTATTTATTCCTCTTCCCTCTCCCACACACGAGAATGGACGATATGGAGAATCACGAGCTGACCCATTGGCTCCCCTCTAGAACCGCATACGCAATGCCAAGAGCCGCATCTTCTTGTCGACATTATACGTTGGCAAGACCGAGGGGGAACTTATCGAGACGCTGTGCGACGCCCTGCGCGCCAACCCGGAGCTCAAGCTGAGCGTGCTGACGGATGCGCTGAGGGGAACGCGAGAAGCGCCCCGGCCTTCCTGCGCTTCGCTGCTAGGTCCGCTGGTCGAGGAGTTTGGGGACAGCCGCGTTGAGGTGCGCATGTATCATACGCCCAACTTGACGGGGTTGCGCAAGAAGGTGGTGCCCCAGAGGATTAATGAGGGATGGGGGCTGCAGCACATGAAGCTGTACGGTGTTGATGACGAGATCATCATGTCTGGGTATGCTCTCTCTCTCCTTGTGAAGAAAAAAGAGAAGGGAAGAAAAGAAATCAGACACCCGGTGACTAACTCTGTGACAAGTGCAAATCTATCCTCGGACTACTTCACCAACCGCCAGGACAGATACCACCTCTTCTCGTCGGCTTCTGTGACAGAGCACTTTTGGCGCATTCACCAGGCTGTCGGCAGCTTCAGCTTCCTTCTGCAGCCGGCCAAGGACGACGAGGCGGGCTTCACCCTCGGATGGCCGCAGTCCAACTCGGCGCCGTCCCCGCTCGAGAATCCCGAGTCGTTTGTCAAGGCGGCGACTGCCGTCCTCACGCCTCTCATCCTGCCGAAATCCAAACCGGTCAACCGCCTGTCCTCGTCCTCGTCCTCTCCTGAGTCCGTGCCCGACTCGGACACAACCGTGTACATGATGGCCCAGCTCTCGCAGGTAATGAAGCCCAACGTGTCGACGGAGCTGCCCGCTATCACGCACGTCCTCAAGACGCTCGCGTCTCCCGAGTACCGAGACTCGTCGTGGACCTTTACAGCGGGCTACTTCAACCCTGCTCCGTCCCTGACTAGTCTACTCCTGGAGACGGCGTCGTCGGCCCGTCAGAACACCGTCATCACGGCCGCCCCTGAGGCGAACGGCTTCTACCGCTCCCCCGGTGTGTCGGGTATGCTGCCGGACGCGTACGTCCTGCTGGCACGCCGCTTCCTCACCGCCGTCCAGGGCTACGGAAAGCAGTCCGACATCTCCCTCAAGGAGTGGCGCAACGGTACCGCTGGCCAGCCAGGGGGGTGGACGTACCACGCCAAGGGCCTGTGGATCACGCTGCCCGGTGACACGGACCCGGCTATCTCTCTTGTCGGAAGCTCCAACTACACACGCCGCAGCTACACGCACGACCTAGAGGCTGGCACGCTGATTGTCACGCGTGATGAGGGTCTCAAGGCCAGACTGGGCCAGGAGCAGCTGTGGCTGCAGGAGCATGCCAAGCCTGTCACGCAGGATGACTTTGCCAGGAATGATCGGAGGGTCGGGCTGCATGTGCGTGTTGCCATGTGGATTGTCAAGATGGTGGGAGGAGCTTTGTGAAGACACCAGCACGCCATATTGCCTGTTTCGAAATTCTTGTATACTACTGCTACCATTACATAGACATAGACTTTAATGTATACCCTTGATCACCTCAGAGACATGTGGGTGGCGCGAACCAACAAGTTAAAGAAACACGGAACTGTGCGCACTCCTTTCGTAGAGAATTGGAAAAAAGTACAAGAGAACAATTGTACATGGAATTTTTTGCTAGATCTACAAGCCGATGTTGTTACATAATAGACCACCCTTCTGCGACCTTCTACGCACCGAGAATCTTCTGACCGCTCTCAGGACCGGGAGTGAAACCCCCGACGAGAATTTTGCTGACGAGATCACTCTGGTGTCGGTCAATCATCTCCTTGAGCACGGAACGCTCTAAGATGACCTTGCCATCCTCGAGTAGATCCTTGACGTCGACATCGTCGAGGTCGAGCGCCCTACCCTCCCAGGGGACCTGCTCTATTGCATCGAACAGCCTCTGTCGCCTGTCGCTCGTGACGAAGAGGGTGCGTCCATCAGCCTTTCCGAGGCCGAGGTCACCCAGCACGCCAGTCATGTACTTGGCCATGTATGTCTCGCGCAGGCCGTCTTTGAGGAATTTGTCGGCGACGAGTTCGAAGTCAGCGGGCATGGCGAGGTCCATGCCATCCTCGCAGACGAGGAGCTCGCCCCTGCGGTAGCGATAGCTCAGGGCCGTACGCCAAGCCTTGTCGTATACCTTGCGGTTGAGCTTGGTGCCGAAGTCGCGCGGGTGCGGGCCGAACGTCTTGCCACCGCCGCGGCGGATGGGACTCTGCTTGGTGCCCACGCGGGCGCGGCCCGAGCCCTTCTGCGCGTGCACCTTGCGGTGCGAGCCGTGCACTTCATATCTCGTCTTGACAGAGGCCGTGCCCAGCCGCGTGTGGTCACCTTCGTACACGACCGCCATGTGGAGGAGGTCGCGACGCAGCGGGAGGTACAGGTGCTCGACCGACCACTGCTCCAGCGTCTTGGGCTCGAGCCAGGGGAAGCTGTGGATGGTGACGGGTACGGAGGATGCTGTGCCAAGTTTGGTCAGTACCTTCCAACTGTCTGCTAAGATATATACATCTTATTCTCACTGCCTAGATAGATGAGAAAAAAACATACCTGGGTTCCACGATTGCATAATCTTCTGCGTGTCTGCCGTCTTTGTAATCTGACTCATCGGTGCCTCGGTGGCCATTGTCCGCGCAAACGTCTTGGTCGGGTGCGAGGCCTACACGTGCGGTCAGGTCAGGTCAACTAGTTGCATCATGAGGCCAGGAAGGTCATTCAACATACCCTAGCCGCTATCCCGAGAGATCTCATGGCCTCGGTAAGACTTCCGACTCCTCGTGCAGCCATCGTTGCCGGTCGTTTGATGTCGTGGGTTGTAGATGGATTGAGGTCGTTGTCGCAAGTTTTGCAGGAGTCGAAAACCATGCCAGCAGGGGAAAAAAAGGCACTGCACTGGCCCGGGAAAATAAAGGTGGATCACTCCCACCCAAAAAGGAAATCACCACCACTTGGCTTTTTTTTTCTCTCGTGTATCCGGTTCTCCTTTGCACCACCAACACTTCAAAACGACACCCATCTCCTTTTTTCTTCTTCTTCGACATCTTCCCACCCCCCTCCCATCATGTCGCGGTGTCACTCTGTCGTCACCAGGCCACTGGTGAGGCAATTATGTCACCGACCGGCACAGCAAGGCTTAGCCCGGCCCTTTTCCACTACAATGTCCTCCTGGTCAGCAACGACCTCCGATGCCCAGCAGCAGCAGCCGCAACAGACTTCGTCTTCGCCTCTGGACCAGAGTCCGGACACGGTCCTACCCGAATTCGAGGATTCCCTAATCAGAGCTGGAAAGATGCCCGTTGGCTCCCGCAGACGCCGCGTTGCCATGCGCACCACGACCGACTCCCTCCCCTTTGAGCAGCTGCCCTATCAGGCCTTCCAGGAAGCACGCAAGATCCTGGCCGCCGACCGGCAGGACAAGTTGCAACGCATCCGAGACGAGACGGCCAAGATTTCCTGGCTCGAGGCACGCGATGCCTCCCTCATCAAGGGCGGCCAGTACATGAAGGATACCAAGCTGGCCAGTCTGCGTCGCTACGTCGAGCAGCTCAAGATTCTCGCCGACATCAACGACCCGCTTGTCAAGAAGCGCTTCGAGGATGGACTGGGTATGCAACTTGCTCTTTTTCTCTCTCTCTCTCTCTCTCTCTCTCTCTCTCTCTTGTATAAAGAACCAAAAGTCAATATCCTTGTTCTTAACAAACAAAAACAGGCGATATGGATAAGCCCATATACCGACACTATGCCGAGAAGCGATGGCGCTCATACAACTACAAGCTCATCAAGCAGCGCATCTCGCAATTCCACGTCGTCCCCGACATTCTGCCGAAGCTGGAGCCCACAGCTGACGTGCAGCTGTACTTTGGGCAGCAGAAGACGCCGGCGGGCCAGGTGGTTGACAGCCTGCTGAGCGAGCGCCCGCCCCGGCTACGCGTCCAGGTCTTCGACAAGGGCGAGCGCCTGGTGTCTGTCGTGGTCATGGACGCCGATGTTCCCGACGCTGAGAACGACTCGTTTTACAAGCGCTGCCACTTCATGGCCGCCAACGTGCCTCTCAGCCCCACGCAGACGTCGCTCCCGCTCGGCCGCATCCGTGCCGACGACCAGCTCGCCGTGCCGTGGCTGCCCGCTTTCGCCCAGAAGGGCGCCCCCTACCACCGCCTCGCCATCTTCCTGCTCGAGCAGAAGCCCGGCGAGCGCATCGACGTCGCCCGCCTCCGCGAACTGTACGCCTCCAAACGTGACGGCTTCTCCCTCAAGTCCTTCCGCGGCAAGTTCTCCCTCAACCCTGTCGGTTTCACCATGTTCCGCTCCGTCTGGGACGACAACACCGCAGACGTCATGGCCAGGCACAAACTACCCGGCGCTGACGTCGAGTTCCGTCCCACCCGCGTCCGCAGCCTCAAAACCCCCGTCAAGCCTCGTGGCTGGGAGGCCAAGCACCAGGGCCCTAAGTACCGCCACCTGTGGAAGTACACCAAGCGCATTCGCGGTCTCTCCAATGCCAATGGCTGGACTAAGCGCAAGTAGGGTGTTACTCTGTGATATCTTGTAAACTGTATTACTATGCCAGTTTTCTCCCCTACAATGGTACATTTCCTGTTTTTTGTTGTTCTCACTGGGTATGTGGAGAAGAAATGTGTCTCCTATTTCTTGGCACTTATTAAAGGGAATGAATGTACAATGGGAACTAAATCTTGTTTAGGCGGAAGAAAAGTGTACGATTTAAGTGTCCTGTACGGATTATATATAAAACCATCACCATACTTTGAACGATCTCCTTGCCATCTATCTGCTCAAGAAACCTGGCACGGTCCGTGTTGTGTTCAATTACTAAACTTGAGATATCAACTTGAAAGAGTTCCATAATACAGCGCCAAAATCAAATAGCCACGCTCAAATCAACCATGTACGCCAGGTAGGATCCCGAGGACAATGTCGCCCATAACGATTCACAAAGGATAAAGAAAAAATCCCATCAAACCCAGTCCGGATACCACAGCCCTGTGGTGGTATCGTGTCGCTCACAGAAACCTATGGCGTCATACACACATTGCCGCTGGTAACGGCTCACGTGTTTTTTCTTGCCTCGCTTTTTTCCTTTTCTTGTTTTTGTTCTTTAAAAAACCGACCGTCGAGGTAAACTATTGAAACATGTCATCAGGCATGTGATCATAGTTGATATCCTCTTCATTTTTGATGACTGGCGACATCGCAAAGATGCTATCGGACAGGGTGGGCGACTGTCCAACCATGGAAGGGTCGTTGTCAAATAGGTCACCGGCAGCCAAGGAGAATTGCTGGTTGTCGTCGTCATTGTCATCGTCGACGAGGGTGGCGGCAGGAGCAGGCTCGGGGTCATCCTTTGTCTTCTTGACAACAAAGCGCTTGGCTTCGGCGTTGATCCAGTCGTCGATGTTTGGGTCGCCGCATCCGGCGTGGTTCATGAGATCCGTCTTGAGCTGGTTGATCTCGTCGATGAGCGACGTGTAGTCACGTTGGAGGCTGGAGTGCATGACCTCGAGCTCGCATTTTTGAGTCTCGAGGTCACACACCCATGCCTTCTTCTTCTGGCGGCACTTGGAGGCGGCAATCCGGTTGCGCTCCAGGTACTTTGTGCGCTTGAAGTCACCACCTTCGCCACCAGCGATGCCACCACCGCCGTCAACGTCATCTTCTGAGGGCTGACGTTCCCTCTTCCTTGCACGGGTGCTGCGGCTTGGTGCTGAAGGGTTTGCCTTGGCTGTCTTGCCCGCCCTGGGCTCCTGCTTCTTGGTAGCTCTGATAGCGCGGGCAGGCTTGGCGCCAGGTGACGAAGGGCCGGACGACAGCGAGGGAATAGACGATTTGCTCAAGGTTCGCGAGGACTTGCCCTGTATGCGCGTGGTGCGAGCAGTGCGACGAGGGGAGGCTGCGTCAGCGACCTGAAGCTCAAGAGCGCCATCGTCAACGGCAATAGTAGAGGCGTTATTGATGCGGGGGTTGGTGGTTGTGTAGTCTTCGGGAGAATCTGCGAATGGGTTGGGGTCTAGAGAGTTGCCCCAGGTTGACGGGTCAACTGTGAGCTGGTCTGATTCTTTGCCACTGAGGTTTCCAAAAAAGGGCATGGCAAGATGGGGATCGGCCATGTCGGAAGTCGGGTCCCCAGACAGGTCCATGAGGTCGTCCAGGTGGATGGCGGGGTGGACCATCTGATCGGCCAGGGTCGACATGGTGGCGGTGGTTATGGGTAGCTGGTACGAATGCGCAGCAGTTGCTTGACGAGTTAATGAGGGGGGAAAGGGGATGTAAAGAGGTGACAAAGGCGAGTGAGCGAAGAAGTGGAATAAGAAGAAGAAAGTGAATATGGGTATCGGGACGTAGAGGAAGGAAAAAAGTAAGAGAGGAGGGGGAAGGAATGTGGTTGGAGGGAAAGCTGACGTTAATGTTGCTTCTGGGTGAAATGTCGCGGGGCGTGAAACAGTTAAGAAAGAGGTACCCTGGGGATCGGCCCCTCTGTCGGCGGCATCCGGTAGTAAAAATAAAGATAGCAGCAAAAGGTACAAGCACTCGTACGAATAGTAATACTACGAGAGAAACTGTTGGTGTGTTGCCAGTCGTTGTACTGCGTGCTGGCTGGTACGGAGGAGTGATAGTAACTGCGTGCTTGGTACTAAAAGTGTCTCGTACCGAGCTGTCGTGGACTGGTGGTAGGGTTGGCTAGATCCAGGTATTAGTGGAAAGCTATTATGGATGGGACCATGCAGCTTCTGCTTGGCTGTGCCGGGCACAGGTAGGTGCTGATGGGTATTACCTGTACGAGTAGTTACTACCATAGTAGGCTTTGCCGGGCTTTGCTGGAATATCTGCTGGGCTGGCTGGGGCTGGCTGGGCGTCTTTATTTGGTTGGGGCTTGTTGCTGGTTCTCTTGACGCCTTCACGTTGCTTTCCGATTCTAGGCTGAGCAAGTAAAGCAAGTAAAGCAAGCAGCAGTACGAGTAGCACTACAAAGTACTGCAACCAGTACTACTGCCGAGTTGGGCGCAGCTGTTGCGGGGCATCAAGGTCCAAAAGACCAAGGTCAAAAGGCAAAGCCCAAGCACGGTTGACCAGCTAAACCGAGGGCGGCTAGACGAGAAAGCTTGCACGGGTCGATCGGGAAGGGCAAGCGGCGGCTCGATGGAGAGGGGCGATACTCGGATACATTGATGCTTGACAACGATTGGACTTTGGGGTTGAGAGTGCCAGTAGGGAGTATCGGTACAGGATACAGACGGTACATATACGTACGAGTGTCCGTACATGTACTCGTACAGCTCACGTCCAGGGTCAATCCCAAGAAAGAAGGGGGGGGGGGGGGGAAGGGAAAAAAGAGGTGGGGGGGGGGGGGTGGATGTATATATGTATGTGTCTACGAGTATGCGCCTCGCATGTAATACTACAGTCTACTAGTAATACATATAGTATGGTACTGGTAGTATCTGCAGCTGGCATGGAAGAGAGACAGAGAAAAAAAAAAGGAAGAACATGAATGGCTCCATGACTCCCCCGAAATCGTGAATCCCACGTGATTTTGCTCTTTCTCAGAAAAAGAGAAGAAAGAAAAGAAGTGCTGAAACCGCACAGGTCGCGACTTCCCTCTCACACCTTGAGAACGTCTGTGAATGGTTCTGCCGTGTCCTATTGGATGGCGCGAGGGTTGGTTTGTATGGGAGAGGCAGGAGCGTCCCACCAGGTGGAGACCTGCCTGGGCGAGACGAGGGGTTTGACTTTGGAGAGTAGTAACAATAATACTGTACGAGGGAAGGTGCTGCTCTTTACTACGAGTAATATTATGTACACTTTTCTCTCTGATTAGCACCCTCTCCAGCTGTCACCCCACTGATGATACCAGCCACAGCTGTTAATGCCACTCTGCTGTCAATGCAATGCTTGCTCATCAGTGCAAGTATTACCCACTACTCGCAGTATTTGCAAAACAAAACAAAAAGTCACAGGGAAGGACCTGGGAGGAGCTCCCGGGGCCCCCCCGCTTAGGGTCACAGCTTTTTATTCATGATGCTGAGCAGAACCGCAAGAAGCGGAGCAGGAAGAGCATAAAAGCAGCGGGGCGGAGGTCTACTACGAGTACCTGTACGAGTGCCTTGCTATTTGCTTTGACAGTCCGTATCTGGATTTTCATTTTCTATTTGAATCGGCCGATGCTCACGTTCGGTATCAGTATGACTGGACTCTGCCAATACTGTGCAATACTGTGTAATACAGTCTAACCGTCTAAGACGGTCCTAACCTCTCTTGGCCCTCATACCAAGGCTGTAGCGTTCGCAGCCACAAAAGGACTGGAAGGGATTAATAAAGCAGTAGCCGTATCGGTGCTCGTGAATGCAGTGATATGATTAATATGAATAATATCTCCCTCGTCGAGAGCTGCCTTGTCTGTTTTTGTTGTGGCGACTGGAATGCTCTGCAACCAGTCGATGTTTGAACTTCCATACGGGCAGTCAACCATTGCCAGTATTGCATATAATACGGATCGCGTATGACTACCGACATCTATAGTAGTAATAATAGTCATAATGGTGTGATTCTTTTCTCTCTCTCTCAACTCTCTACGGATCAGTACGGAATATTCGGAGCATAATCTGGCAATTTTATCGGATCATGATACGAAACAAGAGGGAGCATATTGCCAAGTATCCAACTCTTGTGTGCTTGTTGTGTATTAATACCGGTACTTGTATGTGCATTATGAGCACCAACTCCGTATGATCTTGAGGATCAACCGTGGGTATCTCTCCCATATTTCTTCCTACCCCACTCCGCCTTTCCGAGCTCTACTCCCCATAAGCCGTATCAGTTGTATTTCTTATAGCTGTAATCGAGATACTCTACTTTCGGATCTTGTCCTTATCCGCACTTTCCGCATTATCTTCTTCCTCCTCTCTTCTTCGTCTAGCAAACTCAAAGCATCCAGCAAAACCACCTTATCCGAGAGCGTAACACCCGAGTACTTGTATACCCCGGTCGAGACGTTGAGAACCAAGCAACTTTCCAGGCCACGCGGAGCTTCCCAGACAGGACTCCTGCCCCTCCCTTTCCCCTGCCTAGGATAATATGTCCACATAGCTTTAATCCTCATGTTCTAGACCCCCCCCCGTCCTTTTTATCCCTCTCTTTTCTGCTCCCTGTACATGTACAAGTTTACCATGCAGCGGCCCTATCAGGCTATCAATCAAAGGTCAAGAGTCCTGGGACCTTGGTGGACCCTCTCCCCCGCAATTTTAACCACGCAAGACTGTCCCACACCGTTGTGATAATGATTGACGGGTGCGTCGGGATGTGGTGTGCACATCAAACCTTCGCGAAATGACCCCATTGGGCCCCATTCTGGCAAGCTGCAAGGTTCGGGAGAGAAAAGAGTGCCGACGACGACGATGGGATCGAGGAGCCATGGTACAACAAGCTCAAATGGACCCCAGTAACGGGGGGCGTACTCTGCTTCCATAACCTATCGCAAGCAACAACTCACCTTCCAAGAGTTCGCCATCTTAGTTTCCCCTCCCTTGGGCCTTGGCCATCAACCTCTCTGCCAAGACTGTCCCTTGAGTACAGATTACTTATAGGGCTAAATAATCAGTTGAATGCAACTGCTTCAGGAAACGGATAGAATCAATGCCTATGACCCGAGACCTGTGGTTCATGTGCCCTTGCCTATAGGCTACGATGATACAGTGTTATAAGCACCCATCTGCGGGTGTATCATGACAGCACTAGGATCTACCATGCCGTGTTATTAGACTTGCAGTATCCATGGCGTCATGACTCCCTCCCTCTCTCTCTCTCTTTCTCTCAACCTCACAGGTCTACTTGCCCATGTGACACTGCCAGCATACTCACGACTTGGCAATTCGAAAACGGATCGCCCGCACCCGGCAGCGTCAGCCGTCCAGACCTTTTTATCCAACCTAACTTCTGTTCACAAACCCTTTTTTCCCTCTTCTTGCATTTTCCTGCGTTCCGTGGAAAAGAAGAGGAGAGGATTATGTAAAAAGAAAAAAGAAAAAAATGAGGGGCTTCTTGCCCGCTCTTCTCCCATAACACTTCATAGAGTACAGCGACGATGAAATATTAGACTCTACGCTGTAGCTTCATCCCTCCCTTACCGAGTATAGATCATCTTCCATGACATCAGTTCCGAGTGATGATATCAATTTCCCTTAATTCTGGGGCCTCTTCTATTATGAATCCCTGTGTTTGAACAACTCTCCGTCACTCAGAGAGGAGAACATGTTCCGCCCCTTGAACCGCGCTGTTCGTCGTGGCAAACTTTTTGATACAGGAACCATCAGGGATATCCGTCTTTCCATCACAATCTATCACACTTCATCACACTCCGATAACGGCCATGGGATTTCCAGGTGACAAATCCGCTAAGTCATTCAACAACACCCCCCCATCCCTGTCTGCTTGTCAAAATGCCAATTCTCAAAGCACCCCCGTGGCCCTGATCTAAACGCGGCCACGGCAACTTAGTGCCCATGAGTCAAAAGAGATAAGTCTTGGGGGTATATTTCCATTGACCAGAAGTTATCTCCACGTTCTAATACGGAGGCAGGAGTGACCAATTGCAACCGTTCGCGATGCTGTTGTAAGAATGGCGTTTTGAACTTATATGCGCACCCGGTAGTAAAACGAGCCACCAGTCAGACGTAGCAGCGAAATAATGTTGGTAAAGCACTTATCTGAGGCTCCGGATCGGAAAGAAATTTATCCGGAAGATTTACTCACCGATGTAAAAATAGACAAGGCTCGAAATACGGCTGTTTTCTGCCCTCTTGATGATGCATTGTTGTATCTATCTGAGGGAAATAGCGACTGTACAGATGTTCTGTTTTATCAAGGACATCTCCAAGTGAAATACCGGTAGCTTATTCAGCTGTTTGTTCTGACACCACCATCCATCACGTGATCTCGCGTCCTTCCCTCAACCCCTCAACGCGTTCCCCTCCTGTTCTTCCACTTTATGTCAGGTATAGCAATCGGTTCTTAATCGTTTCGGCACTTTCGCCTCAACAGCTCCTTCTATGCCCTATAATCACTCTCCAGAATTCCCTTCAATATGTCTGAGCAAACCCCCATGCCGCGCATCACAGCGCCTTATCTCAACGCGTTCATCGGCCGCCACGTCACCGTCGTCGGCAGCGTCATCCAGCTCCGCGGTGACCAGGCTACCCTTGATTCTGGCGGCACGATAACTCTTGTCCTAAACCGGGTGAGTTCCTTCACACATCTCTCTTGCCATCCACCGTCCTCTTTATTTTCTCCCAAACTCTAGCATATCGCTCCAGTTTGATATACAATCTCTGACCTATCCAGGACGCGCATCTCGTCAATGGCAGCGCAGCCCACATTAACGGCAAGGTCAATCCTGACCTGTCCATCAAAGTCCTGAACTGCAAAGATTTAGGTAATAACGTTGGTATGTCTCTCCCCCATCTAACTCTTACTCTCTAAGCACCTGCCAACACCTGACAAATAAAAGACCTCGACCTCTACGCCTCCGTCGTCCAGGCCACCCATCAACATAAATCCATCTTTGCCGTTGACAACTGACTTGCTCGCCCGGACCGTGGCCGCCTATACCCACCACCACGAGCTCACGTGGCCATGGTCTGGCTGGATGAACCTGACGACGACATCACCAGCACTTCAAGCACAAACGCACCACGCTCTTCTCTGCCTTCGACCTTAACCCCTCCAGCAACACAGCAGCCATCCCCCTGGCCTACCCTTGCACATAGCTACGACTCCGACTCTGACCATCACAACGACACACGACCATACTCCGCTTCCCTATCCCAGACACACTCTAATATCTCATTTGCTTCCCGCCAGAACTTTAGCTACCGTTCCTCTCCCCGTGATCATTACTACCCATACCCTTACCCCTCCCCCTCTCCTTCGCAGTCCCCCTCAATGAACGACTACTCAATACCCTCCGCCCAACCTCGCGAGGACTACACCACTCCCATTTTATCCCAGCTGGAACCTACCCAAGACGGCGAGCTGCAGGAGCAGCATTCGTACTCGTCCACAACCCCCCCACCCAGCGGGAGATACTCATCCCCACCTCGACAAAGATATCTGGCAGCCATGGTGGCCGCTCCGCAACATCCGATACCATCACACACGCAAAGTACGCAGGGAACACAGAGCACGCAGAGCATTCAGGGCACACAGAGCACCGATAGCGAATTCCTCCTTGATGCCGTGGTAGACGGTATCGGGAGGATGCATGTGACCATGGCGCCAGATGAGGCAGGTCGTTGGCGTATAAAACGTCCGGACCGAAACAACTGAACGAACCCTGGGTTAGGTACTGGCACTTCAAACTCAGCAAAGATATAAACTCAAATTTGCTGTGTTACTCAGTAAAACGCACGTCATTTTAGCTCTGTACAAGCAATTCATTATACAGTGTAATCTGGCTCTACGGTACCATCCACTTGCTCAAAGGTTTTTTTTTTTTTTTTTTTTTTTTTTTTGAACGACGAAGTTATTTCAAACTGTCCAATTCCAATTGCTTCCTCTCACTATATTAATAATCACCAATCTCCTCTCCATTGTGTATAACATGAGACTACGAGTACGAGTAGAATAATAAAGGTGCAGACAGGTATTACTAGCCGTGTTGTGCTCATTCAGTGGCACCCAATGAAACAATGCTAATCCGCGCGTGCTCCCAATGTCACGCCACCTCCACTACTCTCAAGGTTGTATTGTAAGTCAAGGTCCCCTCAATCCACTCCCATGCTGGCAGCTAGTTGCACATGCCAACGCCACCTTTTGTTCTCGGTAATCTCCATTGCAACTCACCCCTTCCTAGCACTCGGAGGAGCCGACTGCAGGATGTGCTTTGCCCTCGCCACGAACCCTTCCAGAGCTTGCAGTTTCGCCTCACTCCTTTTGGCTCGCTCCCGCCACACATGTACTTCTCTCTGGACCTCCATCAACTGTTCTCTACTTGGTGGCGCGTCCAGGTTCGCGAAGCCACTCTGTTGCAACGTTGTGGGCGAATGCACCGGTCCAAGGTACTCATGGGTACATATACCTGTACTCTTGGGGGCTCTAGCTTCGATGAGTGAAGAGGAACAAGCCTTCGTTGATATCGGTCGAAGAGGGTTTCCCGACAGGACCTGAGCGCCCGGCCGTAGGCTATTCTGTCCTTCCGTTCGCACATTTGTCTGCCCCGGTGCCAAGGCTCGAAGCTGGTCCTGTCCCTTGAACATGGCGGCCATGAACTTGACATCAACATGTGTGCTCCTCCTGCTTAAGCTTGAAACAGATTCATGTGCTGTCTCGTGATGGTCATTGTTCTCAGAGATATCGTTGGGTTCGAACTGGGATGCGTCTTCAACAGTGTCATGATACTCTTCATGTGAAGATGCCCATGCTTCCGTGTCATTCTTGGCGTCTCCCGTGGAGTCGAACAGGGGCGGCATTCTCTTGGCTGAAGCTCTGGCCTTTAGCTCCTCACAGGTCCTGGACTCTGACATGGGCGGGTTAGGATCCGCTTCTTCTTCAACCTTGCCATAGGAAATGTTGAGGTTGGGGAGACTGTTTGCCTTTGCCCACGAACCGCCGCCCTGATTCTCTTGCCCTTGACCACGGAGATTGGGTACAGAATTCAGCCGGCCGTGTAGGAATTTCTCTGACGACGATGTTCTCAGGGGTATTCCACGTAGGCAACGCTCTTTCCCAGAGGTTCCATTGCATGAAGCCTCTGTCCTTTGTGGTGTTGTAGGTCGTTCCAGTCCGAGGCCCTCTGTGCCAATGCCTGCCTCTGCCAATGCGGAACCTAAGAAATTGCCCTACGAGTTCCCGGATCCCGATCTGTCGGTTCTGTCACTACCCTCAGATTCTATAAGACACTGCTGTGAAGTTGCATCTAATAATGCTTCAGTCAGACTGTTGGGTCTCCGCTTTCTCTGTGTGGTTGCTGGCTCTCCCTGGTACCAGCTCTGGGATGCTCTCAAGGCGGATTTGCAATCGCGCCTATCATATAGAAGGGCTTGGGCAGACATTGGATTTGGACCTTTTCTCCGGTGCTGCTCAATTTCTCTCAGGTGGGGGACAATATGACACCAGTTAGAGATTACCATCTCAGCAATATTGTTGGCAACACACATGTTTGCGACCGTGATGCTGCCCTTTGCCATCTTGGCCATAGTCGGCGGTTTCCGGATTCCTCGATTCCCAAAGTTAAGCCTCTTCCCGGGTTGAACAAGCCGAGGGGGTGTCGGTGGTGGTTCCTGTCTCGGCTCAAATGTTTTCAAGAGGTCACCCACAATCAGTGGGCCAAAGACTATACCCAGCGCATTGTACCCCATCAGCTCGGCAGCTGCTACAGGAACGTGATCATCTGTACTTCCCGACGATACCTGAGCCGTCCGTCCAACTAGACTCAGAAGACCGAATACAGCGTAAATGAGTTCTCTGCGTACGGAAGACTCGATTGTCATGATTGCCAACGCTACCAGCCGTGCGCATGGCTTACCGGATTCGTATTCATAGTTGTTATATATGGATTGCAGTGTGGCAAAGACATGGATGCTTCCCAAAATTCCACCGGGAAGCACTGAGAGTATCCTTTTGAAGGTCGAGGCGATGTCGTGAACGGAGTACGGTATGTGGCTCGGCAAGCTCGAGCAGCGGACTGTGCTAGCTACCTCATCGACAGCACTGTCTCCTAGAGCAAAGTAATAGTCAAACAGGGCGTTGACAGTCTTGATAGACCCCGAGACGCGGAACAGGCCCCTTGCAGTTGAGTTTTCGACTAGGTACTGGGCTGTGGCCTTGATGCACATCGGTACGACCAAGGGCCTATGGGCGTTGTTCTGGGGCAAATACAGCAGGCCCTTTCCGCATATTCGCACAATCTCTCCCGGGCTGAAGAACTGGACTGTATCTCGATATGTCGGAATCATGTTCTGGGCGAGCTCTGAGATGCTGCGGCGGTGCCTTACCGTCATGGGCACCGAGTCGCGCGCGTGGGACTGGGCAGACGTGGAAATTGCAGAAGGACGCAAGATTCGGGCAAGCCAATTCCTCCGCTTGTTCGAATTGTGGTTCGACAGTGCTCTCTATCCTTACTTGTCAGAACTCGTGTCTTTATGTACTAAGCACCTCCTCACCTGCTTTTGGGGCTTGAACCCATCATCTCTCAACATGCCCACGCCGTACTACGTCGCAGATGTTAGCTGATTCGAAAATGGACAGATCCCATCCAGACTGCACACCTCCTTTGCAACTCTGTTATACTCCTGTACGGATGTGGTTCTGTCTTGGATGTCTTCTGCATCCACGAGGACACCTAGGTTCTCGTTACTTGTCGTGCGCATCCTGACACGGCGGATGATATCGGCAGCCATCGACTGCGACGCTGCAGTAGTCTCCCAGTCAGATATTTGGAGAGCGCCGTTCTTATGATCTATTCGTTAGTGAGCTCAGTATAGAGATAGAGCTTCGGTAGAGAAAGAATATATCAGTCTTGCTGATTACTACTAGTTGATGGAGGAAATCATGCGTGCCATAAGCAGGCTGAAAGGGCTGCAGTGCTCTATAGATGGAAGGGAAGGTAACTGTGATGCGACTGGACTATTGACAGGTTGTGCTCGGTCTGCATCTTTTCTTCTTTGGCAGTTGCGTTGCGCTCTGCATATGCTGTTTGAACTGGAAGGACCAAATGGCACGCACGAGAGACTGTCACATGAACGTGATTCTCTGTATATCATCATAAAGAGGTCAGTTATGCTTACTGGGAGAAGCAGTGTTTATTGACTCGTTTTTCGTACTACTTGGCGCTTGGAATATAGGGGTAGTTGACAAACGTATTGCTTTCATCAGGTTCACCGTGATACCCATATTCCGTTGGACACACTCCTGACATCGGGTTCAGAGTTACACAGGCCATGGTATCAAAATCAAGCGCGACGAATAGAAAAGGGCGGAACATGACGAATACAGTGATATATTGTTGTAGATCGTAGTACTAAATGTATAGAAGATGGTAGCAGATAGTGGCGGTGTGCGTCTTCTTCAAGGGTGGCGGCTCCAATGTAGTGCATGTAATACCTTGCCAACGAATTTCGTCTCCTGTATTTCCGCGCAAGCAGAGAAGGTGATCTTGCCCCTATCTGTGCCTATGATCGAGCAATAGCAAATTCATGAAGACGCCCAAATCTTGTGGCTCGATACCCTACCTCGGAGAACAGAAGAAGTGCTCCTTGAACTGCTCTCGTTATGCAGATATCATGCCGTTCCCGGGCCTTATTCTCTCCCAGTTTCATGATGCGTCACAGCGTCGCTTGGCTTGGCGCTTTGCGTGTATGTGTGTATAGGTGGCCAAGAGCACATGGCTCCCAACGGCATTTTACAGCCGTCGGCATTCGTTCTTTGTCCATGTCGTACCTCATAAAAGTATGTGCTTTCAGCTCTCCTCTGCCTCACTCCACCTTGGCCAGGAGAATGTAGTTTAATATGTCCGACAAGGATATGATGCCTCGCAGCTTATTGTCGTCATCGACTACGATCAGCCTGTGCACGCGACTCTTGCGAATAGTGTCGAAGATGGCCTGAACGCGATCATTCTCTGAGCACGTGTATATCCCCGGGCTGTCGTCGGGTCGCTTGCATAGGGCGTCGCCGACGGTGTTGTCGAGCTCCTCATATGTGCCGCCCTTGATGCAAGGTATGATGTCCACTGATTCGAAGACGTTGAGGAGACGGTTGCTCTCGTCGACAACGGGCACGCTGCTTATGTTACGTTGGACCATCAGGCGGACGGCGTCGAGGACCGTGGATTCCATTGTGGTGGTGGCGATATTCGAGAAGGTGCCCATGCCGAGCTCGCGGACCGTCTTGCGCAGCTGCATCGTGTTGTGCTCGTTATTGACGGCAATGAACTTCAGGATGCGGTACTGGGTTATGACAGACACCACCCACTCGCGGCCCGTCTCGTCATCGATATCGACCAGGGGGATACGTCGTGCTCGCGTACCCAGCATACGCGTAATAGCGCCGAAGAGTGGAAGTGTGGGATTTACAGACACCGTCTCGATGGGGAGGGCCCCGATGGCCCTTTCAATGTCTGCACATATACCGTCAGCGCAACGGCATCGTCAAGCCTGGGAGGTCGGGTGGTGCAACATACCACGGAGGCTTCTTAGGCGAAACTGGTCCAGCTTGCCCATTTCGTCAGGGAACTGGCAGTAATACTGAATGACATTTAGGTAATCGGTGGCCGTCAAGATGCCGGCGAATCGCGAGGTACGCGAGTCCCATAGTGGCGCAGAAACAATGGCTTCCGAGAGATGTCAGTAATTGCGGCAGACAAGAGAAGGCTTTCTTTCACCCGAGTTGCCGATTTTCCTTTTTCCCTTGTGTACCCTCGAGTGTCGATAAGTTGTGGGTAGGAAGGGCTTGCGACCTACCGTTCTGGATAAGAATGTTGAGACTCTTTTTTATCAAAAGATCATTGTCGAGGACGACAAGACGGAAAGAGAGGGGGAAGACGTCGTAACCGCAGCGGACCTTGAGGAACTCTCGAATATTGTTCTGAGCGTAAGACGGCCGGTTAGCGACACTGCAGGGACATGAAGCAACCCATGCAAACGGGGAGGGTGGGGGTCAGGGTCATGCAACGATGGTGGAAGGGTATAAAATGCACGCACAAGACCTTGAATCTCGTCCTTGTCATGTACCGGCATTAAAGTGGTGGTCGGTGGCGGTGGTGGCATGACGGGTTGCTGCTGCTGCTGCTGCTGCTGCTGTTGCTGATCTGGCGCGGTCGCCATTGCGGTAGTATTAATTGGTCTTGGGCGTAGATATGATGAGGGAGCGACGAAGCGAGGGACGGGAGAGTTGACGGTTATGGTCGAGACAGGCGGAGTTGTGGTAATAACGTTTGAAGACTGCCCTACTTGGTGTTGGCCGGTCGCTGGATCCGGAGCCGGTGGTTGTGGTGAATCGTCCCCTCCTCCAGTTCCTTCTTCCACTGGCCTCAGCTTGTTGAATTCCGGTCCAGCGGCACCACCCGACAACAACGACGGTTCCGTTTGTTGCGCAAGATATTGCTGTGTAGTTATTGATTCTAGGTCGTCGGTTGCAGAAGATGGTTGGAAATTCCCTTTAGTCTTGCTGTACTGTGACTGCTGCTGCTGCTGCTCATCTTCGTCGTCGTCGTCGTCGTCGTATTCTGCGTGCTGCTGCTGTCGCTGCTTGTCGTGGCCATTATGGGCGTCGTCGGCGGGGTACAATGAAGCCGTGGTAGTATTTGTGGCGGCGGCGTCCAGTTGGTGGCCGCTAGCAGCCGCGGGATCCTCTTCCATTACTTGTTGTTCTGTTAGGTGTTCCCGCGTCCGTCTGTCCGTCGAAACCTTGGATGCCAGTACACGGTGGGGTGGGGGGAAGTACCGCCAGTAATGAGCTTTAGAGGGAAGAAGCTGTCGGCAACCTTGGTGATATGCGAGGGTGCGAGGGGGATATGATGGTGACTGGAGGAGCAAAGGATGAATACACACTTACTGCTACCATAGCACAGATTACTCCGTATTGATAATATTATTGCACGTAGCGACAACCCTGCTCTCGCTCTCTCTTTCTCCCCCTCTGTAGGTAAATGAGCATGATGGAGGGGGGGGGGGGGGTCAACCGCTACAGCATGATTGGCGGGTATTGGTGCAATAAGTATTACATTTACAATTTGCATCTACCATTTGCATCTAGCATTCGTACTAATACTACCTAGTATCACTACCTAATATTACTACCAGTACCAGTCCTTTACTTGTTTGAAAAGTGTCCTATAAGAATATCTTGCCTAGCAGCAGCAGCAGCAGCAGCAGCAATATAATATTACTCGTACAATACGACGACGTAGCTCGGTTGACAAGAATTGACAGATGGACATAAACCAACCAATACTACGAGCATGGGATTGTTGCTGCAGGCGGTGTTCTTTACATGTAATATCTTATCTATAAGCGCCTAAGCTGAAAGAGTTCCTTTCATCACGAGGTCCTACACTGCGCCTTGGCTGCCCTCTGCGAAACGAGATCGCCGGTACATGTTTCCTCTTGGGATGCTCTACGCGCTGATCAAATGTCAGGTAGCAGCAGTCTGCAAGAATCGGAGACCTCAATCTGTGGTAAAGGAATATTGAGTTGTAAACTGCATGACTTCCCTTACTCGTTATCTGACGGCAAGTTTCTGCGTACACATATTATCAATAGACAGGCAAGCTCACCTCTCGGTATCTCCCCTAGTAATCGGGGGTGAGGCGATACGTCATGATGGTGGTGGTACATCATATCACATGGGTGCAGTTCATGAGACTTGAAACACGGGCCCAGATTCACAGAGTAGTCTATCTAGCCATATGGGCCACAATCCAACACAGCAAGAGCAACAACAACAACAACAGCAGCAGCAGCAACAACAAACACATGGAAATGCCCATATGAAATTTGCGCCATCAGATACGTCTTTTTTGTTGACGGATAAGCTCGCCATGGCTGTCGATATGACCATAGGCTTACTACTAGTAGTATCATCACTTGCCTCGTACCAATCTGATTGTTAGTCATCCTCATGATAAGGTCAAACTCTACGGAGTACGGAGTAGAGTACGGATAGAGTCCGAGGCAAAAACAGGGCAGCGACAGCGCGTCGAGGGTGATAGCGAAATCCCTACGAATAAGAATTAGATCATTGGACTACCTCAGCAGACATCTTGTGGAGATGGGAGCTTTACAAGGGGTACAGGGGAGCTATTACAGGTGTCATAGTCCTATAATACCTGTCCATACGTGTATGTCCAATCCATAGATTGCACACAATACGAATTTATAGGTCCAGTCAGGTGCCTGCCCATAGACGTACCCACCCACTGCGCCCGGTGATGCCCCCTGTACTCCATAGTGGAAAAAAATATTACAGGGCCCCCCCTATCCATTAAATGTTAGTAGGCATGTTCCCAAGCAACCATCGAAACCTTCACGTTTTCCTGCCAAGCTTCCGACCTAAAGGCGGGAGTCGCTGTGGCTCGTCGTCACCTCAACCTCCTCCAACTGCATCCCGGTACATTCCCGACACCAAAACACCAACACACCCGCCAACCCCCCCACGGCCACGACATCGCCATTGTCGCGACAACGCCATTCATCTGTGCATCGTCACCTCTGCAGCCCAGATATTGGAACGTATTCTTGATTCTTTGTAATCAACCGCTGCAGCCTTGTCGGAACCCTTCCTGGGTTCATCTTGTGGGAGCTACCGAAAAAAACAACAAGCTCAACCCGCGTCTTAGTACCGCTTTCACCGTCATACTGTCCCGGACCGCTGCAGTATTGCAAAACATTCACGACCAGTCTACCCTCATATACATTTGAGAGGCTCTAGGCCTCTTCCACTTCTGCCATGGGTATCTGCAACTCTTGCTGCAGAGGTCCGTCATCCCACCGCCCTTGCAGCCTTTTGCTTGCCTGCGCTAGTTTTCACGATCATTGCTAACTCATACTTTCAGGCCAGAGCCGTGATGGCCTTTACGAACCGGTTCTTGCCGACAGCGAGAGGGAAGCTGTAGCTGACCTGCTCCAATATCTCGAGAATGTATGTAATAGCACGCCCCCTCTCTACCTACCCTCTGACGTCGGAGACTTACCATCATCACGATACAGCGGGGCGAGACAGACTTCTTTTGCGGCGAGCCTCTTCGTGCCCTCAGTACCTTGGTCTTTTCCGAGAATATCGACTTGCAACGCAGTGCCAGTCTCACCTTTGCCGAAATCACAGAAAGAGGTGCGTAGCCATACCCTTGGCTGCTCACGGACATGTACCCACGCAGCCTTGAATAGCTGATGGCTCCCCAAAGCATAGACACGAACTGACTTTATATACTGCAGATGTACGCGAAGTCGACAGGGACACATTAGAGCCCATCCTGTTCCTCCTCCAGAGCCCAGACATCGAGGTCCAAAGAGCGGCAAGTGCAGCCCTGGGCAACTTGGCTGTCAACAGTAAGACACAGAATCCCAACAAGCCGCCCGATCTCTTTTCTGCGCATGCTGACATTCAATACCCGCCCTTGTCTAGCCGAGAACAAGGTCCTCATCGTCCAACTAGGAGGCCTGACACCCCTAATCCGACAGATGCTGTCGCCCAATGTCGAAGTTCAGTGCAATGCCGTTGGCTGCATCACCAACCTTGCAACCCACGAAGAGAACAAAGCCAAGATTGCTCGATCTGGCGCCCTTGGTCCTCTCACCCGGCTGGCCAAATCCCGCGATATGCGTGTCCAGCGGAATGCCACTGGCGCACTGCTCAACATGACGCATTCTGGTAAGTCTTGCCCTTTTAACGACGCATGCATTTCTTTGCTATTACCTCGGACTCCGTACTGACACAGACGTACAGATGAGAACCGCCAGCAGCTGGTCAACGCTGGCGCCATCCCTGTTCTCGTCCAGCTTCTTTCTTCTGCCGACGTCGATGTCCAGTACTACTGCACGACTGCTCTGAGTAATATCGCCGTCGACGCGAACAACCGGAGGAAACTCGCTTCGACCGAACCCAAGCTTGTCCAGTCTCTAGTCCACCTCATGGACTCGTCGTCTCCCAAGGTCCAGTGCCAGGCCGCTCTAGCTCTCCGAAACCTGGCCTCGGACGAGAAATACCAGCTAGACATTGTGCGCGCCAACGGCCTGCAGCCTCTCCTCCGACTCCTCCAGTCCTCGTACCTCCCACTCATCCTCTCGGCCGTTGCCTGCATCCGCAACATCTCCATCCACCCTCTGAACGAGTCCCCCATCATCGAGGCCAACTTTCTGAAGCCGCTCGTCGACCTTCTCGGATCGACCGACAATGAAGAGATCCAGTGTCACGCCATATCGACCCTCCGAAACCTCGCCGCAAGCTCCGACCGCAACAAGGCCCTCGTTCTCGACGCTGGCGCCGTTCAAAAGTGCAAGCAGCTAGTGCTAGACGTCCCCGTCACGGTGCAGTCAGAGATGACGGCTGCCATTGCCGTCCTAGCTCTAAGCGATGACCTCAAGTCTCACTTGCTGAACTTGGGTGTCTGCGATGTCCTGATTCCCCTCACGCACTCTGAGAGCATTGAGGTTCAAGGTAACAGTGCCGCTGCCCTCGGCAATCTCTCGTCAAAGGGTAAGTGACGCTCTACTTCTGTGATTGCTACATCTACCAGCATTATTGAAGGCTTCTAACATAGATAAATTATAGTTGGCGACTATTCCGTCTTCGTCCAGAACTGGGACGAGCCCAACCAGGGCATCCACGGATACCTGGAGCGGTTCCTACAATCAGGCGACGCCACGTTCCAGCACATTGCTGTCTGGACTCTCCTTCAGCTCTTTGAGTCGGAAGACAAGACTCTGATCAGCCTCATAGGCAAAGCTGATGATGTCATTGAGCACATCCGAACCATTGCCAACCGACAGGTAGACACGGAGCCCGCCATGGACGAGGAGGATGAGGGAGAGGTTGTCAACTTGGCCCAGCGGTGCCTGGAGCTCCTGGGCCAGAGCGGAAATAAGACGCACATTGAGGGCTGATGGACATGATCGACCTCGCCTCATACTGATCAACTATGAGCCCTGTAGTGCACACATACCCTCTCTCTTCCCCTCATATTCCCTCCCCTTCTTCTCCTCTTCTCTCCTCCATCCTTTTTTCTCCTCTCTTTTTTTCCTTCTTTCCCATTTGTTGTAGCGAATTTCCTGTTACGGATGGAGTTGAGTGGCATGGGAAATGGACGGTGTTGCGGCGTTTTCAAAGGATTTGACAGCTCAGACGTTCAAGAACTCCTTTCACGTCCCGTCAACTATGTCATTCCCGGGGTCGAACAAGATGGTCACTACTGCTACTACTAGTAGTACCATTGGCGACTCGACATATACCACTGCAAGAAGACGGACAGGATGAGAGAAGGACTTGTGTGCCCTGGCACAACTGCCCAACAACATCTACTTTCCTTTCGATTCTCGAACATTCCTTTTCTTTCCTTCCTTTTCTTTCCTCTACGTCTCTTATCTTTTATTCTTTTTCATTTCCATTTTCACTTTGTACAAAGCATGATCAGTTGATGGGAGGAACGCGATTTTAGCCGATGGAATTACTAGTACCGAATGTGTCTTCGGAGAGAGGGGTAGTGGCGTGTAGTAGCTGAAGTGGACAATACCAAGTTTCGTAGGGAAGACAGACATACAGCATGTAATTAGACGGTCACGGTGGTGATACGCTGGCAGAGACAAGACTTGCTACTTGTTTTTTACATGCGGAACATGTGTGGATTAATATACATAATATGATGTAGCAAGGCTAGCACGAGTGAAGCTGCATATATAGGACGTAAGGGAAAAGGTAAAGGAGAATTGAAAAGAGCAGTGGGCTTAGCCGTCTATCCTCACGGGTTGCATGGCATTCTGGAACCAGGTACGCTCAGCCCAGGGGAAAACCTTGGCGGTGACTTTGCCCTGGATGAGAGCGAGCGGTAAAGGGCCAAACATTCTCGAGTCCCTCGACGCAGCCAGATTATCTCCTACGATCCAACAATGTCCTTCAGGGACCTGGACAATTATCAGCACTCGTTCTACCCTGACAGTTGTCAGGGAAGAGAGGGGGCGGAGGCTAGTAACGTACCTGGAGCATGCTCTCCTCCCCCCTCTCCCCCGGTGTCCCAGCGACAACATAGTCCCCCGGCATGCCGATGATGCGCTTCATCCCGTTGGCATCAGGAGATATCGGGATCCGGTACACCACCAAGTCGCCCACGCGCAACTGACCTCGCCGATTGCGAGCGTGCGTCAAGTCGACAAGGACGCTGTCGCCGCTCACGCTAAAGGTGGGAACCATGGAGGGGCCCTGCGTGTCAGCCCATTGGTAGTGTTGGGTCCAGAAGTAATGACATGCTGCGAGGAGCTTGAGGGTTGAGACTGGTATGCGGAGGGGGTGGGCTGCTAGGTGGGAGATCATTTTTCGTCGCCACGGGTGGTTCAGACTCCTAGGAGTGCAGTGGATGAGCCGGTTAAGGCGGTTGTGTTTGTTGTGAATGGATGTGGTGGCTATGTACAATGTCGCATTACGTCGGATGAGATGGGTTGATGAGGTTTTTGGTGATGAGGTGGTTGAAGTTGGCAATGAAGTTGAAACTGGGAATTGGACTAGCCTGTTTGGGACACTTCACGGACAGCGCGCTTACCCGGTATCACATGGTTGATATTTTTTTTTTTTTGCAACCAGCATGTACGTGTTCATACTCGTACAGTATCATTTTAAATGTTTTTTTTTTTTTAAAAAAAAAGGAAAATGTGTTGTACTTACTGAGGGGAGGTATATAAATAAAGTAACTGGAAATAGAACATCTGATAGATTTTATAGTGTTTGGTCACTTTGACCGCTACTAGTATTGGTTTGAAAGGCGTAATTGTAGGTGCATGTGTGACTTAGACGTGCATTAACGTAAACGGATTCTGGTATCTTGCCTCCTGTTTTCTTGCTCTTGCTTCACCATCATCCAGCCTCTTTTCGTCATCATCCTTCCCCATCTCTTCTCCTCTTCAAACCTTCCTCCCCATCTTCTTGGCACGGCGATCTGTGGAGAAGCCTGCAATGATCTTTTGTTCGGAAAAAAAGCACCGGTCAGAGGTGGCATTGTTCGGTAAACATAGCATCGAGGCACCGAACAAGTCCTGCTGGGTAGTCATTTGAGACGACTGTATGGAGTTTTAGTAGCTACATGTATGAAGGGGAGCGCTACGACTAGTCGACGACGGCGTCAGGGTGTGTGTGGGGTGCGTCTGATATTGTTATGCTTGGCATCTACGAGTATACAGTCCATCATAGCTACGGTCTACCTCGGGGATGCCAAGGAAATCTAATAATCCGATGATACTATCATCAAGTCGCCCCATGGCCACGGGCCGCGTTCACGCTCTTGGCCCCAGAGCTTGAAATGAATGTGTGCCATGCCCCGATTAGGTGACGATACTGACTGCTCGCACGATGTATATCGCATCTCGATTGAGAGGATAACCTCATTTCCCATCAGTCGGTGGTTGATATACGCTGAGATTTCCTGAGTGCGATTAGATCTTATCCCCTAGCGCCTACCCCTGCTTCATGGTTTCGTGGTGGAGCTGTCACTTTTCTCTTTTGCATATGAGTAAACCCGTAGAAGAGTGCCTGTAGATAGATACACATGCTGTCTCTTGTCAGCGCAAAGAGAAGAGAAGAAAAGAGCGAGAGAGGCCTGAGGTTGAACCTTTTAAGAGAAGGAGAGCGTGTGTTACTCCCCCTCTGCACATGTACGGACATCTTCGAGTGTTACAGAGCTCAATCTGAACACAAGACTCTGAGACATTCTACCCAGGGTCATTGTACAAGTCCGTTATCTAAGGCGTAAGCCTTGAACATATCTTTCTCAAGGGAAGTTCAGCCACGAGTCAAAATCTCGCCATGTGATTGGCGCTTTCTGTAGCCATGACAACATTACACACAGTGCCGAAGATCGAGGGAACTGATGGGCGGGTACCTTTTGCTACATATCATTCGTCTATGTGAGGTCAACATCGACTTACATGTACGAGTATTTCACCCGCTGGCGATTGGCAATTCAGAGCCGATTTATACAAATGTACGAGTAGATACGACGTGGTCGAAAGAGTAGGACGCTTCCGAACTTACCCGAAGGCATCATGTTGCACAGCCCAGGCAATAGAGTAGGACTACCACGCACACCATCTGTTGGATTCCGAAGCGTATACTGTGGAACATAACCTGCAGTGCTGAAGGTTAGACGGACGCCAATACAAAGGCACGTGTGTGCAGCTAATGGCAACTTGCAATGCGGCCATGGCTTGGCCATGCGGGAAAACGCCAATTCTAAACGTTCCCGTCAAGGGAATGGACAGGGTGAGGTGAGAGTAATGAAACAAGTGAAAGGGAAAAAAAGGGTAAAATAGAAGAAAAGATAATAATTGAAAGAATGAAAGAAAAAAAACAAGCTGTCGCCGCAATCTTGTTCTTTCCTTTTGATTTTCTCCTTCCTCTTTATCATTCCGCGAGAGCTACCCGGAGGCCCAAATGTTGAGTCGAATGGTTGGCCCGTGATTGCTAATGTTTGGGTGCTTTCTTTTTCCCTTGACGGGATGAAGTTGCATGTGTGCGGCACTGCCCCATAGTGGAGCGGGTTGGGAGATAATAAGTCGTATACGTACTCCGTACTCGTAGTCTGGTGGATGAGGCCTCTCCATACAAGGTTAGCCCCGTCCATCGCAACACTGGTGGAGTTTGGTTGTCTCACATTCACAGTAGGAAGCCTGACAGTCAATACGTCGTAGTCAAGAGTAGCTTAATTATAACCATAAGACCCTGGCAGTTTGGTGGCTCCATGGAGATGGGAGAAGGGACAAGTACACCAAGTGGCCCTCCATCCCGGCACCCATACGAAGACTTGCGTCGTACGCTATATTACCAAGGTGTGGCACCGTTCCTACAAGGTTCAAGTAAGACGAGCCTGTTTGTATGTCATCTCTTTTTCTTCCCCTTCATGTTTTGCACAGCCTCAAGAGGGGGGGGAGAGGGGGGGCGTGGATCGACAAGCCATGATTCAAGAGCAACAGAAGAGACTCACCGTTGAGATTTCAGACCAAGGGCGAAACACGCGCTTTCCTCTTGGGAAAGGTGAGAGAGACATGTGTCTGGTGTGTGCCAGTGCGCGCAATGAGGCTCAGCTGCTTGCTTGCTTGCGTGCTGCCAACAAGGGACCAAACGCAAGGAGGGGTGTGTGTACCATGCTGGGCTTTGACTCCATCAACATACATGAGGGTGTGCAACACAAAGACAGGGAGGGAGGGTACCGGACCTGATTTGCCATCCATAGACCGTGCCGGCTTGCGTTTGGTCGAAGACGGCACACGCTCGCTCTCTCTAATTTTAACTTATAGGCCATGTCGTGCCCTTTTTCACTTCTTGAAGACCAAGCCACAGGGCGATCCCACCGCAGTGCATTGCATATCAACGAGTGCCGGGGTGCCCATTTGGGAGATAGGGGCCAATGGGGTGACTAGCCGGACGGCGATCTAAGCTACCAAGTGCGCGCAGGTACTCTTGGTAGTTCGCCTCTTGTTCCCAAATAGAAGATTATAGAATCCATTGGTTCGATGTATGGTGGGATTGGCGTATACGTATCTCACATGTTGCCAAAGCCCGACAGCACGTTGATTTTTATTTTATTTTAAGATGGTGTCAATTCGTGCATGGGATGAAACAAGGGAGAAAAAGAAAAGAAAGAGAAGAAAGAAGAAATGAGTGGAAAGATAAACATTATGCCGGTGCCCGATGCTCAGGGCCCAATCTCATTTCCGTCATCTATCACGGGCCGGGGTTAGTGGACAGGCGGGATTCGTCAAGCGTGGCCGAAAAAGGAAAAAAGGCTCCCGGGTACGAATCTGACAGTCAAGCACATTATACATACCTGTATAGTTTGTATAGTTGTACTGGATCTCTACAACGGGAGTACATGTTTCAAATGGAGTCATAGTTGATATCGCCCCCCATCTTCTACTTCTTTTCTACAAAGTTCAAGCACTGCCGGGACGGGGACACACTAATGAAGGTTTCCTGATAACTGGCCGGCTCCATCTGCCAAGTGCTACTGCCAAGTGCTACTGCCAAGTGTGCCACTGCCAAGCCACATGTCTCTGACTCTTACCAAGTTTGTGAGTTGACGAGTATGTCTATACTGACTATTATACTACGGAGTTATGATCTATTATCAAGTACCGGGCCAGCGGGCGAAGCTTACAGGTAAAGCTAGGAGAGATGGGCGGGGAGGGGGGAAGGGGGGTCCCAGTAAGGGCGGATCTCTCGGGCAGCGACCGCGGAAAGTAGGGGGGGGGAGACTAATCATAGCCTGGGGTGTGCTTATTGAGAGTATGGATTATAATTTGTTCGCGGTAGGGCTCCTTTATCCATCATGACTAAAAAAGAAAAGGGGGGCGTGGGGTTGTACTAGCTATGTCTTTTCATCATAAGTTTTCGTTTCACAGGATGAGGACAAGAGACAGGGACAAGGGAGGGGTGACGCTTGGTTATGCTATGATATTGGGTTGTAATGGGGGCACTGTTCCCGTTCGCCCTGTCTATGTCCCGGGATCTACCTATAATACCTTCGTCCGCTCTCCATCGCTCGACTGTTTCTCATCTCTTGTTGTCTTCACTATTTCACTGCCTTGGATATACATTATTTCCGGCTTTGACCAAAACAAGAGAGCGGCGAGATCTCGATACGCTTCTTATCAATATTGACTAGTTATCTGTTACCTCTTCTGCCAAATAACCCATCGTCTTCTATCTGGATTTCTCCTTTTCACCGGTGCTCTCCATCTCTTAGTGTTTCCCGTCTCGGGACATTGCTTTTGCATCATGGCGTACTCTGAACCCGACCCGGAGCTGTGCAAGAAGTATGCCCAGTTTGCTTCTCACATGGTCAGGTGGCAGTTCAAGGTCATCTACTGGACCATGTTTATCGCAAACCTATTCGTGCTGTTTCTTGCCTCGTGGTCTTTTACAAAGTACGTTGATTTCACGATCCTGATTTTACCCTCCTCACTCTCCATGGAATTGGCTGACTGACCGGGTCCGCTTGTTTGTTTCGAATTCAGGGCTCAAACCGCTGCCGATCGACTGAAAGACAATCCCAAGAAAAGGTCAAAGACGATACGCATGTACATGCTGCTGTGTCTTGGCTGCATTGTTGTTTCGACCGTCATTGTCGTCATGGAGGTTTACTCCCTCATGGCGCTCCAGTTTTGTGACGGAGAGGACCTGATTTCTCTCTACTGGTCATCCTTCATGATGATCCAGGTGGGCTCGCTCATTGCCATGATTGGCATCATCCTTTCCATGATCCATCAGCTGAGGAACAGCGCTCATCCGTACGTTGACCGCTCCCCCTCCCCCCACCTGGATCCTATTCCCTATTCCTTGATATCAAACATATGCCGTTATCAAGTCCATGAAAGCAGACTAACATCTCTATCTAGGCCCTGGGCGCTTGCACTCGGAACACCCGTTCTTGTCATTGCAGGCTTCCTCCACCTGTTCCACCTAGGCACCAAGACCAAGATCAAGAAGATGAGGGCCGCCTCGACAAGCACAGCTAGTTCTGGTGACCCCAATGCTGGACCCCCCATCAGTCAAGTGTATGCTGTCGCTGTCCCTGTCTTAAGGGCCCTGCTCCACCTCGTCCATGTTGGCTAACCCCCTCTTGTGTACTAGAAACACGATTCAGGTCGACGATGAGAACGAGCTCGGAGATATCTCGAAAGATACCATGAGAGACGTAGATTATATCGGTATAACGATTGACGGGGGCCCCATTATACGTTTCAATCGACCCATCACCAGCGTGCCATTTGGTGGAAATCCCGTGATGCTGGGCCGTGATGAGCTCGGCAGGACGATTGCATCCTGGCCCCGGGATGCAGCACGGTATTTCACGGACCCGGAGAGGTAGGACAGGCAATGATGAATTCAGGGTTAATGGATAAGAAAGGAGGTGAAGGGATTCAAGGCATCTGTTACATACTAGCGAGGGTTTCCATGAGTACAGGTAAATAACGGCCACGCCTGTGCCGGGTCAGGTTTACGAGGACACAAAAGGAAGGGGCACTAACGCGGCGCACACGGTTGGCGTTTTGATTTTCTCAGGCGGCAATCTTGTTGATACCACATTCTGTTATGATCTTTTAATATATATAGTACATACAATTTGAAGAAGAGTGAGAATATTTCGATCACACACATTCGGCGTTAGAGGAACCTTTCTCCCAGCAATATTTGGCTGTCGATAAACACTCGAACATCTCTTCTTATGGCGCTGACTGCCCTTGAGATTATCTCTCTTCCCTTGTTAAATCTCCTCTTTTCTTCGCAAGATCCGACATTTTCCTCATTCCTCATGACCTGGACTTAGATCCATATAGTTACCTCATTGTTGTCAACTAGGCCTTTCAGCGCCCCGTTAGGTGCCAACTCTATTATAGCATCTGCTGGTTTGTTATGGCCGTTGATCTATCTAACTGTTACGGGTTGTACCTCGTTATCAGGGCTTACGAGAAACCGACAATGTGGATGAACTGTATTTTGGCAACGCTGATACTGCCTCGCGGCCCTGCCAACCGTTGTGGCCCACCACTCGCCGACCGAATCTGCCGCCTCTTCAGGCCGCACCGGGAATGCACAGATGAACCCGCGTCCCATTTGAGCTGGCGGGGACCATCTCTTCCCAGCCAGTATTGTGCTGTCCATGCTCATGGAGGCTCCCTACGCCAAAAAAAAAAGAAGCCGTCACCCCTCTCGACTTGTCGGCTCTGCAGTCTCTCCGCTATAATAGATTCTGGGTCTTGATACCAGCTATATATACGATATATAGTAACTAGTACGCCGCGAGTCTATGGAGAGTCTATGAGAGACTGCTGATGACTCCTAATTTCCCTCATATAGCTGGACTCCTTCCTCTTTATCGCCAAATAAATCTCTTCAAGGCTACTGAAGCAAAACCAGCCCGCCACGATAGCCCCTCCTAAGCGTTATGATTACTATGAGTATCATTTGCCGCAATGATATATAATTGTGCTACTTAGTAAGCACCGAATGACCCCCACTAATCCTTGATACTGACACTTACTCGTACACTGATGTTGGAGCGCTCAATTATGTACAACGTACCAATGGTAGAGGAGGAAAATCAATGTACGTCAAGCTTATAAATGATGGGGGGTATAGTGGGGTGGAAGCCGTCAGGTTGGATTTGTCCCGCCACCTCGGCGATGGCTTTGAAATCATAGCTCCGTCTTCGGCCATTGTCTGCAAAATGTTTCTTTTCCAGCATCAACATCTACATCGCACTAGAGCTCACAATCGCCCACTCTTCATCACTTGACGACGCCCTCTTCGTGTCTGGAAGTCGACAGAAAGAGATCGACAAGAAGACCCCGGCACTTGTACCTTTCCAAAGACAAAACGCCGAATCGCCCGGCCCGCGTGCGCATTGCCAAGATGGGTCTGGAAATGGTCAAGCACATTGTGCTGGTACGTCGCGCAGGATCCCTGGAATAAACCATTTTACCGGGAGAAATATTTACTGATTGAACAGGTTCTTTCCGGCAAAGGCGGCGTCGGCAAATCGTCAGTCACAACTCAGCTAGCCCTATCGCTATCTCTGGCAGGCCACTCGGTCGGCATCCTCGACGTCGACCTCACGGGGCCCTCGATACCGCGCATGCTGTCCATCGAGACGTCCAAAGTCACACAAGTCCCCGGGGGCTGGGCGCCGGTGCTGGTTCACGAAGCAGACGAAGAAACGGGGATCGGCAGCCTGAACGCCATGAGCCTGGGGTTCCTGCTACCCAATCGGGGCGACGCCGTGGTGTGGCGTGGACCCAAGAAGACGGCCATGATCCGACAGTTCATCAAGGACGCCTTCTGGGGCCCCACAGACTATCTCTTGATCGACACGCCGCCGGGGACGAGTGACGAGCACATTTCACTGGTGGAGGCGTTGCAGAGGGACGCCCTAGGCAGCCAGGTTGCCGGAGCGGTGGTGGTGACGACTCCTCAGGCTGTGGCGACGGCAGATGTGCGCAAGGAGCTCAACTTTTGCGCAAAGACGGGCGTGAGAGTGCTCGGTGTCGTAGAGAATATGAGCGGCTACGTGTGCCCACACTGCTCCGAGTGTACCGACATCTTTGGATCTGGGGGCGGCAGGTCCATGGCGACTGAGTTTAACGTGCCGTTCTTGGGATCGGCGCCCATGGACGCCCAGTTCATCGCCCTCATCGAGGAGGGTAGACGTCCCCGCTACCCTGTAGGAACACAGGTTGGAGGCAGAGACATCTCGGCGGCAGCAGATGACGGCGAGAAGGGTGGCAAAGATGATGGCTTGCTGGTGGACAAGTACAAGGACTGTTTACTAAGTCACATTTTTAAGGATGTCGCCGAAAAGGTGTTGAAATATGTGGATGAGGCAGTTGGGAATTAAGAGGCAAAGGATACGAATTACTCAGTTCTATGCATGTGTGTTGATACTCTAGCGAATGCAATATTATCATCAACTTGTCGCCAGTTGCCAACATGGTGACTCGTCCATGTATTACGTGTACCTGTGCCTGCATATGCCGAGCTTGCGGTCTGCGCCACGCCGTAGGAGGATGCATCATTATGCGACTGATGTCAGCGAGAGGGGTAGCACATTTAGTACAGTGGCTGCACGGGAGCTAAGAGAGACGCATGGACGACAACCCGAGAGAAATAGAGCGGCGGTGAGGGACGAGTGTTGTGAGAAACGGGTATTACAGTAATATTACAATATTACTCGTACTTGTGCTCTCGACACAGGACAAATCGTCGATGACATGGCCCATATCAAAGGTGTAGAATCAAGGGTGTAGACGAGGTGCATAAACCCCGCGCTCTGCTCCGCCGAGAATGATTGAAAAAATCTTCCAGCGACCGACTGCCATGGACGCACAACACTGTATTTTAATATTTCCCTTGTTATTGGACATGCCATATGCGAGGGCCTGCATCGAGTGCGATGAAACGCAAATCGGCGATGACGCATATGTCCTAGAGGGAAGGATTGAACCATATTTAACCACAACACCGTTAGGAAAAGCCATATATCCATATATTTGATATTATATACTAAAACTGAAATAGTACTCGTGTTTCCTAGGAGAGAAAGGGATCATGGAGAAACATACAATAACGATAATCTACAGCACTCTACTGGAGGCCACTAATAGTCTCATATTATAATACCTGTAGGCTGCTGGGATCTCAATAATATTAGTGCCAAAAGCCTGATGAACGTCGGGCGTCAACACACGGGGAATCTTCCAGTAATAAAGCAAGCCCACTTTATCACTGGCCCTACCCCAACTGGTAACTGGCAAGCACCAGGCGCGGTTGGATGTACGAGTATGGATGCGTTCCTGCGCTATCCGGCGCCTGGAGACTGACCGCTGCAGCCTATGGTTACAGCGGGCTACAGTATCAACTAGGTGCCTATAGGTGCTCATGGTGGGCCACAGTGGGTTACCTTGTCTTTTTAGGCAAATGTTGGCGCTGTCGTTTGCGCCCGCCGTATACCTGCCCTGAAACCTGGAACTCGAGGAGGTATCAGCACCCGCTATTCTGGTACTCTCTGCTCGGGTTGGAACCACATTAGGAGATGAATAGAAGAAAAAAAAACCCACAGAGGGGAAGGACGGAGAAAAAAAAATTGTTCCAGCGACGTCAGTATTCGCTTTCTTCTTTTCTTCTTCCTTCAAGAACGCTCTGTCGAAGCGATCCCAGTAGACTCGCACCAAAAAAATCAAGTTTTTACAGGTGACTTTTCTTCTGTCACTGTCTTGCTCGTCGAGCCCTTTTTTTTTTGCTCAATTACCCGTTGAGCCTTCTATGCCATCCACAGACCCTCTTCGATTCCTGTTCAACCGTCCATCCAAGTATGTTGTTGTGTCCTGCCTCCCGCCCCCGCCATGAAGCCCTCTTCCCACAATTGTGCGCAATACTGACTATCCCGCTTCTCCAGGCCTCGATAACACCCCTACTGAAGGGAAAGAGAACGTCTTTGCTCAGAAAAAAAACACACACCGAATCCCCCTCGAGGTATATCCTCCTAGGATCCGATACTCCTCCACAGGTATCGGACGACAACAGTTGCCTACCACGACTTCGTCGCGGGATCTCTTCTTGCTCGCCCTCCAATTCCAACCTCCCTAACGTCCACTTGAGAGACGTTGCCTAAACTCTCTACACTGCTGATTGCTGCTGGCTTCCGCCAGCATCCTGCAAGAGCCACATTCCTGTGGGCCTACTCTCCTCAGACAGACTCCCCAAGACGGTCTGTTTGGGTGGCAGCTAGTGCTCCGCGGACCCTGCCAACCCGGGCACGGAAAACGACAAGAGCTCTCCTTCACTCTCACTCAGCAAACTCTGAGACCCCTCTCAACTTGCCAAGGCAAGCAAATAGCTTCTCCGTGAATACCGTCGAGGGCATATCTTGCCACCGTTTACACCACGAGAATGGTTAGCCGTTCGATCCCCAATGGCTATGGTCTGTCCTTCTCCGAGGTTGCGCCTCATCTGACCATCAACCACGATGTCGCTGCCGAACTTGATTCTAGCAATGCCTTTGAAGGTCGGTCTTTACCTCGGCCTCGTCTCCTCGCGCACGCTTCATGCTGTACCGTACATAGCTAACTCTAATATAGGCCCTGAGAAGCTCCTCGAGGTTTGGTTCGCCCCAAGCCCTTCGATCCTCCCTCCCGGAGCTCACGTAGATGGCCTGAAGAGCGTCTCCGGTGACGTCTGGGTCGATATGCTTGACCTGGTCAACTGCAAGATCCTTTCCGTTCTCAAGTCTGACACCGTCGACGCCTACCTGCTGTCCGAGTCGAGCATGTTCGTCTTCCCCCACAAGCTCATTCTCAAGACGTGCGGCACCACCACCCTTCTCCTTGGTCTCCAGCGCATGCTCCACATCGCTGCCCTTTACGCCGGCTTCCCCTTCCACAACGCCGACAGCGTCGAGAACATCCGCTCTGCCGCCACGCCCTACCGCGTCTTCTACAGCCGCAAGAACTTCCTCTTCCCGGACAAGCAGCATGGCCCCCACCGCAGCTGGAAGCAAGAGGTCAAGTTCCTCGACGACATGTTTGAGGGCGGCAGCGCCTACATGGTTGGCAAGATGAACGGCGACCACTGGTACCTTTACATCACGTCTCCCAACCAGTCGCTGACCCCCCCTCGCACCCCCGAGTCCGAGCTTGCTACTGGCGAGCAGGTCAAGATCCCCGCTGGCGTTTCTCCCGTCGCTGCAGCTTCGGCTGGTCATAGCGATGAGACGCTCGAGATCCTCATGACGGACCTAGACGTAGAGAATGCCAAGCAGTTCTACCTGGCCAACGCTAGCGAGAAAGCCCGCAACCAGCTTGCCGCCAAGGCCAAGGAAGCTCGTGACCGGGCCCAGGAGAGCCTCGGTAGCCTGGATGAGGAAATTGACGTCTTTGGCATCGGAGAGGATATGGGCGGTGCCCAGCACGGAGACCTCGATGCTACCGAGGCCCTGACCACTGAGGGACATGCCCTTGGAACCGTTGTCTCCGAGTACTGCGGCCTCTCCGACGTCTATCCGGCTAGTGTGTATCCCGACGCCCGCGTTGACGCCTACCTCTTTGGACCCTGCGGATTCTCCGCCAATGGCGTTGTGCCTCCTCCTCCCGCTGTGGACGGAGAGTTATCCAAGATCAACGGCGGCCAGTACTTTACCGTTCACGTCACTCCCGAGCCCGAATGTTCCTTTGCCTCGTTTGAGACCAATGTTCCTGGTGGTCATGGCGGACGCACCACGGCTGAGGTCATCGAGCACGTCGTCTCCATCTTCCGCCCTGGTCGCTTCAGCGTCACCCTCTTCGAGGCCAAGGGCAAGAGCGCCAACCCCTATGGCATGGGTGATGACTTATCCGACAAGAAGAGCATCGCTAATGACCGCCTTGTCGACCCTGTCCAGGGCTACCGTCGTATTGACCGCATTGTTCATGACTTTGAGGACTATGATCTCGTCTTTCGCTTCTACGAGCGTCACGGGTGGGCTGGCGAGAAAGGTGCTCGCGTCGGAGAGCTTGATTAGTTTCAAGCTTCTATCTAGCAGATCACACACTGTCTGTTACTTCTTCACATTCTTGATTCTGCTGGCCTATCAACGGTGCAGCTTTGCCAGTTATTTTGGACAAATGTCAATTCCTCTTTATATGATAGTCTTGTTGTTTTCTAACTATACTCTCCTTAATTAAGCCTATGGCGCCGTTTCTATTCAGTTGTTCGCCAACACTTTTGGCCCGTGATAATAGTGAAACTAAATGCGATATCTCTGTCATGTCCGATATTTGAAAACCAGCAGCTGTATTACTAGCTAGTAAGTAGCGTGCCATATACGTGGTGGCAATGACATTCCGTGATGGATAAAGAATTCCCATGTGATGCTCGAGGCAATCATCACTAGTTTGAAGCTTGCCATATATAATTGTGGGCACTGTTGAAAACTTATCGATAGAAAAATCTTTCTTTTGCCAGGCAACCCACGTGACCTAATTCAGCGGAAAATTTCCAACCAATTTTCTTTTCTTTTTGGTGACCGAATTGAAGGCATAATACTACCTATAACTTCAATCCTGCCATTGACTGTCGACGACACGACCGACTTCTTCCCACCGTCGATCAACCTAGATAACACAACCGTCATAATGCACTTGATGTACACTCTCGACGCCGAGGGCAAGCGCCTCTACACCCTCAAGAAGGTGGCCCACGGCCAGGTCACCAAGTCGGCGCACCCTGCTCGCTTCTCTCCCGACGACAAGTGGTCGCGCCAGCGTGTCACTCTCAAGCGTCGCTTTGGCCTGCTCCTTACCCAGCAGAGTGAGTTTTTCCGATCCAAGGAGTATCACCAGATACAAAAGGTGAATTGTATACTAACAACCATGGCAGAGGAAGAGTAATTCGAACTCTAGTTTTGACACCCAACCCCCCATCCCCCCCATGATAGCAACATCACGACATCCCAAACGGCACAAAAACTCGATGCGTATCGAGTCAGATGAAGTGACAGAGATGAGATGGCCAAAAAAAAAAAGACGCGTGCATAAAAACACAGGAGGATTATGACCTCTTCATGGGACTTCTTTTCGGTCAATTTATTTTTTCTTTTCACGGAGTTACGGTGGCACCCGAGGCGTTCTTCTTGACTAGGAGGCGAGGCCGAATAAAGAAAAATTATGCCTATATATTCTATTTTTTTTTTCTTCCCGTAAATTGCTCGTAAAAATTTTCATCATTTTCCCTTAACTCCTCTTCCTAGAGTTGACATTGCGTCCGGCACCAACACGTATCCTGCCGCCGCCGCCATCCCTCCTGCCGCTGAGTATACCCGGCAGCATATCCTCGTCCATGATGTTCTTCTTGCGCGACCTCCGCTGCTCCTCCGCTGCCCTGGTGTGCTCCTTCTGGTCCTCGGCGAGGATCAGGTCCGCTCCCCACCCGTTCTTGCCCCCGGCAGAGTGCTTCCCTTTACCCTTGGGCATGCGCCCGTTTGACGAACCGGCCACCGGCTTGGGCACGCTGTAGACGTTGCCACGGTTGTTCCACTGGAAGTTCCTCTTCAGATGCACCTTCAGCTCACCAGTCCGGTCGTCGATGGTGCATGCCGTGCGGATTAAAGTGGGCTGTCCGCACGTCGGGCAGAAGCGTCGCTCCATGTCCCGTGTCGTCTTGAAGCATCCGTGGCACCGGAGAACCCAGGTGCGCAGCCGAGAGATGCGCGCCAGCGAGGGCGCCACCAAGTTCAGATTCATGCGGAGTGCCACGTTTTGCATGGCAAAATCGGACGTCAGGACCGCGGCTTGCAGTGTCGTGGGCTGCTTTCCCATTATTGTAGAACCGATGTCGTCTTTGGCCTTCTGCTTCTTCAGGTTGGACGGGGTGATCCAACCGCCGCCATCATCTTCGTCGTCATCATCTTCCTCATCATTCTCATGTTCCACTACTTCAGTCTGTTCCTCTGCGGCTACAGACTCATCGGCCTTTTTGCCATCAACAGGGGACCCCGCCGCCGGCTCCAGTGCCAGGACACTCTCACCCTGTGCAGCACTGAACTTCTCGCCCTTTTCAGCATCTACATTTGCAGGGGCCTCAGTAGTCTCGAGACTAAGCTTCTCGACCTCTCTATTCAAGTTGACCTCTACCGGTGAGATATCGATGGTAGATTCTGTGTTGGTGTCGGTGGGAGTGTCGCCGTCTGGGATATCCTTTGTCACATCTTCTTGTCTCTTCTCTGCTTTGCTGGTTCCGTTGTCGCGGCCTGGTGCCGACCCGTTCAGGGTCTTCTGCCCAGGCGTGTTGCGCAGACGCCAGTCTCCGCCGTTTCGCTCGCATTCAAGTTCATACGTGAGAGCCAGGACCTCCAGGTCAGGCCTGCTGAGGACTTCGAGATCACCGGTGCGTCGGGCAAAGTTGATGACAAACTTGAGGCTGTCGGGTTTGGGCGCCCGCACTGTAGCGAACGGGAGGACCGCCGTCTCGACTCTCGTGCGCGTGGCAGCGTCGCGGATTTCGGGGATTACGGAAGGGAGGATGTAGAACTGTTCGGCTCGAGCGCGGAGGACATCGATAGATGGGTCGTTCTTGATGAGGGGTCCCGTGTCGAGGACGAGACTGTGAATGGGCTTCGAAGGCGGGGCAGAGGCAGGGTCCGCCTCTGTCTGCTGGGGGTTGGGGACAGCCATGGCGGCTAAATCTGAGACTCTGTATGGTTGTTCTTTCCGATTTGTAATATCGATATGTGCGATGTATCAGCGCGAGATCACGAAACCTGTCGTTGCCGGTAATCGTATTTCGTATGAAAGTAGTAGGATTATCTTTTTTTTCGTGGTGGCGGTTAGTGGGGCAAAATCGAGTTGGTGGAAAAATTCGATGTGGGGTGGTGAATTATCTATTAATAAAGCGGGTATGAAAAAAAGTACAAGGGCTATCACATCACAACCTCAGGGTATGAATACAGTGTATTAATAGTCAATAAGATTCGATATAAAATCCAACCACAGGACTAACTTCTCTCAATACCACATGCATCATTAAGTATACAGCTAATATCTCTATTGACCTAAAAGAAAAATTTGCACTCTCCTGTTTCTTTATTCAACTGGAATGTTAAAGGGTTAAAGTCAACTATGCTTGTTCATGAACCAGTGACGGAGACATCCAAATTCCCATAGTCGGGGGGGGGGGGGGGGGGGGGGGGGGGGGGTAGCGCGATGGCCATACTCGGTGAGATGAAATGCGTGAAACCGTTAAATTACATTTTTGACCATAGATCATGATGAAAATCAAGCCAAAACCTATGTATACGCCGATGAAACAAGAAAACCACCTAGAAATCGCCGCCTCCAAAGTCATCGCCGCCCCCAAAATCGTCACCACCACCACCCCAGCCTCCGCCATCAGAGTCGTACCCACCATCTGAGCTGGAACTTCCTCCCCCACCAGGACCACCGGGACCATAACCCCCATCTCCATAGTATCCTCCGCCATGGTGGTCGCCAAGACCGCTCAGGGCGGCAGCACCAAGCATGCCGAGTCCTGCACCACCGGCGGCGGCTCCAAGGGGCAAGCCTAACTTGCTCTTCTTCTTCTTCTTCTTTCCAAACTGGGAGGCACCGAGGGCTCCAGCAGAGGCACCACCTACACCGGCACCTGACAGCTTGCCAAATACCTTGCCTAGAAGGCCATCCTTTCCGCTGCTCTGGCCGTGCTGCGGCTGCTGGTGCTGCGGGGGATACGGACTATGAGACTGCCCATAGGGTCCGGGGCTAGGCGACTGATGGCCGTACTGTTGCTGCGGTGGGTAGAGGCCAGGGCTGCTGTTGCTGTACTGTTGCTGGGGGGGTGCACCGTAATGCTGCTGCTGCGGGGGTTGAGGGCTTGGCGGGTATGCATGTTGATGGTGGCCATAGGAAGGAGGGGGTCCTGGCTGGTGGGACGAGCCGTACGCCCGGGAGTTTTCTTCAGCCTGCAGTTTGGCGGCCAGCTCAGCATCGCTGGAGTAGGTGTTTTGGGGTGGCGCTGCCCCATACTGAGAGTACTGGGCTGGTCCCGCGGGACGTTCCCACTGCGAAACATGGGTGTGGGTGTTGACGTAGAACCTAATGCGAGTTTGCTTGTTAGACAGGGAGAGCTCTCCATATAAGTTGAGGATCTCAAACAGAGAGCCGCAAATCCAGAAGGAGAAGTAGTTGACTCACCATGTCTTGTACTGGTCGTTCCATTGAGATATCCAACCCTCGGGCAGTGGTGGACCGCCTCCTGCGGGAGGAGCTCCGGGGGGTGGTGCTGCGTTGTAGCCTTGCATCTGTGGGGCTTTGGAACCGAGTTGTCGTAAGACGCGCGCAAAGGTTGTGTTGTTTTGTGTCACCTATGGTCTGACAACGGTTGACGTGAAGGTCAGGGTAAAGTTGCGAGCCGAGAAGTATAGAGTATTGAAGATCGGGTACGTTCTATGCGCGGAATACTATGAAATGGAAGAATCGGCGAGGTAAGCGGGCTAAAATACGTTTAGATAAAGTCATAGATATGGACGTGCGGGGTGGCAATGCTTGTTAACAGCTCAGCGATGACGGACTTTGCGGCGCAGCAAGGTCACTTGGAGTGGCTTTGACACCGGATCTATCTCGGAAATATTGGCTGTACCACTGTCAACCAACCAATAATAGGGTGATGGAAAGTGTGGCGCAGGGGTCCTATGCAATTCCTGAGGCTGATTGACTGAGCACGCAATTATTCGTAGGCCGAGAGCAGAACAGTCTACGCTGATTTCAATGTTCATACTCATATCATAAGAATCTTGTCATCTTCGGACAGCGTCTGTGACGCTTGGGCTGGTATCTGGTGATCATCACTAGATCGTGGAGAAGCACCCGAAACTCTCTATCTTCAATGCTCTACGCCCTCATTATTACTTCGTAAGTGTAAATGTACATGTACCGAGGATAGAGGAAAGGCCATATTTGATCACCGTCAAGATCATGTAATGTGCGAGTAACATTACGTATAGGCTTCGGCGTCCTTATGCCATCCATTGGCGGAGGAGTAGGAGGAACAGCCAGGTTGATGTTGCCGATGGTGTTCTGTTGTACATGTAGTATTAGTCAACAATGAATTGCAAGTTGAGTTGAGAGAAACATGATCATTCCCCTTTCCCCTCACTCGACCCCTTTTCTTGCAAAACCTACTATTGATATTGGTCATACGACGGACTAAAATTCTGTGGGCACATGTAACGATGATTCCATGCTTGTATGAGTTCATTGTTACTATGTAACAAGGTGGCTGAGAGAAGAACCTGAGCTGTCGCGCAGCCACGTTGCCACGCCGCCAACTGCGCCACATGAGCTCCTAAACATACATATTCATGTTGACAAGTTCAAAGCTTCAAACACCAGAGCCTAGGCTGCTCTAGAGATAAACGATAACTTTTACCTACAATCACAGAGTAATCGATACTTTTTGATTCGCCCTTCCCGGTTCTATCTCGAAGCTGGGCGGGTCTTTTGACTCTGGGCAGTGCTATCACCCGGGGTATAATGGCTCAGTTCTTGGTCCATGCGCTTCGGGGGTCTTGCATTCTCAGCGTTACCTAATACGACGTAATAGCAGTACGAGAGCGTTACTAAGGTACATATGATGGGTAAAGTGCTGTGAGTATTACCTGCAATAGAACAGAGTATTATTACTACATGTACTGGAGTACGGAGTACTAGAACGAGTTTCTCAGCAGGGTCCCGCATCCCATAGCTACCCATGTATGAGTACAGAGCATTACGGAGTAATGTTACTACTAGTATTCAGTATTGACTATCTCTACAAATGTGTGGCGTGCGAGAAGGACGTACGAGTGCCTTTACTAATACTACGTCGCGTATCCTGATGAGGGGTTTGTTTGTTTGTTTCGCCTTCTTCTCTTCTCTTCCACAACGCATTACACGGTATTACAGCGCAGGTACAGAAGAGAGAGGTCGTGGAGCGAGGGCGAAAAAAAATCGCCAGGTGTGGCCAGACTAACGTCATGAAAAATATCGCGAAATCCGATTGGCTGCTTGACTCACTCCGCAGCTCCTACTAGAAATCTTCTCGACGCTGCATGCAGCTTTAGCGCGTCACTGCCGGCTTGGCGCGGCGCCATCGGCAGTTTTGCTTCCGAGCTTGCAATGATCTGCGCGTACTCCTTTCATCATGTGGAGGACTTTACGGTCTTCCCGTACGGCTCGAAGATGGGGTTTTCGATCACTGTTCCCGGGCTGATAGGCACGTCTTGGTAACGACGTTTCGTCAATGTCGTCCATATATCAGATTTCAAACGATACATTGTTCTCCGCGGGCGGGATTCGCCAGAGATAAACCCCACAACAGTTTGCGTCTTGTGGAGAGGTTTATGGAGGGATACGGTTTCTATTACGTCGTGCAAAACGAGTCGACGTGAGCACGGACTGTCCGGGATCAAAAACATGACAAAGACTAACTACTCCTACTCGTACGTGATTGCCGACAGACCCGCTTACGTTCCGCTAATACTACGGCTTTAGGAGGACGACCAATGTCCGGTCTAGTTGGAAGTGGCATCCTTGCATTGCCATTTGTCATGAATATCCACCATGACCGTTCGCGTTTACGACTAACATACACAACACAACACCGCGAACTTTGCTTTTCTCTCAGCAGGACATACATTTCACGACAACAAATCAAGGGATCTTTAACCTTTGCGGTTTGCGGGGTTGTGCAACGGGGGTAGGAATAAGGGACCAGCTTTCCTCGTTGATGCAGGCCTCCAAGTTGTCATGTGTCCCTGTCACACCCGCGTAGCTTCCCAACTCCCAAACTGTCTTCCGGAGGTCTTTCTATCTTCTTCAAAGACGAAGGACCGGCATTATGGCTTTAGCTCAGACCCACTGCCAATCGGGAACCCTGCCCTGAATTCTTCTTATCTAGAGTTGTGCCACTTGCATGCGCTACTCGCTTGTTCCGAGAGAAAACTTGCCCCCCTCCCCTCCCCGCCCAAGGTTTTGTTACTTTATTAACCCTCGCCCGACCCTTCTCATATCTCTTACCTTCGGGGGAAAACCATTTCTTTTAGACTCCTTTTCATCTTTTCTTCAAAGCCCATTGAGGGGGAGCGAGCCAACACAGGGTCTATACACACTCATACGATCACAAATCCCTAGACATTTCAACATCATCAATGGCTCAGCACCCCAACCCCGCCATGGGCGACTCCATCACCGATGCCCCCCCTTCCGAACAGACCAAGGGCGGTGACCTCAAGATGTACGACCTACCTGACTCCCAGAATGATATCGAGTCGATCAAGGCCATTGGCGACGCAAGCGGGTTCGATCAGCAAAAGGCCATTGAGGGCCATGCCCATTTCCACCGTCTTGGCTGGAAGCGCATGACCATCCTGCTTATTGTCGAGGCCATCGCCCTCGGCAGCCTCAGTCTCCCCTCGGCCTTTGCCACCCTCGGCATGGTCGCAGGTGTCATCTTGACAGTTGGCCTCGGCCTGGTCGCCATCTACACCAGTTACATTGTCGGCCAGGTCAAACTCAAGTACAACGATGTCCACCATTACGCCGATGCCTGTGGCAGGATTCTTGGTCGCGTCGGTTACGAGGTTGTCGGTGTCATGTTCTGCCTGCAGCTCATCTTCCTCGTCGGATCCCACTGCTTGACTGGCACCATTGCTTTCCAGACCATTGTCGACAAGAATGTCTGCAGCATCATCTTTGGTGTCGTATCCGCCATCATCCTGCTGCTCCTTGCTATCCCGCCATCCTTCGCCGACCTTGCCTTCCTCGGATACATTGACTTTGTCTCCATCCTTCTCGCTATCGGCATCACGATTATTGCTACCGGCATTAAAGCGTCTGACTCCGATGGCGGCCTGGCCTCGGTTCCCTGGTCCGCCTGGCCCAAGGAGGGCTGCACTCTCGTCGATGCTATTGTCGCTCTGACCAACATCGTGTTTGCCTACAGCTTCAGCATCACCCAGTTCTCCATGATGGACGAGATGAGCGAGCCCAAGGACTACGTCAAGTCCATCTGGACCCTAGGAACCATTGAGATCGTCATTTACACTATCTGCGGTGCCGTCATCTATGCCTTTGTCGGTGTCGACGTCAAGTCTCCCGCTCTCCTCTCGGCCGGTCCTCTTGTTTCCAAGGTTGCGTTTGGCGTTGGACTCCCCGTCATCTACATCTCTGGATCCATCAACACCACCGTCGTCAGCCGCTACCTCCACAGGCGCATGTTCGCCAACACTGTCACCCAGTTCATAAACACCCCCAGAGGGTGGACGAGCTGGCTCATTCTCATCAGCGTCATCACCGTCATCGCCTTCGTCATCGCCGAGGCCATACCCTTCTTCAACGACCTCCTTTCGCTCTCCTCGGCGCTTTTCGTCACCGGATTTACTTTCTACTTCCCCGCCATGTTTTGGTTCATGCTCATCCGCGAGGGCCCCTGGTACTCCAAGCAGAACATTTACAAGAGCATTGCCAACGGAATCATCTTCGTCATTGGCATCGCCATTCTGATAGGCGGAACCTATGCCAGTATTTCCGACATTGTGAGACCACCCCGACATCCTGCTGATACGAATAGCTGCTAACACGTCCAATATTAGAACTCCAAATTCGAAGATGGTACTGTCAAGAAGGCCTTTAGCTGCGGAGCCGTTGAGTAAATGCTCCCACACGGCGGCGGTAATGCATTACGAGGGAGCGAGATTCAGAAGTGACGATTTTTGTACATAGGCGATAGCATCATATATTGTTATTTTGGACTATTTCACTGTTTTTATTTTATAGCCCATTACCAGCACGATTGAAATACATTCACGCGTCTCGCATGAACTGTCTTCATCCGTCTTACGATCTCAATGACCCTTTAACCTTGTTCACGGGAGAATTGGTTCATATCCATAACAGGACTACTTGTACAGTTACTACCGAGTGCTCGAGTGATCAATCGTGGTCACTAATTGAACAGGCCTAGATTTATTATCACGGGCCGAGAATGACAAGACTCGATCAGCCATTCATTCTTTTCCCCCATCATGCGGGGCCCCAGCTGGCCCCCTTCGGCATTGGGGTGGTTAATTGCGTAGTATTGAAACATTATATTGAGGTTTGCGGTTACCCGATAGAGGCCGATTGCCGAGCTGATAACACGTTAATATAAAATTATGCTTGAAATATTGGTCTCCGATTAACATGATATCCTCCTTTATCTGCGCCCGAGCTTGATGTGTAACTCAACCAAGGGCGGTCCAGTGCCATGCATTTCCTATGGTCAGCTTCCACTCCACCGTACTATCTCGAGGTGATAATGCTCCTTGGACCACAAATTTCGGCAGCACAGATGGCCACTTCAGAGCCACTGCACACGGAGGAAGAAACCTGACCTACACGTCCAATTCTCCGCTGTATTACAATATCATTTCGCTGCGTGTCTCGTCACCATCACTGTGAAACGCTGTTAAACGCTCCACAAGACCAGTTCGGGGAGCATCGGCCATCGATATGATGGTCAAAGGAGGATTGCTCGAGCTTCAAGTTGTTGAATTTTTCTTACTGCCACCTTTTTCGGGCCCCTCGCTGCAATGCCAAGATCCCTTTGCCAGGTCGGTTTGTCGAACGGTTGGAGTCGGACATGATGTACAAAGCGGCACAAGCGGAGTGTCTTAATACTGCAAAGGCAAGTTCCGTATTTTTGCCGGCTCTGATTCAATGAGGCCTTTTATCAGTACACAATACGCATGTACTCCAACGAGCAGTCGTCGCGTCGCAGCAAATAGGAAACAACCCGCGGAGAATCGGCCAATTAAACATTCATGGTCAATAATGTGAGGTCCCACGAAATTAATCGCCACATGCATGAACATAACAAAATCGTCGACTATTAATACAGCAAAGAAAATACGCAGGCACGTGGGTAACAAGGCAGGCTTTGCGATACGCCGTCCGGAGGAAACAGTGCGTTCGTCCGGTTCCACTGGGGAACCCTGTAGATTACACTCCTCATCCCGACCGGGCCTACATGCGCTCCGTAAAAATCAACGATAAAAGGGCTGCTCCTATCTTCCGTCGGTGGCGATGTGCAATCCCCAAGATTACACAATCCAGCCCCAAAGGCTGTATGTACTTGGCTGCGTACTTGAATGAGGATGAAGTACTCTGCTGTTTTCTCCACCTTGGTGGGTGTTGGTGTCGCTGAGTTCAACGTTTTGGAGCATCTCGGTGCCAACAGCCCTTGGTTCACTGGTGAGTGGCAGTGGGCATAGGAATCTGGGATCAGAACTGACAACTGCATCCGTTGACATCAGGTCCCAACGTATTTGGCATTCCAAACGAAGTGCCCGTTGGTTGTACCGTGGACCAAGCGGTTTATATAGTCCGCCACGGCAGCCGCTACCCAGACCCAGGAGCCTATGCCGAATGGGTTGACCTGCATGAGAAGGTATGTGAAGTGGCACTGCACCGTCTTCGCTCTTCCGAAAAGCTAACAGTGTTTTTTTTCTAGCTTCAAGCCCAAGAATTTACGGCAGACGGCTCGCTTCAGTTCCTCCCAGATTGGAAGCCCGTGCTCGACGACCCAGCTCAGCAGCTGGCCCAGCTCTCCCCCGGAGGCTATGATGAGCTGTGAGCTATAGCAATAGCGTCTATCATCTCTTTGATTTCCACGGCTAAACAAAGCATTATTAGGTACCACCTCGGTGTTGAGCTGAGAACCAGGTACCCAGGGTGGTACAAGTATGGCTCTCCTTTCCATGTCTGGGCCAACAACTACCAGAGGACCATCGACTCTGCCAGACTTTTCGCCAGAGGCTACGGAGGTCCCAATGCCACAACGCTGGGAACCGTTAAGCCAATCCTCTCAACTGATTCTTCTGCCGTCGGCAACTCACTAGCTACTTCAGACTCGTGCCCCGCGTATGAGGACAACTCTGGAGCTGGCTACATCGACGAATGGGATAGCATCTACTTGCCTCCCATTGCGACAAGGCTCAACCAACTGATCAAGGGGAATCTGAGCCTGACGACCGATGACATCAGCAAATTTCCCTACCTCTGTGGATTTGAGAGTCAGATTCTCCGCAAGGTCAGCCCGTTCTGCGGGGTGTTCACCGAAGCGGAGATTTTGCAATATGAGTATCGCCAGGATCTGCGTTACTATTATGGCACCGGCCCCGGAAGCTACCACAACGCCTCCGTCATGCTCCCCGTTATCCAGGGTGTAATTGACATCCTTAGGTCCGGGCCTGAGACTCCCCTTGTGGGCGCCAACAATGGCGAGGAAATCCTTGGCGAGTTGACTGTAGCGTTCACGCACGACAATCAGCTCAACCAGCTGGTCTCGAGCATGGGACTGTTCGACCGCCAACAGCCCTTGCCATCTGACTCGATGGACCCGAGACGGATCTATGTCTCCAGCCGCAACAATCCCATGAGGGGAACGGTTGCTTTTGAACGCCTCCGATGCCACGGCACTTCGTACCTCCGAGTGCTACTCAACGATGCAGTCTACCCGGTGACTGACTGCTCGGAGGGGCCTGGAAAGTCTTGCCCCCTTGACAAATACGACGATAAAATTCTGGCTGAGAAATGGAAGAATGCCGGTTCATTTGAAGATATCTGCGGTCTTGCCGATGGCGTGGTAACTACATCAAAGACGGGTGGCGTAACATTCTTTACCAACTTTACGATGCCTGCCATCAGCAGTGTAAAACCTTGATTGATAAGGTGGTTTTCCCATTAACATCAAAGTGCGACAGTGTATGTACATGATGCCCTTTGGGAGAGACCATGATTATTTTTTTTAAATAATAGCACCACATAATGATGATAGGCATGTTGTTTCTGTCAGGGTTCATTCAGGGAACTGTACGAAGGTAGTGCAAAAGGTTCCTGAAAGTGGTATATAAGTAGTCTCTGACCTCGATTTCGTCAATAAAGGGGGTTATGTCCAATACACATACACTTTCTGTAGGTGGCTTTACTACTATAACGCTTCTACCTGACATCTATACGTAGACCTTACCACTTCTCCCACCACTCCCTCTCCTAGGCAGACTCATTGTCTGACATGAAGAGAAACAGGCTCGGGTAGCTCAGATCCGAATACCACACCTTACACAAATAAATGGACTTGGTTGAAATACTGATAAAAGGAAACTTAAGAAACCCTATTATTCTGAAAACATGATTGTGTCATGCTTCTATTACTGCCATTGGCATTTGCACTTGCGGACAAGGCTACTTACATCCACGAGATCACAGCTATCATATATACAACGAGTTCTATTTGGAATTATGTCTGAGATTGTTGCTCGCGCAAGACAATACTTGCGATGTGTAAGAAAACCTCCGGTGCGAATTGGTCAGTCAAGTGCCCTCGGACAACGACCTTCATATTCCTGGACGACTATGCATATGATAGGGTACAATTGTCGATGTTCTTTTGCCAAGCGCTCTTGGCATAAGGAAGCATGAAATCTGAGAGAATAGAGCGTGAGTAACAATTTCACATAATATACTTCTCGCTGATGGATATAAAGATGATTATGCCACTAACCTCGGCTGGTGAACTCGCAATCAATGTAGCACTCCACCATGTCGTCAGAGTAGTCGTCACCCAAATACTCGAGAATGTAGTCCTGGATGCTACACAGAAGGTGTACTTATCAGCGCCCCTCCACAAAACAGCGGCAATTGGTGGCTATTGGCACTTACAAATCTAAAAAGATCAAGTCGACAGAGTCGGGGTTAGTGTCATCCTTAGGGAACCCGGCACGAGATTCCCAGTAGTCAGGCAGAGTGTAGTCCGGAAGGTTGGTATGGACAGAGTCGTCACCTATTACAGGATATTGTCAGAGCCGAGTGATCACTCACGCCATAGAGAATAGCTACATCAGAAAAGGGATGGGAGTATACCATCAGTGCCCCAGTCATCAGAGGTCACATATCCGGATGTGACAGGCTCTTGCCGCCGGATAATTCCTCTAGGCCCCTCCACCTGGCGACGCCCTAATGTCCCTATTATGGGATCTGTACAGGCATCTCTAGGAGTAGGCATGGAGGCAAAGATGCTTCGCTTGTCGGCACCACCCTTATTGAGCCTGATGACAATAGACCCGGTCAGCGATTTTGGGCAGTCAGGGTTTGCATATTGTAGCTTACTGATCAATAATGGTGTCCGCCTTCGAAAAGGGTACATCGGGAATGTAGAGGAAGACATCACTGAAGGGAGAGACGATAAAGTTATCGTCATACGTGAACGGTCCCTTGTGTAGGTCAAATCGAACGGCACCCGTGTTACCAAGTATGATCCGGGGGGTTCCGGCTCGACTCTCGTTAATAACAATGGAAGCCACTGCTGGGACGATGACGGCGGGGAAGATGTTCTTCTCGTCTTCGAACGGGACGCATGATATACAATATGTCTCCGGTGCGCACCCGTAGACTTCACCGAGCTTGAGTTCCTTGCGGACTCCGGTAATGTTCTGAGTGACGACCTCTCCGGCATGACGATCAAAGGTATTGGCCGGGATGCGGGAGTGGTAGATGAAAGTATTGCGGTTCCAGTCCATGTAGCGCCGGGAGTAGAGGAACGGTGAGACTGAGCTGTTGGTCGCTCGGTGCGTCGGATTTTTCACCCCACGAGGGTTCTTGGCACCTCTGAAGCCGCTATTCTCGGAGTCAAAGCCACTCATGGACATCCAACCAAGAGTCTCGCAATACCGGCCTGACTCGATCCCTACAGACCTGTTGTCATAGACAGCAAAGTCACGGATGTGGGTGTGGCCCCCGAAGATCTGAATTGGAGTTGTTGGGCGAGCTTCCCGCATGGCATCCCAAACGATCTTGAACGTGCTGGTATCATCTGTAGGTCGTACAGGGTTGTGGCCAAAGAGGATGAACATATCAATAGGGTCGCTGGTTGTAAGAGCGTCCTTGAACCATTGCTCTTTCACCATATCAGAGGCCTTGATGACTTGAGAAGCATTGGAGTTGCCTTGGGAGAAAAGAATTAGCAACTACAATTTTTTTTTTGAACAGCGAGGGACCCGTGCATGGGACCCTACCAGTGAAGTCGAAGAGGACGCCAAAGGCCATGATACGCAGGCCCTGTTTAGTAGTAAAGTAACGGTGGGTGGCGCCCACATACTCATACTGGCCAGTCGTTTGGTTGAAGATCTTCACGTTGGATGTAACATAACGATCTCCCCACATCTCGGAGTACACCGTGAACATCTGCTGAGAAACCTCAGATACGTACAGCTCATGGTTCCCTGCCATTTTGTGTGCGAATGTCAGCAACGAAGCTTGATGTACATTGCAATAGATTACTTACCAATTGTCAGGAGATCGTAGTCAATGTTATTAAAAATGGTCATCGATTTTTCGCCGTCGACATCGGTAGCGTCAGATAGGCCTGTGCCATCATGCAGATCACCGGTATCGATGAGAAGTAGATCCACGCCCATGTTCCCAGCTGCCTGCTTCATGCGGCCTGAGAAGGAGACAAAATCGCCCCAATCTGCTCCATAGTTTTGTTCCTTTATATGACCCTCCAACCATCCGTGTGTGTCGGTCTAATTGTTTTGCGGTAAGCAATGGATGCTCTTGCCCAGGAGGAAATGAGAAGAACAAGATGAAGACCTCACGGTATGGATAAAATTGATTTGCCCCCATTCAAGGGGCGCCTTGGGCCAGTACGAAGCCTCGGGTGCACCAGGCTGAATGCGCTTCACATGGCGTACGTGCTCGACTGCATCCGAAGGGCCATAGCAGCCATCGTCATCGCCGCAACCAAGGGCGGCCGGGAGCAACGAAGCCAGATAGGCTACAGGCTGAAGAGGCTTCATTGTATAAAAAGATTAGCCCTTCCTCTTCAGTAACTCCTTGAAGGTGATACTGAATACGACAATGCTGAAGAAAGAGGAGCTGACGAGACAAACTCGGAGAAGAACTTCAGCTTATCTTAATCAGCCACTGCCGGCACTAATAAGTCTACATGAAATAATAGCTGAATCCAGTGGTGCGGTATTACGATCAAACAAAAAAAAAATAAGGTAACGTACCACGCAGTAAAAGCGGTGTCCCGCCTGCTACATCCTGCCTTTTGCGGCTAAGCATTTAGATCAAAAGATTATAGGCGGGCACTTGCATGCTGTGCACTGGCTCGTGATAGTTGCTATCTTCCTCTACATCGAGTATCAATTGGCCAAACGTGCATTGAATGCCCTGCACAGATGGATTCTCACACCATTTGGGAAGAAGCTCCGGTAAAAAAAACCCCGATTAATATCGAAAGTGGACAGTTGGGCTATGTGCGACCGTAATAGACCTACATATCTTGATAAAATGTGCCGATCTAGCCGATTAAGACACGCAGAGCATTACGCGGCAGTGCACGGTAAACGCGCACTCAATGATAAGGAAAATACTAAATTCGGCCCATGTAGACGTTTTCTGTATTACATCACGGGCTCGAACTACTCGAACATAAGAAGATCCTCTTAAGCTATAGACCGTCGAATACCAAAAGACTTTGAACTCTTACACTTCCGAAACCACGCATCCGGAGGTTCTCACGAGCACGGTGTGCCGGAAATTCAGCCACAACCAAGACGCTGACATTGTCAGTATTGATGCCGGCGTGCTTAAGAAGCATCAACAGCGCACCAAGGGTGTTCCCCGTCGCAAGGACGTCGTCAACTACCACTATTTGCCCGCGTACCGTAGAAGCTTCGAGCTCCATCTCAATCTTTTTGGCTCCGGAGCTACTTGATGACGAAGACGAAATGTGTGAAGGGCGTTTGATGGCCGAAACAACCGGCGGAGGTAGTTTTCCAGCTTCGCGAATGAGAATCAACGGTAAATTGACCTGGTGTGCAAGAGCTGATGCGAAGATGTAGCCGCCTGCCTCGCAGCATGCTACCCTCTCCACTCGGGACCAATCGTCGGCGAAGTGGGAGCGTAAAAGGGATGCGCATAGCGAGAGCCCGCCGGGTTGCTGTGCAACCCCAAGCACGTGTCGGAATTTGACGGTCGGCCTTGGAAAGCCGGGAACCAGGCGCACCATGTTGTTCAGACGCTGTAGGTTCTCATCCATCAATGGGAGCAGGTGACGATTCGACCACCCTCTCGCCAGTTCACCATCCGACGTGCTGTTATCAAAAACAAGACTGGGACGGTAGAGCATTGTTTCGGATCTTTGGAGGCCCGTGGGAACGGCCATCTCATCAAGACTTGCATCGTCATGTAGAGCTCCCCTGCGGCAGCTACGCATTTCCTCACTGGCTTGCACGCGGACATCCAGCAGCTTTCTATCGGGTACGGTGTGAGAAAATCTCGTGGCAGGGGCCTCGTCTCTCAGTCCGGTAATGAATAGAACGTCCACATCGAGGGCGTCCTCCACCACCTGCAGGAAGTTCTCCTCCATCAGAGAAGGTCTTGAGAGTAGCTGGCGCTTGAAAAAAGCCGTCAATTCTGGACGGTGCTTCTCCTTGTAGGCACGGTCCCCCAGCAGTCGTTCGAAGTTGGCCCCTTCGGCTAGCGAGTACGCTCGCTTGGTTGCATCGCTGATACTTGCGACATGTGTCGTCATTCCGTTGTTGGCAAACATCGAAGCCCATATGGCTGCGCAGTAGTCCTTTCCAGCGCCACTCTCCCCCGTTACGAGGATGATGATCCGCTGTTTGTTCGACGGTTCTGGAAGTGGACAGGCATGCCGTATCAGCTTGAAGGGGTCGAGCCTGGCTTTGAGACGAGACAGTCGTGGTATGTTTGGTCCGAAAGCCTTTGCTGCCAGTGGGGCATCCCTGGAGTCGTTTCCTAGGTCTGCACTATAGACACCGCTGCTCCATGGCAACAGATCCCGGACCACGGTGTAAACCCACGATACTGCGGTTCGTGCGGATTTGTCGTGGCTCTGGCCCCGCGGCCAGACACCTGTTACCACACAAGCAAAACTCCAGTCTCGGGAGCCAAACGCAGTATCTCCAGGGCCAACCTCGCTGACAGAGCCCCCGCCATGCAAAAGATGCAAATAGCAAAATGGTGTTGGACGGGACTGGACGGCCTTGACTAGGGCCCCTGCAATCTGAACCGACCCGATGTTTTTCAAGAAGACACATCGTTTAAATGAATCGGTCTTGCCTCCTCCATGGCCGCCATGTATTGTAGACATGTACATTTCAGCTTCGAATAAATCTAGGTGATTCAATGTCTCTGGTCGTTCTGCTAGTCCTAGAAGCGGGTCTGCGGCTGTGAAAGAGGTCATGGCGGTAGAATCCCCGGCATCGCTTGTCGAACCTGACTCAAACATGGTCACACCAAGATGTAACTCCTCATCGTCCCATATGTATGCATCAGCTGAGCATGTTTTGGGTAACGACTGAGCGAATGAGTCAAAGTAGGCGATTTTTTTCTGTGCCTCACAGCCATCTTCCATTAGAACGACACACTTTCGAATTGCGAACGATGAAGCCGCAGAAGCTTCGAAGATGGTCCAAAGAACAATCCCGATATTAGTCCCGGCACCTTTCACGGCCCACATGAGATCGGCTTCATCTTCAGGCCGTACTAAATCAGGTGTCCGAAGCTGGCGGGGGACATTGCCGACACAGAGCAACTGGCCAGATTTAGGGCTTACCACCACAGCTCCGACAATAGCATCGCATGCGAGTCCGCACGACCTAGCTAAATGGCCAATTCCCCCTTGCAACCATGAACCCGCACCGACACTGGGGCGGGAACCCAGTGGCACCTGGACACCCGCTTCCAAAGCCGTGCGAACGATGTCTCCTACCTTGCAACCAGCTCCGGCGGCGACCAAAGTGGGGGCTCCCATGCCAGGAACGGCCTCATTATTCTTATCGCCATTGAGAACATGTACTTGATCAAAAGCAGCCATGTCAACAGCCACGACATTTGGTTCAAGACAGTGACTACTATGGCCACCAGATATAACAGTGAGTCCGACTTCATGCTTTATGGCCCACTGTATGCAATGTTGCACGTCTCGAACATCCATCGGCCTGATAATAGAGGCGGCACGGTGAAGACGAGCCTCCCAGTTTTTGATTGGTCGCCTTTCGTCTGTGGAAACTACCTTTCCCAGGAGCTCTTGAAGTCCTTTGGCCTGTGACGTAAAGGCCATCATGATTTCTGGCGCGCTGAATACCAGGTGATTCGGGTGGTCTTCTCCTCGCGTTGAAAGGGAGCGGCATGTCTCGAGCCACTCAAGGTAAACGTCATCCGCGGGACTCTCAGTCAAGTCCAGATCAAATCCAACAATGAAGTGAGAAAAATCGAGTATGGTTTCATCCTTATTTTCAACATGGATGACTCCCTCATGAAAGGTGGCCATCTGTTGGCACACTAGACCATCAAGTTCCAATCCAGTTTCTCGATGAAAGACCACCACCACGCTATTATTCGATGGCCCAGTGAGCATCTGCAATGCTCTTTCGATGAACTTGGATCCTGGTTTCATTCCATACATGCTATGGCAGAATAGTATTACATCATAATTTCTCACGAGACCCTCACTCGTGAAATTGGTATCGTAGCGGTCGTTCCCATGCCCAAAAGGAGCTTGATGGATGACAGGGGGGCGCTCCAGATTGGGAAGCAGGTATCCCCCCTCAGCTGGTTGAGAAATCCATTTCTGCAATTTCACAGCGCTCAGAGAATCGGACTCGTAGGCGGTGTACTCTCTGATCCTCTCGCGGACATTGGTTTGTAGGTAGCCCACCAAGCTCTTGGGCCCGGGTCCAATTTCCAGTATGGATACGCTCGAACGTAGACTAATCAACGGCTCCAAAAGGCGATTCAATCCTGGGATTATGAAGTTTTCGTATGTTTTCCACCCTGCCGCCTGCCAAAAGATTTCGAACCCGGCCGAGTACTGTCGTTCAGATAGTTGTCGTTGTGTCAACCCGTCGGCATGTTGCTTTAAAACGCTCTTTAGAGAGTCTAGGGACGCCATGCTGCCGGTGTTCTGGCAGTAGAAGGAAGATTGATAACTGGGGAGTAGTGTTTGGTATTGGATATGGGCAGTAGCATAGGAGTATAGGTGTCAGACAACGAGTCTGCTTAGGAGGGGAGAATAGCGAGGAAAGTGATAAGGCCTGTTAGGTGACGGCGTAGTCGTAGCGAAGCAGCGGATATAAAGGCACGGTGAAGGATGATGATGTATTGATCGTTGACCCCCCTTCCTCGTTCTACGAGGAAGACGGTTACTTATATGACCTCTCCCGTTCTAATGGCCCTGACAATAGACAACACACGAGTATAGACGACATGGTGGGCATATTGTCTCTACATAACTAGGTCCTATCAAACTTGACCTTGGACCTCTCGGTCCTCGGATAAGTATATCCAATGATATCTTCTAAACCAGAAGTGAGATGCATAGACATTCAAGTGGCTAAAGACTACAGTAGTGACCCAATCATGAATCATATGGACGTCGGGATTGTTATTACACGAAAACAGGCTAATTTTACTTGAATTTCTATAGGACTATGCATTTTGTTGGTCGCGCAGGCATGATATTGGTTTTATCTCATAACTAGCGCCCAGCATGAACGTGAATGCACCTCACGAGTCACAGGTGATGGGGGAGGTGGTTTACTGGGGGCACTAACCACGGGAGAGAAAAACAAATGGAGAAAAATCAATACTATTTCGGCTGGCAAGGAATCACCATTGGGAAGGTCTGCCATACTGCTTTTTTTCCTCAGCCGCTGACTTTTTTGCTAGTACTCTTCTAAATCCCGGCTTATTGAGGGCCAGGAGAACCGTGGTTTCCAACAAAGGATATCTGCAAATCGGAGTCTATCTTATCTATCAAATGGGCCTAGTCGAATTGCGTCGTAATCTAAGTAGTGTACATAATTATTGAGCCTGGTATGGTCATTTCTCAGCCCACCTAACAGTGTTTTGGGTGCGAATTAGAGACCCTGGTTTTTGAACTCCCCGCATTGCCACAAACAAATGCATCCTAGGACGATCGCAACGCCTTCCGGGTTCAGGACTTCATGTATGGCCTCAGCGACATCCTTTATCAACAGTTCTCGTATCTGGATTTGGCGTGCATACAATTCCGTGATGCGTGTCGGTTTCGAAAAGCTGAGGATATATCACCGATTTTCCCCTCCCCTTCTTGGCGGGTCTCTATGCCCACGGGCACAGATGTCCTTTATCACAAAAAGCCGACGCGCATGCAGCGCAGCTTCTTTGAGATCACAATGCAGGAAGCATATATGCCTGGTCGGTGTGAGAACCGGCGCAGCTAAGCGCCAGGTCTCAACCAGTCAGAGATCATATCAGACAACCGTTTCAGAGAGTAGCCTGCGAGAAGACCGGAGCTCTTCTGTGCAATATCACAGTACGATACATGATTCCTACTGTGAGAGACGAAAGTCGAGCTACATGTACGTCGTGAAAATCGTCGGGGGTGGAAACTTGCGTGAGCATCCCGTCCATGCATCCCGTCCATGCATGTGTCCATGCATGTGCTGTCATTTATCAGAAAATTGGATGGAAAAAGAAAGGAAATAATGCAGTCGTCCAATGACATATAAAAACCTCGAATTCATATCTTAATTGTATCGTCGATTTCCAGAGTCACTCGGTACGGAACCTACCCCTCAGCATAAATAAATACGATGCCCAGTCTTCTCACCAGACATCTCTACAGGACAGAGTAAATTCAAGGAGTAGAGCATACCTTACACTGCTCATAATGAACTTTTTCAAATGCTGTGTTCCGAGTATCCCTGACGACTCGCCGCAATGGAAGGAGGGGCATACAATCGTTGTTGAAAGCCCCGTCGTGCGGGCTTATAGTGACGATCCTGCAGCGCAGATTCTCCAGATCCTTAGAACGGCTGATGAATCGAACAAGGACCTTGAAGAACGACTGAAGTCTGTGATTTCAGTGGCTAGCATAACGGATGCGATTGCCGAGAGGATCCTCCGAGGTATTGAAGACATTATTCAGCGAAGTGCCCAGGTGGCCGATGCAATGAACAAAGCAATAAAGCGCGCCACCGATATGGCTCGGGAGTTTTCTCACGAACACCCCTATTATACGACACTCATCGCAGCCGGAACCATTATCGCTCTGGGCGTGCTAGTGTGCCTCGCCCCTTGGGTCGTCGAGGCTCTTGGGTTTGCTTCACGTGGACCTCGAGCTGGTGAGATTTTGTCCCAAACATTTGCAACGGACAGAGGATTGATCGTTTCTAGGGAGCTTCGCTGCTCGTTGGATGAGCAGTATTGGAAATGTTCATAAGGGTTCGATTTACAGTTATCTTCAAAGACTGGGAATGGTTTGGCATGGATGACCACAACGAGGTATCAATAAAAAAAAGTGGGATCGGCATCAAACACAGGGAGGGGCGCAGCCCCCTACATTCTTCTCCACTATTACCTGATACTACATGCATAATTGCTCCATACAAATCTGATGACGCGACTTCAATTAATATTCCAAGCAAGCTCCATCTATTACCGTCACCAAAATACTTCTAGAGAATATACTCGGGAAATAAATCCAAGATGTTATTTTCAATCAAACGGTATTCTCCAAAACACTGCCATCGCTCTCCTCCCATGGATGTGTCTTCTCAATAGATCGAATCAACATTTCGTGATGGGGCGAGCGGGGCTTCACCGAGTTCTGATACGGTTCAGGACGGCTGATGATACCTGGCGTAAACTTGATCGTTGGCTCAATTTCTTTATCGCCCTGGACCTCCTTGCCAATATCAAAGACAGCGAGAACCTGCGCAACATTGAGGTATAAAGAGTTATCAGCGAGGTTGCGCCCGGGGCAGACACGGCGACCAAAACCAAAAATCAACGTGCGTGGGTCAGGCGCAGGCTCGTGGCCGTCTTTCGCAAGGAAGCGCTCAGGGTTAAACGACATGGGGTCCTCATAGACTTCTGGATCGTGCGTAAAGTGCCTGGTAAATATCAAGCATGAGCCTACAGCCCAACATCATCCGAGCATTAGATCAGTTCACCCACCAGATATTCGCAAACAAAATGGACCCTTTGGGAATAAAGTAACCCTCGAAAATATCGTCTTCCGTGCTTGTGTGAGGGAGACCCATGGGGCCGACTGGATGCCAACGAAGAACTTCCTTAACAGTGGCCTCAACATAGGGAAGGTTCTCGCGGTCGGCAAACGTAGGCAGGCGGTCTTGGCCCACTACCCTGTCGATTTCCTCCTGCGCCTTGCGTTGCACTTCTGGATAGACAGTCATAGCTAAGAAGAAGCATGAGATGGTGGACACGATCTGAAGGATGTTAGAATCAAATTATGGAGCCACGAGCCAAGATTGGAGCTCACCGTGTCAGAGCCGGCCGTGTATAGAGACAGGGCCGACCATTTGTTGATGAATCTCTTCTCTTCATTAGTATTGTCGGCCTCGATGAGGCGCGAAAGGAATGAGCTTCGGTCACTTCCCTGCGCCAGGAGGTGATTGACAAAGACGTAAGGCTTCTCGACCACGTCGGTCAGCTCAGCTCCCCATTTGTGAGCCGTTTTTTTAAACCCCATTCCAGGGATCCATTCTGGCAAGTATCTCACTGTCGCATGTTAGAGAACCATACTCAACAAGCTAGGACAGAGGAGTCAGTGATAGGTATACACTGACAGGATGGGAGCATGTCGACCATGAAAGCACCGGGGACGGCGGCCACGGAAAATTTGTCCATGGCATCCACGAGCATGTCGACAAGCAAGTCATTCTTGAACGGCTCCGTTGTATACCCATAGGCAATCTTAAGAATGACGGACCCTGCTTCCCTAAAACTCAACATGTAAGTAGCAGCCAATAAAAGAATCTTCATCAGGGTCGCAAACGCACTTTTGAATATGGGGGACTAGATCTTCGGGCTGGTCCAGGAGGTGTAGCAAGAAATGGCCCACTTCAGCCTCCTGGAGGCTGTGGAATTGTGATGCAGCAGGTTTGGTTCCAATTATGCGGTTCATGTGCATCCGGTATGTTCGTAATCGATCGTTGTAGGGCAATAGCGCAAGTGAGTTGTCCCAACCGATCCTATGATACCATTACCATTGTTATTTCCATCATACGCCAAACTTCGTAACTAGTCTTACATTTCGCCGGCAAATGTTTGCTTCGGCCTAGAAGAATGCTTGGAGGACCTTTTCTCAAGCAACTCCGCCGCAATTTGAGCATCATTGATGATGACCATCGTTGTCCCCATGACGGTGACGGATGAGATTGGGCCTATTTAAAACGAATAGCATGATGGATTAGCTTGAGCACCCCTACTACACGAGAAGTATGTAAGACTGGTTTCGACGAACCATACTTGCGCTTGTGATCCAACCAGTGATAGGCCTCAAGGACCCCGGGTTGGGGTAGGTCGCTAATGTTTCCGAGAAGCGGGAAACCCCTTGGCCCGGGGGGCTTCGGCGGCCGGGACCAGGTCTTGAGAAGCTGAAGGAAAAAATAGACAGTTCCCAAGCCAATTCCAAGGCTCAGGAGTACCGACATAATCGCCATTGCTACGGGAAGGAGGCTTAGCGGTCTGTCAGACAACGAGTCTGCTTAGGACGGGAGAGTAGCGAGGTAAGTGATAAGGTCTACTAAGTGACGGCGTAGTCGTAGCGAAGCAGTGGATATAAAGGCGCGGTAGGGGATGAGGATATATTAATCGTTGACCCCCCCAACCCCCTCTCTCCATTATAGAACGAGACAGGCAGTTACTTATATAACCTCTTCCGTCCCGATGGCTCCACCTTAGTAGGCTTCTTCTAATGGCCCTGACTGTCACGAAGTGAGACATGCAGAGGGATAATGTGCCATACTCCTCCCTCCATAGAAAAATAGCTGCGGGTCGGGGATTTCCGAACTACCTGTACCCAACCGAGGTCTCCTGAGGAGACCTGGAACAGACACACACAACACATACACAACAAGTTGATGCCTCCACAACCGAATTACGTGACACTGATATAGTTTTCGTGGTAGGTACGAGTGTTGATAACGTGCTTGCCACAGTGGTCTGATTCACTATGTGACATGCATCAACTCCACACACACGCTGTGACGTTGGGTTCAACTCTGAGCTACAGGATAGAGAGAGATGTCGCTTTATGTTGGCGAGGCTGTTAGGGTATCGAACTAAGTATTATAGGTCTCTTGTGAGTTCATAGTATGGAAGTAAGGCAGACGTTTAATGTCATACTTTTTGGGTGTGTTTAGAGTGACCCAAAAAGCAGAGATGTCCTTGAGTGTTAGATTTGACAAGGACCGTGTCGGATCTAACGAAGGGAGAATGGGATCTAACACTTATAAGAAACTTCTCTCGAGTAGTATTAGTTATAGTCGTAGGAATCAACCATTAATAGGTTAAGGGATGAGGAGGCATTAGTGAGAACACACTACTAACACGCTCACGTACGTTAAAGGTAGGTAAGGTATTGTGTGGTATCAAATTCTTGTTTTTCTTATAATCGTGGCGACGGACTCGACGGTTTCATGGTCGAGTCCCGCTTATCTAATCTAGGAGTAGTTTTTCTATGACACTTAACATAGGGTGTGTCCTTATCTAAGACTAAATCTAACCTCTTATTGTCACGACTAGGTCTAGCGTGCGGCCGGCGAGAGCGGTCGTATCACGTGATCAAGGAAGATGTTGGGATAAGCAGCTGAGTCATCAGTCGGAACAGGTTGTTCCGGTCCGATCAACTGCCCCGAGCGATAAAAGGCCACGTTTATAGTTCTAATTACCCCTATATAATTATTATTATGAAAATTATTAAAATAACACTTAAATAACCCCAATTCCTATATATATGACCTGTTTAATACAATCATCCACTTATATCCACTGGATTATTCCCCTTCCAATCTGGTAACTTAGAGGAGCTTTTTGCCGACGTTATTCTGCCGCTCCGTCTGACAGAAGACCGCACTATCTTCCCCTTGCCTCGCTTATATCATTCCGACGACGGCTCGTGGATCACGGTGATCCCTTGCGTGGCTCACCGTGATCTTGTTACAGCCCGTCATGCGGCCTTCACGTGCACTTCACCTTTTCTCTTACTCATCACCACATTCCTTTACACCAATAACGCGTTCATTTAAATCATTTAATGATCGCAATGATCGCCCCCGCGATCACCGCCCAACCCAAATAATCACCTAGTATATACTAAACCCAATTCCATAGCCTAGTCATTCTTACCCAGCTATTAATAACAAAGTCAACGCTTCTATTGAAACCCCAGTTCCTTCAACAGTAGCACCTACGACTGTGACTGCCTCATTGCTCGGTACGACATCCTAACTGTCTCGCCAACATAAACGACTTCATCTCTGGCTACCCTGTAGCTTAGAGTTGAGCCCAACCGGCACACTCATCCAGTTTCCCAAAACACAAAATCTAATATACAGGTGTTCTTATCGCGTTTAAACCTGTACCGTTAACCTGACTGATTGAAATGGACAATTACACATCTGCCGTGTACTGCAGCGTCATCCAGTGCAACATGTTCATCTTACAGCTGAGGATTGTTGGTCAATCGGGCCTTGTTACAAACAGTATCAATATGAAGAAAAATTTAAAATATACAAGCAGGTCTTATGAAGACTTGGTACGGATTTTATTTCAGATTGTTTCATTAGTAATTCCAAGGCAGCATAAAATAAATAAACGTAGTCTACGGTGCCCATGGGGCCGAGCCACAATGATGGAAGGAAGGTATAGATATATTAGACTCTTGATTTCATACAAAAAAAGAGATGTTCTCTTTCAGTATGTCTTGTGGTCTGCCAGTCGTGTGTAGGTTCTTGGATGTTGTTGTTTATGCTAGATCCGACGTTATTATAGTCGAGTCCCACTTACCTAAGCTATGAGTGAAATACACAGTAAAAGTATGACTCTTGAGCCATAAATACAGGACGAAAGTGACCCTTAATTGTCGTCCGGTGGAAAAGCCGCTTTACAGGACAGCTTGAACGCAAGCTGGATACACGAAGTCATGTGTAACAGTGGAGGCAGGGAGGGGCTGTATCGGGCTCCAGCGGCTACATACATCCCGAACACCAGGACATGCCCCCCGGATGTTGACATCACCGATGAACAAATTAAATTGTCTTAAAGGCTTAGACTTCTAGTAAACCTATAAAGGAACCTATTGGGAGGTTCCTTAATGAAAGCACCCTCTACGAATGTGCGCAGAATCCACTGGAACGAGATGCCACATTGAGTCTTTGTACCTGTACAGTGACAGGTCACGGCCGGTTTCTTCATGCGGTTCCGTTGTAAGAGAGCTTTAGTCTATTGCTGTGCCATCTGGGGGTGGAAATGTATGGTGTTTCTTCATGATTCGAACGTATATATATGTACTCTAAATGTATTGAAGTGTACTTCTTAATGCTTTACTTCTAGATCCATATTTCAATTTCCCGGAAGCTAACTTCTCTTGCTACATGTTTTAGAGAGAAATCCCACATGGTCATTGTAACTCAAAGCTTCTGTGCCTGGTCTCGCAACAGCTTGCCGGACACGTGCCGAGGGACCTTGCTGATGAATTTTACACCACCTCGCAATTTCTTGTGATCCGGAACCTTGGAGTTGACATAAATGGCCAGTTCCTCCATCAAAGAATCTGATGCTTCAATGCCCGGCTGAAGGGAAACGAGGGCACGTGGTACCTGTGTAGATATGCCATCGTACTCAACAGAAGTACCAATGACGACCACGTCGGCAACACCTGGGTATTGCACTAACAATGCCTCGAGTTCGGCAGGAGGCACCAGGAAGTCACGGTACTTGATCATGTCCTGGAACGAAGACAACTCAATCGTCAGCCACACGGATGCCACTACCTACACAACACCTGGTCTCATAGGTTCCTGCACAACATACCTCCAAACGGCCCAGGACATACAACTGATCGCCGCGGCATTCGATGAAATCACCAGTCCGATACCACCCGTCGGAAAAAACTGGCCGAGAATTGCTCGGAGACCTGTGATATCCCTGTGTGATGATGGGCCCTCGCAACCACGCCTCTCCTGGCTGTCCCGGTTCCACATCGTTTCCATTGTTGTCCACAAGTCTATATATATTCGTCAAACCAAAGTAGAATGATAAGCGGTCTTGCATAGACTATTTAACTGGAACATGATAATAACTTACCGCATGGTAACATTTGGAAGTAGAATCCCAACGCTACCCGTGTCGTCGTAGCGGTCAGGAGGCATATGCGTGGCTGCACCAGTAGTCTCAGTGGAGCCCCATGTCTGGCTTAGCAAAACAGAGTCATGTCCGGCTCTGCGGAGCTTAGGACTGCCATATACACGAGGATCCAGAGGCATGCCGCCCGAGTAAGCTATACGGAGCGATGTGAGGTCAGCAGCCTCAGTAGCGGGGTTGAGAGTGATCGCGGCATAGATACGGGGAAGGCTGAAGAACGTGGTGATTCTCAAGGCAGAGATGCTGGATAAAAAGGTAGCAAGATCAAACTGTGGCATCCAGTAGACAATGCCACCCTCGAAAAAAGCATTCACGAAGTAGCCTTGGACGCCCGATATGTGGCCAGTACCAAGATGTGCAATAGTGCGCGTCTCAAAAGGCCGGCCTGCAACTGCCCACTGATCCCATATGGGACGATTGATGGTCGCAGGAAGGAATACTTCCGCCACCATGTTGGCATGCGAGATACGCACTCCTTTAGGTACGCCCGTAGTCCCAGATGAGTAGACGAGACAGATTGTCTTGGTGCGTAGCTCGTCTGGGTCTGTGATGGGCCGCCAGGGTAGGAGGGCCTGTGTCTCCCGCTCGTACTTCCAAGAAGTACTCTTATCAGCAGACTCGAGCCTAGGGAGAGGATCCGTGGAGATGATCACAACATTACTCATGGGTAGCCCCGCCCCCTCAGCAGCAGCCAGAGCAACGGCGCGCATGGCCGTACTGCAAACAAGTAGACGACAGGGGCCATCTTTCATCTGTTGCATTAAACCAGATGCGTCCAGCAGGGGGCTCGCGGCTGAGTAGATACCCTCAGCGGCCACGATACCGTAGAATAGGCATGGTAGTGCAGCTTGGCCGCCGCTGCACACCACCACAACGTCGTCAAGAGTATCGCCTTGATTTGCACCGATCCCATATTTCTCGCGCAGCCAATAGGCAATTTGCTGCGTTGCTGCCCGGGCATCGGCTTTGGTGAGCGTCGTAGTCTCTACGTCGCTAACATTGGCATGTATGGGCGTCGACTCAGACGCGCGAGAGTGCTCAGTGTCTAAAGGGCTGCTGGCAAATGCATGCCGCACACATATACATGCAACAGCAATGAGCCATAGAAGTAAGTAAGAGTTCGCAAAGGAGCAGGCAGAGTTGAAAGACGTCAAAATTCAACAGATGGTCACGGACCGAATAGAAGAGTCAGGAGGTCAACACTAGGAATATCAACCTCATTTCCTGCGTTGTATATCATGTTGGAATATTTCGGTCCGAGGGTAGGGGTAGAGGGGTATCGGCGGAAAAGGTCGGATAATTTGTGAATTCTCTCGCTTCAGACTATGGACCAAGCCGTAATAAAACTGGAGAAAACCGTAGCAGTTCGCATGGAAGACTCAGCGGACAGAGCGGGCGAGTTCCAGTCCAAATATTCGGATGAACGTGAAAGGTGCAGAGTTTTCATCCAGGTCAAGCATGCTATAAGCCAGGCAGTAATTTATCAAGAAAAAAACAAAGGACGATCATTGAAGAGTGAGGGATAAACTCGATTACCTGCGTTTCGTCCACGACTGCATCCCTGGCGCTGATACATGGGCATACACAGTAAAATGTTGACGACTGTTGCACTAGGTTGGGGCATTCGCGAGGCATATCAGCCAATAGCACCGTGTAGTAGTATCATATCTCAAAGGCGTTCTGACATTTCCTTGTGGACTCCTAGGCTTTCACGAGCAGTAATAAAAACAAGGCAGGGGTCATGTTGCTTTTGACGACCCGGTCTTGAAAATAGCGGTGGGGCTTAAATTACACGCAGTAGCATGAAGGCCAACTTCGTCGACAGGATAAGTTGCGACTCTAAATACACTTGCACGAAATACTACGAGAACCAATAGCACTAGTAGTTTGCCACAAAGGACCGGTGGGACAGGCGGTTCTCAGTCATAGAGCCATATTACATCGCAAGGCGTATACTATAAGCAAAAATACAAGCCAGGATATCACTACATTTTGAAATCAGAGATATTAATATAGACAAGATTAAAAACTAAAAGATACTATAAACAAAATACAACCAACGCTCTCACAGCAAGGTTCACACAAGGTGGGTGCGAGGAGTGGGGTTTCCATAGCAGTTGGTCCAAGAGGAAATCAGACGCCCCTTTAGCTCGCCTTGGCACTCGCGATAATGACATCGGCGGCCTTCTCACTGACCTGGAAGGTGGGCAGTGCAATGTACATGCCGGGGATGCGGGGGAAGATGGACGCGTCGACAACACGGAGGCCATTCACACCGCGAACGCGAAACTCGCTGTCGAGCACGGCCAACGGGTCATCGTCAGCACCGATAGGGGCGGTGCAAGAAGCATGGTGTCCCCAGGCCTCGTTGCGGGCAAACTCCTTGAGATCTTCGGGCTCGGTGATGTTGGTTGGGGGCCAGACGCGGTTGAAGGATCCGTCGATGGGAATAAGCTTCTCAAAAGCGTCGATTCCATACTGCAGGCCTTCAACGATCGCCTGAAGATCATCTTCGCCTCCTTCAGAGAAGGAGTTAAAGGTTATGCGCGGGGTGTCGCGGGGATTGGCCGAGGTCAGGTTGACAGTCCCAGCGCGGTTACGGGAGTGAGCCTTGAGTGTGAGCCAAGTCCATATCGAAGGCTTATCCGTGCTGTGAGTAGAGTAGCCGGGAAAGTAGCCATTGAAGTAGGCGGGGACACCTCCAAGGAACAGGTCCGGATCCTCACCCGCTACCGAGGAGTGATGGAGGTACCCGAAAGCAATACCGTTGGTTGTGTAGCCACCCTTCAGGCCTCCAACTTTGTCTGTCCAGTCGCTGTAGCACGGATCGTCGCCGACCAGGAAGGTGCAGTCCTCCAAAAGGGCGAAGTTGGATTCCGCTTCGCCAACAACGCCGACCTCGTACCGATCCTGGAGGTTACCGCCAACACCAGGAAGATCCTTGATAACGGTGATACCGAGTGACTCAAGTTCCTCGGCGGGGCCAACACCGCTCAGTTTAAGGATCTGGGGAGTGTTGAAAGCACCACCAGACACGATAACCTCACGGCTAGCGTGGACGGTTCCGGGCTCGCCCCCGTCCTTGGAGCCGGCACGAGGGTCAGCACGATATAGGCTCTGTCCGTGGAGGTAGTCGACACCCGTGGCCCGAGGAACCTCTCCGGACGTATCAAAGTTGACCTTTGAAACGAGTGTGTTGAGCGCGATGTCAAGCTTGTATTTCTTGGAACCGTCGTCATTCGTAGCATTCGCCACACTGAGCACAAAGTCGCGGGGTCCGGTCCTGATGTAGTCTCCGTTCATGGAAAGGGGTATTTGGTACATGAGGTCCGTAGAATCTCGCAGCTTAGTGTTGCCGTTGATATCGAGAGCGAGAATGTCCACGACGCCCGTGATGGCTCCAGTGATGGAATCAAGGAAGCTCTTTCCGGTAGCCCTGGCGGCGGCTAGAATAAGGGACAACACCTTCATGTCCTCGGCGATGAGGACCGCAGGAGTGAGGCGTGTCGGCAGCCATCCGCCGTGACCATGATGGTTGTTGAGCGCACCCTGGATGTACTGGTTGTCCTCCATCCTCTCCATGTATGCGTTCATCTTGTCGGCTGCCCATGAGTCATCCCCGGTCAAGTTGGCGATGTCGTTCCAATCCTTGTCTGTCGCCTTGATCGTGATCAGGGCATTGTGGACTGTGCAACCTCCTAGAGCACCGGTACGAGGATATAGGATTCCTTTCTTCTGCGAGTTTGCCGGAGGCTGCTCTCCAGAGAAGTCTATCGCTGACCAATAGTCACCGTCCGGCGTTTGGTAGGTGTACTTGGTGTCCTTGAGAGCCTGCTCTTCGTCGGCGTAGTGGTCCACGAAGTAATCCCATTTGATCGGGTTATATTCACTGCTGAATGGGTGCAGAGCGGGAGCTTGGACCTGGCGATCAGTTCCGTGATCCTCTCCCGCATCAATGAGAAGAACACTGTGGCCGGCGAGGGCTAGGCGAGCCGCCAAAGGAGAGCCACCAGCGCCAGACCCAACAATGATGTACTCGTATGTCGAGTTGTCCTTGGGCCCAGCAGCAGGAAGGTTGTAGCCATTGGGGGGGAAACTTGGCTGGTCCTGGACCGGCTTCACCGTCCATCTAATACCCGAGTATGTTAGCCAATACACTCATGCATGAACATAATTTGCAAGACTCTAACTTACGAAGCTGCCACACAGGAGGCGAAGACAGCAGAGCTTAGTACTGCCCTCATGTTGGCGGTTCTTAAAAATAAAAAAGCAAAATACGTCCAAGGGAAATGACAGCCGAATGAACGGATTGCTTTCAAGTCGCTCTACAGCGGAGAAGGGAACCAGGCTGATGAAAGCAAATAGAGAATGAATGAGAAGAACGGTGTTGGAACCAACCGCAACCTGGTGGAGGAGATCAGGAGGTGAGCGAAGACTGAAAGGTTCTTCTATGGCGCTTTTTAAAGAAGGCCAGTCTTCGCAATACAACGGTGTTAGGACCTTCGGGTCATTTCACCCACCGATGTGCCCCCTTTTGTGACGTCCGATATTCCTCCATTTCCTGACTGTACCCCCGGCCTACCTTGTACCCTTAGCGGATATGTACGACATGGGAATTGCAATCTACTCAACTATGTGAGCGGCTGCAATATGCGGTCACCTTACGCAGTTGGCGTATATGACAGCTCAATGGTTGTGAATTTCTTTCCCTGGAGAACATCCCAGCATCCAAGTTGAAGGCCGTGGTAATGCCGCTTGGGCCCAACATCATCCTGTATTACTCCGTACGTGTACAGGTACGGAGTAGGAATCATTTTGGTCAACCCCTGTTCAGTCGAATGGATATCTGCGTGTACTCGTATGGCGTACGAGTATTACCATCGGTGAGACCCATGCTGTTATTACTGTCTAGAGGAATGACAGGCATGAGGGGACCAGGGTGCAACATACAAGTACGAGGCCGGCCAGAATGGTGGATACCGGCAAAGCCAATGGGTCGGTATTAACTATTAACCGGCATCCAGGGGTATACGACACTAGGACTTGACGACAATGACAAGTGACGTATAGGTTCACATTGTACAAATCAATTCCTGCCCCACTATTAATGGCGAGATGGCGTTTCTTGCTTCTCGAGCCGTTATTTGGACAATCTGTGGGGGCGGGCTGTTCGGCGACAACCGTTAGACCATACCCCAGCCCGGGCCGGGTGGAGAATGTGTGTGTGGATCGACCTGCGTCAATACCTGTTTCCGTCACCTTGCTCTTCGTGCATTAATTGCAAGGAATATTGCTCTGCAAGCTAATACCTGTACACATGTATTATGCTCTATACATGTACCTATGCCATACATCGCCCCTCTGTGTTCAATGGTACGCTTTGTATCGAGGGACTTAAAGGAGTGCTTTCTCATACATGATGAGACCTCCAACACCAATGGTTGACAACTCAGACTACATACTCGTTAATTGCTGCGCGAGTATGGCCCAGTGATCATGACGCGTGAGTTTTAATATAATATACAGTGATATTGCTGATGCCCAGTTACATGGTCCCACTACCATGGAATTGCAAAGTGTTGGCAGACTACGAGACGATATTGCTTTGGTATAACTGTCTGTGATATAGCTCGAAAGGGGCTCGTACCAGAGCCTCTTCGATGGCGAACGATCAGTGGATTCCCCCATAATATATCCTCAGGCACCGGTAATCCCGCAGCAGCTCCCCGGGGGCTCCATACGTACCAGGCTTCGAATAGAACGATGGCAGGTGGGTAATACTTGGCGACGTCCTCACATGCACTAATAAGTTGGTAAATTTTTTCCTAGGACATCGGCATCCGTACATGTTCCTTGTCACTGTTGTTGACCGCCTGATCAACATCTGCCCCACACACTCTCGCCAAAGCCGTGAGTCGTATTATTTGCGTATCAGTACAAGTACTCGTGCTCATTCGGGCTACTAGTAAGCCCCGTCCTTGTTTTCTCATAGTAATAATGATCCAACAATTCCTCATCGTAGGGTTGACATGTCGTTAAATGCTCCCTGGATGGATATGAAAATAATGACTGCCAAACATATGTATACAAGTACAATGAATGTGCATAACTGGTTAACCAGCCACTATGATATAGGCTCTCCCTAAACAATGCCTTGCCCCTGGTCAGGGGGGGAAGTGCTGTCGTTACAGCAAGAAAGAAAAGAGAGAGAAAAAAAAATGGTGTAAGTGACATTGTTTTATCGATCTATGGCCTACATGAAGCCTACAATTATGATTTTCCTACCAGTGGCGCACTAGTCACGACTCATGAGGACCATTGCAGAGACTTCTTGCCAAGAGATATTGTGGTTTGCAACGACCTTGTTTATTATTTCTCTTCTCTTTTTCTTCTGTTATTTCTCTATTAAGAAGGTATTAGTATTATAATATCATTCTATATTACCTGTTACAGTTGACATGGTTTGTCCGGTCCATAGAATGCACGTCATAAAATCAGAGCTCCTGGTTCTGTAGGCGTGACAGCCGCTAGATTTCTACTCCGCTGTATGATTAGGTGCGAATCAATAATGCCTCGGTTGAATAACAACTGCAAGACATTAGACCGATTCATGTCCTGTTCTACTCCGTACATCGTCGCACAAATGCCGATGAAATCTCACGTAGACCACGTTAGTAGAGTTCAAGACATCTAGAACATATTCTATATTATATTATTAGCATTCTTATACATGTTTCCCAGCCAAATCATCTTCTATAATGTACCTCCTCCAATGGCCAACGTACAATGCCTCATACAATGCCGAAAGGCGTTGAAACACTTCAGTACATTCTAATCATGACTACCCTATGTATGGTGGCTATATTTGTTCCACCAAGAGGTTCGTCTCATCTAAGTAACAACCTCTATCTAATCAGACCATTTTCACGGTTCATATAATGAACACGTCTTCAACAGCAATCCATGTCAATCAATCATAGTAGTGTTATGTTTCTAGCCGCAGTGCAAAATGAATATGAGCATGAAGACGGAAAGATGCTTTGGTGTCCAATTTCTATATATAATAACGCAAAAAAAGAGAGGATCTACCAGTCTACAGAGCAGCATAGTTTTCCTCATTTCCAGACAGTATTACTCCACATATTTCTGTTATAGGAGTTGAATTATTGAGACAGTAAAGTAATATGTGCATCCCTTGACCCTTGATGACACTCAGGGGAAAAGGGTGCGGAGCACCCGGGGGTTTGAATTATTATTACACTATTATATGATAAATTTGAACATTCGAATATATGTTACTCTGGTGTTTACAGTACTATGAGCTGTCCCTATTTTTCCGAACCCACCGCATAACCCGAGACTTTGAGACATAGTGAACCTCCCTGACTTCCAGAATGAACCGTGGAATGTTAAATATCAAACATCACCTTTTTTATCTGCCACACTGACGCTGTAGGCGGAACCCTTGTCCGAAGCCTTGTTGCCATTGTAGTCAACAAGGGGAACGAAGTCACCCTCATCGCCATGTTTCGGTGGGCGCTGGGAGTAAGTAGTCTCGGTAGTTGAAGATTCTTGACCACTGCGCTTGGATGATGCTTTGCTGCTCCCGTAACTATTCTTCGTCGTCTTCCCCTTGTCGCCGAAAAGAACGACGAACAACTGGCGTACCGAAGGCAAGCAAGCGCAAACGATTGAAAGGTGAATTTCCAACGTGCTCCACCAAGCTGGGGCGGTATAGTCCCCTATAAGATGTGTTAGTCCAGTCCGACCATGTCCATTGTATAATTTGTCCCTCAGTCTTGAACGTACAAGTTACGTTGGAGGTGTTTGCGAACAGCACCAAAGATCGGAGGCGGATAATACTGATGATTGTGACACTAAGTAGATGTGTTGTTAGCTGGTTGTCTGAGATGGCGACATGGTTTAACTTACAAGATACCCAGGGAGAACATGAACATGATCATGAGCTTCTTGTTCAACTCCATCTGCAATTGCCAAAGATGTTTGAGTGGTAGGCAAAGCACAACGAGATCAACAACGATATTCATAGCGGCGCTCATCCAGCCTTGAACGTGGATATTGTTGCAGGACCCGGTGCCCCAACTCTCATCAATCTGCTGCCACGAATATTCGACTGGCCAACACTGCAACGCTGTCGCCACGATGAAAGATGCACCGTAGGCGAAGGCTAGGCCACACGCGGCGTACACTAGTCGACGAAAGGTTTGGTCGGGGAAGACTCGCAGGAGGAACAGCAAGATGGATATCTTGGTTGACGTGATGGATGCGAAATAAAAGATTTCGCCGAAATAATAGTACTAGTTTCGGAGATGAATTAGCTTGACGGTTACACTGTAACAACTTTCTCAGGACGACTTACTCGGAGAACATTCTTGATTTCCTTCATGGTGAGAGTCCACATGTCCTTTCCGAGACCGTTCTCGACCACTGTAGAGGGCATTAGTCATTATACTCGGATAATACGAAACGTGTCTCTCTATAGAACATACATGTCCAGGCAAAAACCGTTGGCGGGACGGCCAATAGAACGGCCAAGAGGATCATGGCGTCATCTAATCCGGGGAGACGACCGGACTTGACAAATATCGCACCGATTCGAAGGAGAAAGGCGATGAGGGCGATAACACCGAAAAGGATACCGATGACGAGGGGCTGCATGCTCTTGTCACGGATCGGGGCGCCACACATGGTCATCGTGACATTCTTTGTCTGCAGACCCTCGTAGAGTGTGCAACCTCCCAAAACGCAGACAGTCGTCTGCGCGGTGAGCTCTTCATTGGTACACAGGCACTCGATGTCAGTTGCCGTGCAGTTGGACTCGGGTATCAATTTAGCCATACAGGCCAGCTGAGGATAACAGTCTGTCAGTTGAAAGGTTCATGCAACGGCATGAATCTAAAGTGGCATTGTACACTTACCGCGCATTTAGGATAGGATTCTTGAGCAGCCTTCAAAGCCATGAGCTCTTGAGCTGAAGGGGTTTCAGCAGAGGCGACGATGGAAATCGCAGCCATGCTGCTCAATAGAGTCGTAAACGACACCATGTTGATTGTGTGACGAAGCCTCTCGGTGACTTGAACAATGGTACCGTCTGGTTTGCCTGGCTTCTGGAAGACTGGTATGGAGAAGACTTGGGGAAGTCGGCGGAGTAGGATACGGCGACCTCTTGTATTTGACGCGCAACTGTCCTACATGTACGGTTACGGATCCAAGGGTTAATGTCTTCGCAATATCGAATGTGATCTGATAGTCACCAGACAGTACGGAGTACATCTCACAAGGCGCAATTTGGATCTTCTGTCAATGCCACCCTTACAATACACCATGTTCTGTTACTTGCGTCGTATGTGCCGTGCTATTCAAGGAATGTGGGAACTGGACCATGTTGCAATGACTTGTCTTATCTCACGAGAAGAAGTGCTCTGTACGTACATCATGCTGACCCATACATGCAGTGCCGTTGTCGGGTCCTGGTGGTCCCAGGGGTGCTTCGACTCCAAGTCCATGGCGGTGATGCAGGTTGTCAGTTCCCTGCCAATACCTTGCAAGTACTCGTGTTGAGAACGGCTGTCATATTTGCCACTCCCATTTCAGTGGTGGCTATTCCTTGTATGGTAAGTGGGCCTACTATGGAACCCTGGCGAACAAGCAAAGCACTATCCTCTGACGCACCTCAAATGTACCCGTACCTATATCAGACCTTGTGATACAAGCCAGTATACATGAATGACAGGAGGGATTGACGGCCCGGTGGATACGTAACGTGTCGTCTTTAAGGATCCATGCACCCTACCCGTGCGTCGTAGAAAAAAAAAAAAAAGACATGGGGGCATATAGTCGAGTACTGGCATATCTTGATATTAATTGTATCTGGCGACGCTAAGCGCAATGGGCTTGCTCGTACTGTTGGGCCTTGTACACGTAGTCTTTCCCTCCAGGATTGTCCAGATAGGGAATGGTGTGAGTAAAATCACTAAGGATTAAGGTGGCTCGTATACCATGCTTGCATGAATTCTTGGTGTTTCACCATACTATGTCATCTATAGCCGATTCCAATCCTTGCCAAAGTAGTACGAGCACCTGCGTCGCACAGAAATTGCCCGCTCACGTATCCTAGACGGCAGAAACGCGTGTTTCCCAGATTCTGACAGCGGCGATCTCCCGGGGGGGGAAGAAGGGGAAAAAGGGGGGGGGGGGTGGTGGTAATCAAACCTCCTGAACACTTCTGCAAGTGTTGAAATTGTGCGAATCTTGTTATACCATGCTATCTTGTAATAAGCCAATTCAAGGCCTCGCACTCTATGAACTACTACTAGGCTATAGTATGAAGAGTTAGAAGTATAATCGTGTAGAAACCCAACACGGGATGCCACTTGTTTGAACATTTAGCTATATTCTATAGTATCCCTTCTCCAGGAGGGACTATCCCCTAGACTATTGACTGGAAGAGATGGCAAGTTGGCTATAGTGCGATTATTCGTCATTAGATAATTGTATACGGTTGGGAACACTCATATATTATTTGTGCAGTGTGTAGCAATAATGCAGGTACCCCGTCTTGAATTATCACACGGGAAACCTACAAGGGTCCAATGAAGGAGCTACTATTCAATTTTGTCAGCATCTATCTATTTCATTTCCCTTGCTCATGATAATTTTTTCCCCCCTTAGTAAACCATTCGAGGATCCCTTGGTAATCGTTTACGCTCAATAATCGTGGCAGTCCAGGCCTACATACTAACAGCACTGGTTCGAGCCTTCGGGTCATCCTTTCTTTACCGCTCCCGTCTCACTCAGCATACTCGCAAGACTTTGTCATTCCTTTCGTTTTTTCCAAGTCTTTACTCTTTCAATTCAGCAATGGTGAAACTCCCGTTGTCCTTGGGGCGGCTGGTACTTGGCCTGGCAAGCCTCCCAGGGCTTGCCATGTCATTTCCGTCAGCTGAAAACATGGCAAAACTACTTCACCAAGATATCGGAGCTCCTGGAAAACTTCACGAGAACCTGCTGCATCTCCGGAACCAAAAACGCCTTCTCTTTGACCCTCTGACAACCCCAATTGAAGGTAAGTGCGCGTTTTCCGCGTCCAACCACTTCAAACCCAACAACCTCAGTCCCGTCACCTTACTCCTTCTTGCCTGTTGGAGGGAACCTATGAGCTGTATATCTGACATATTTGTTACAGTTAATGGTAGTCACTCGTTTCAACCTCCAGACTTCGAAAATGGAGACCAACGCGGTCCCTGTCCAGGACTCAATGCTCTGGCAAACCACGGATACATTTCGAGAGACGGAATAGCTGGGGTAGGAAGCAAAAATACAACATCCCGACAACCGTTGCTTGGGAGGAACCTAAAACTAACGGAACTGGTGTGCCATTAGTTCTTTGAAGTGATTGAAGCCATGAACACTGGCAAGTCAACCCCCCTCCCCTTGGCCCCAACAATTGCAATACTCCTCTACTAATGCGTGCCAAATCATGGTAGTATTTGGTATGAGCATTGAGCTAGCAACAGTCCTGTCCGTTATGGGAACTGTGGGCGTTGGTAATCCGCTGTCCCTTGACCCCGGCTTCTCTATCGGCGGCAAGTCAACCAAGGTCTCTAACGTGTTGGGCAACCTCCTTGGACTTCTTGGTATGTGATCTGTACCCATTTATAATGTCGGGGGGGGGGGGGGGGAGGAAATAATGAGTGTTCGAACGAAAAAGTCCTTTATGACTGATGAGAAGTTACAGGCGTTCCTAGAGGACTTGAAGGTAGTCACAACTGGATTGAGGGAGACAGTTCCAACACTCGAGACGACTTGTACGTCACCGGGGACGCTTCAACGATGAACATGGATCTATTTAACGAGGTTGATGCCTTATTCGAAACCACCGATGCTTTAACAATGGAAGATATTGGCGACCGTGCGAGCCGACGTTTACAAGACAGCATCTCTACCAATCCATACTTCTACTACGGCCCATACACTGGTTTTGTTGCTCGCAATGCCGGCTACTTGTTTTCGGGGCGACTTCTCAGCAACCACTCGATCGAGTACCCTGGGGGAGGCCACCTCAGTATGTTGACCCGTCTTGATGTTTTAGTGAGATGCTAACTTTTTCCTACCAGCAAGGGATGTTTTCCGGAGTTTCTGGGGGGTTGTAACCAATTCTCAGGGTGAACTCGAATACAAACGGGGTTGGGAACGAATCCCAGAAAATTGGTACCGTATTAACATCGACTATAGCCTAGTCGAACTCAATGTGGACCTTGTCATATGGACTCTAAAGCACCCGGAACTTGCCAGTATCGGGGGCAATCTTGGTAAGGTCAACACATTTGCGGGCGTCGATATTGCCAATATCACAAGCGGTGTTCTCAATGCTGCAAGTCTGCTGGAGGGTAACAACCTGGTTTGCTTCACTCTAAACATTGTCAAGACGTTCGTTCCCAACTCGCTCTCCGGTCTCTTTGAAACTCTAGAAAAACCTCTTCAGCTTATCAACGATGCCGTCCTCGATCCTCTCCTGGATTTGGACTGCCCCGCCTTTAAGGATCTAGAGGCTGGGGGCACCGATATTATTTCTGGGCTTCTCGAGAAATATCCGGGGGCTTCGAAGAGTGGATATGCCTTGTAAAGGTATATTGCTTATTGCATTGACGCTTGGGAAAGATGTACGGTTAGTTTTGATTTTATAGTAGCAGATAGAGCTACGCCTTGTTACATATTTATATAATATGTCTATTTATTTAATCCAAGACCTATTACCTGGACTGCTGTTGAGTTGTTCAAATATAGGTTTGGGGCTCGACACCACGCGTTGTTCAGTTAAAGATACTTCTATATATATCCGCTTACTATTACGGCCCGTTATGCGACCTTCACGTGCACCC